AGTATAATGTCATGTGAGATTGAGGCAGTATAATGTAATGTGAGATTGAGGCAGTATAATTTAATGTGAGCTTTGAGGCAGTATAATGTAATATGAGCTTGAGGCAGTATAATGTAATGTGAGATTGAGGCAGTATAATGTAATGTGAGATTGAGGCAGTATAATGTAATGTGAGCTTTGAGGCAGTATAATGTAATGTGAGCTTTGAGGCAGTATAATGTAATATGAGCTTGAGGCAGTATAATGTAATGTGAGATAGAGGCAGTATAATGTAATGTGAGATTGAGGCAGTATAATGTAATGTGAGCTTTGAGGCAGTATAATGTAATGTGAGCTTTGAGGCAGTATAATGTAATATGAGCTTGAGGCAGTATAATGTAATGTGAGATTGAGGCAGTATAATGTAATGTGAGATTGAGGCAGTATAATGTAATGTGAGCTTTGAGGCAGTATAATTGTTTGAAACCTAAACGTTTTTACTTTACTTCAAATAATGAGGCATGTCTTACCCTGCTTCAAAGTAGCCTAGCCAAAATACATCCGTAGAAACGTGGAGGCAATTCTTTTTTAACGACTTCCTCATGCCATTAACTAGCATTTTATCTCCTGTTCTATTGGTTTTCATGTCAACTTTCTTTCGTTGTCCAGAAGCCAAAGGCACAATCCTATTCATATTAGCAACCCATCATAGTTGTTGCTATTAAGAGTCCCCCTCGTTATGTTTCTAACAGAGATTTCTATCTCTGTCAACTGCTTGCATTAGGTTTATAACGTTTTTTTCCGCGAAATTGCATTTTAGCAAATATTTGAAAATGAAGTTTTATTTGCTGCTTCATTACAGGAGTTGCATGTTCAATAACAGGCTATATAGCCTTTTGACTGTAAGACGATAGGCGTCCTTGTATGCATAGTATCAGAGAAGAAAAGGCAAAGCCATAGTTTTTTTTTTGCATCCCTAGTGTATGTGGACCATTTTAAGTCCTTAGTGATTTGGACAGCAAGGAACTGTAAGCTCTCAAACCACTCCACAGCAGCCCAGTCAATGTGGATGGGCTCGCTCGCCCCCTCCCCCCCTTTCCTGTAGTCCACAATCAGGTCCTTGGTCTTTCTGGCATTGAGGGAGAGATTGTTGTCCTTGCACCACACTGCCAGGTCACTGACCTCCCTGTAAGCTGTCTCATCATCGCCAGAGATCAGGCCTACCACTGTCGTGTCGTTAGTAAACTTGATGGTGTTGGGAGTCGTGCGTGGCCATGTAGTTGTGGGTGAACAGGGAGTACAGGAGGGGACTAAGAACACATCCCTGTGGGGGACCCCATGTTTAGGGTCAGCGTGGCGGAGGTGATGTTGCCTACCCTCAACACCTGGGGACGTTAGGAAGTCCAGGATCCAGTTGCAGAGGGAGGTGTTCAGTCCCAGGGAGGTGTCGAGCTTGGAGGGGACTACGGTGTTGAGCGCTAAGATGTAGTCAATTAACAGCATTCTCACATAGGTATTCCTCTCCTCTCGAAGATGGGTGAGGGCAGGATGGAGTGCAATTGAAATTACGTCATGTGTTGGGGCGGTATGCACATTTTAATGTGTCTACGCCTTGATCACACCGATAGCATTTTGGTACACCAGAAGTACATTAATTTCCAATGTAACGCTGTGTTTGCCTTGGAGCATTGAGTTGCAGAGGCAGTGTGTTCTGTGTGCTGCATACATTGGATTTATCGGATTTATGCATCAAACTATGTGTAGACGGCTTGACAGAAATGGTAGCAGAAGGTGAACGTTGATCTTTTGTTGTACACATATCCAGATGATGCTGCGTACCATTTTGCGCAATGACACTGTCGGTGTGATCAAGGCGTTGAGGTTATAGATTATTATCTACATGGCAGTTGGTTGCAAATCGATGACAGTTGTCTAGCTAGCTCGGTCGCTAGTTTATCTTATTAGCCAGTTGACATCGTAAATCGTGGAGTTGAATTTAGTCGGCGGGCTAGCGCCTCGATCACACCTAGTGTCATTGCGCAAAATGGTACGCAGCATCATCTGGATATGTGTGCAACAAAAATTCAACATTCACCTTCTGCTACCATTTCAACCAAGCAGTCTACGCCTAAAATTTGACGCATACATTCGATTAATCCATGGGTTGGGTTGACACAGGTGAGCTATTTACGCTAACACCTGAGACGTTGAAAGACACAACTTATAACTATAATATCTAGCTATGAGTGTGTTCCATAACACGTTGTGCAGCTATTTTAGTCACTGTAATGCACAATTTATCAACACTGTTGGCTAGCAGATGATAGCTAGCTAGATTACAACATTAAAGAACCTGCAATGTCGCAGTTTCCGGGTTAGCAAAATGGCTAAAATGGTCGTACTGACACAGATACGGCGAAACACTTACATGCGACAGGTTCTACTGGAACATTTCCTTTCCTTAGCAACTTCGCTGAAATTCTCGGTCCGTTTAGGTCACCAGTATTTTTAATTGGTCTTGTTTATTACCCTGTGCAGGGGCTCTATGGTGGTCAGCTGATTCCCCAACAGTTTACGGCGCTGCCGTCAGTGGATATTACTGCAGTAAACACTGCTGGCAGCCATCTTGGTTGAGGCAAGTGGATGTACTCAGGTGAGGCCTGCACAATGGGCCTGCAGGTGGAGTACATGTCCCACAGGTGGAGTTGGTGACATATACAAACGGGAAAAATGTATGCGCATGGGTGGAGTAGCCTACATACACAGCTTAACACTGAACAATAATGTCATTGTCTTATAAAATATGAAACTGTTGTCTTACAGACATGGAGAACTGGGGCGTATTCATTACGGAAACCGTTTAAGAACCAAATGGAAACAAACAGAGCAAAACAAGAGTTCCTATTGGACAAATTCAGTTAGGACCCTTGTTTCATTTGCTTCCATTTAAGAAAAGGAACTAAACGGGAGCAAATGAAACGGGGAGGGACCTACCTGAATTGGTCCAATAGAAACTCTAGTTTTCATTGTATAACGTTTTATTTTTGGAGTAAATGGATTCCATTGCAAAAACTTTTGCAATGGAATCCGACAAGACAAAGACCATAGCAAACAGTTGCAAAAAGTTTTGCAACGGAAATAGTTCTTAAAACGGAGAACTTTTTGTACCGAAAACGACAGTTTCTATCGGACAAATTCGCGTAGGACCGTGCCGCCTGTCCCCCATTTCATTATATTTGGTTGCTAGTGGATACGCCACTGAGGGGAAAAAAAGTGGGAAAACACATCAAATCAACTCAAAGATTATAAATAAACCTTTACCTTTTCTCTACAATTTGTGTTATAAGTCACCTCAGATGCTGCTTCTCTGTATAGTTAGTCTTTATTCAAAGTCATTTTACAAAGTATTTTATATCATTAATATATTAAAAACAATTATTAAAAAAGGTAGTCATAATAGTTGCCCAGTTGACCACTCAGTTTTCTTTAGTAGCAAATGTGTACACAAACCTTTAAAATATAGTTACAAAGTCCATTTGTTATACAGCATGATGAAGTAAGTAAAATAACAAAGTATTTTATAAACATTAAACAGAGTATTGTTTGATAGGGGTCATATTGATAGAAGGCTGACAATGCATTAGGGCCAATAAAATAGCCATGGCTGAGTCTCAATCCAAAGCCTGCATCCTGTGGATTGAGTCACAGCCCCATGTCGAAATATGAAACTAATTGTAATGTCTGTGCAGGAAGTTATTCATAGCAAATATTGCAAATTGCCAATTTCAATGGTTGCATACCAAAATTGCACCCTATTCCCTAGTGCACTACTTTTGACCGGAACCCTACAGGCCCTGGTCAAAAGTAGTGCACTAAATAGGGAGTAAAATGCCATTTGAGCACATTTCAGAACATTACCACTCACACCAAAGCCAGAATAATAACGATCCTGTTACAAAAACACAATAATAACCGAAAGAGTGGATGGATAGTGTTGATATTAGAATAAGCGTTATGGCTGACTACTAGATCAATTCATTGAAGAACGCAAGAAGCTATTTGCATCCGTTTATGATCGGGGGGGGGGGGTTTGGCTCCGCTAAAACGTGAAACTACAGCAAGCAATCCATAGGTGCAGCAGGGTCCTATGGGATCAATGTAAACAACTGGTTCAGCTTTAAAAGCATGTATACAATGAATCCATGTCCATATAAAGTGTGTTAAATGACTTACAGCAGTAAGGAAGGACACCATAAAATAAAATAAAAACTGTGGAAAATAATTTACTTCTAAGATCCAGCATTATGAACAGAAAATAAAGCTGAAATTCTTGTACATTTGAAAAAAATCATGATTATGACACACTTCTGACTGCAAGTATACATTTGACAACTGATCCATTGCAATACAAACCATCAATAATATTCACAATATATTACATTTTGTCAGTTTAAACAAGGCCAACTCCAGTCAAACCAATAACTCTGGGCCCCGATCCTAGATCAGCACTCCAACTGAGGCTTCATGAATACAGGCCAAGGTATGTCAGGAGTGCCCAGTAATGACGAGTAATGCTGCAACCATCCAGGAGAGGGAAACTAAAATAAGGCTTTAAAAATCCAGAGATAAACAACATTGTCTGTTACACAAAACCCTAAACATTAAATCCCCAATGCAATAGGGCTCCGGTAAGCTTTTGGATGGAAGCATCTTCCCGTAGTAAGATCATGCCGGGGAGGCCTCAAATATGTTCTCAGCTCAAAAAGTATAGGAATGACAGGTTAGCCTGGTCCCAGATCTGTTTGTGCCATCTTGACAACTCCTATGGTCAAAACTGACATTTACCACAGGAGTTGTAGGACCATAGGAGTTGGCAAGACAGCACAAACAGATCTGGGACCAGGCCCTGCCGGTGAGCCCCCCCCCTCTCATATGTTCTCGGCCTGGGGGATCTCTCGGATGCTGTCCCTGGGGTTGGGGCGGGCTGAGGCAGGCCGTCTTCTGATGCTGCGGCCGGACGCGATGAGGTCGGCGTAGCCTCTGGAGTGAGAGAAGGCGTAGGCTGAGCGGCGGGACTGTCTTCCACGCTGGAAGGGAGGTTTCTTCTTCTCCTCTTCCTCCATCTCATACTTCTTCCTGTTCCTCTGGACCTGCGGAAAAAAACAAAATCATTCATAAACATTCATACATCATTTATAAACATTTTTTAAATATGGATGTGTGGTGGGTTTCATTCAAGAGCACTTCAAACTTGGGATGTAGTTTGCCATATTTTGTGCTCCATTTTATACACTGATCTCTGCTAAAAAAATCTCTAACAATATTGCAGTGGCAATGAGCCCATCGTGTGTACCATGGACATAACATGCCAAAATGTTGCCGATATCAACGCATTATGAGTAAAGTCCTCTTTGGTTAGTAGTAGCTAGGCCTTACGTCATCTCCAACGGATGGCCATATGGTTTTGTAGAGGAACTGAATACAGATGACAGGTAGCAGGCTGATCCCCACAGTCAAGATGATGGTCAGCCACAGATAAGGCTGTCTGAGCGCGTTAGAAGCCACTCCTAACACACATGGGGAAAAACAAAAACACATGCTGGGTTACAAAAGCTCACTAATTGAACATTATCATAGTCAAGGCTCTAAATAGCGATCATTTTGAGTCGCATATGCTTATAGATATTTCGCAGTGCAGAACTAACATTTTTATTTTGAGAGCACCAGTGCAACCAGGAGAACAATCACCCAGATAATAATTGGTGTAATGAGACGCTTCACTGTGCAGTTGTTTCCAAGTGCCCTAGAGAAAAAAAAGCAAGCTCAGATTCGTTCAATCCAAAGCCTATATGTAAAGAATATTAAAAGAGTATTAAAGAATTTAAAGAATGCATCAGTGATTTTGTATTTCTGTCAACTTTCTGAAGACGTAACGACATGGGAATGCCTGTGTCTACCAATCATTGTAGCCAGTTAGCAAAGCCGATACAGTCATTTCTAAAGGCTTTCCCATAAAACGTTCCAAATTAAAATGTTAAACTGCAAAGTAGGCTTACCTGGCAGAATATGATATCATGATGATTTGTATCAAGTGGTCTTTCGTTTTGCAAACTCTGCCAATGCGCATGCAGGCGCAATTTACATTAAAAAGGGCAACTGTACCCTCCAAAATATTTATTTAAATTTTTTCCCCAGACCTCAAAAGTGGTCTCCTGATGTGGTTTAAGCATTGTTGTTTTTTTTAAAGTGTCATTTTGAGAGTGAACACCTGAAAAAAAACTGTGGGAACTCCAAAAACTGGAAAAACTAAAACAAGAAAAACGTATTATTGTGTTTTTTGGTGTTATTATGGCAAATAAATGTATTAGCTGGTAAGAATTCTGAGTGGCTGGTATATCTTTTGTTTTTTTCATCTACCTGGTGGACCATGAAGTTAGTTTTTAGGAAATGTTCATAAATGATGTCGCGGGTCATTCCTAAACCACTCACGGGCATTTGTTTACACCTTGTTCAGTCATGTTACCTCATTAGTTAGCTAGCTAACAACCTGGTAGCTTTTATTTGTTTATTTGGATCCCCATTAGCTTTTGCAGTGGCAGCAGCTATTCTTCCTGGGGTCCAGAAAAAACATGACAGGTTACAAAAACACTGGTACACTGATGGACAAGGACAGTCACACATTTAATGATATACAAACAATACAAAAACCATTTAAAAACAATACAACTAAAAACAGAATGTGTGTTTGTGTGTGTCACCTCACAGTCCATGAGGTAATTTTGCTGTTTGCTTGAGTAATTGGAGTTCCATGTGATCATAATAATTAGTCATTTAGCAGACGCTCTTATCCAGAGCGACTTACAGGAACAATTAGGGTTAAGTGCCTTGCTCAAGGGCACATCGACAGATTTTCCACCTAGTCGGGGATTAGAACCAGCGACCTTTCGGTTACTGGCACAACGCTCTTAACCACTAAGCTACCTGCCGCCCTCATGGCTCTGTATAATCTTGTGCATTGCCGTGAATTCATTTTGGACTTGGGGACTGTGAAGAGACCCCTGGTGGCATGTCTTGTTGGGTATGTATGGGTGTCTGAGCGGAATGTTATTTCAATATGCAGACGATCTGAAATCTTCATTACAGTAATACTTCTCAAAAACTAGAAGAGAATAAATTAATCTCTCGTCAATCCTCAACCAGGAAAGACTGGCAGGCATGTTGTTGATGTTAGTTCTGTATGTGCAGTTAAGGGCAAGGCATTTGAGCCAGCTGCAGCTTTGCTATGTCTTTCTTTGCTGCACTTGACCATATTACCGGACAGTCATCAAGATGGGACAAGACCAGAGCCTGAACAACTAGTACAGTTGATGTGTCAAAAACACAGACCATCTTTTTATAAACAGACATACCCCTCCCCATCTTCACTACAACTTTGTCAATATGACTTGACCATGATAATTGACCATCCAATGTTATACCTAGGAGTTTAGCTTCCTCAACTTGCTCAATGGTCACACACTTTATACAACAACTCCAGTTGAGGTTTAGGTATTCAATGTTTATTTTTAACAAAATACAATGCTTTTAGTTTTAGATGATACTGACTAACTCCTTTTTTAGAATTTAAGTGAGTTCACTGGCTTTGTGTTCTGACATGTAGAGTGTGGAATCATCCGCTTACGTAGTCATTCTAGCTTTGTGTAAGACCAGTGGCAGATCATTTGTAAAAAAAATTGAGAAGAGTAATGGCCCAAGGCAACTGCCCTGAGGGACCCCACACTGTACATATCAGATGTTAGAGAAGCTTCCATTAAAAGAACACTCTGGGTTCTATTGGATAAATAACTCTCCAACCATGTGATGGCAGGTGATGTAAAACCATAGCGAGTGAGTTTCTTCAATAACAATTTATGATCAATAACATCAAAGGCTGCACTGAAATCGAACAATACAGCTCGGACTATCATCTTATTATCCATCTCTTTTAAACAATTATTTGGGGCAGTACAAGTTGAGTGCCCTTCTCTATATGCATGCTGAAAGTCAGTAGTTAACTTGTTCTCTGAAAAATAGCATTGTATTTGGTCAAAGAATTCTCTCCATCCATTTACTAAGAGCAGGCAGCAAACTTATTGGGCGGCTGTTAGAGCCATCAAAGGGTGCTTTACTATTTTTAGGCAGTGGAATTACTTAGGTGGCAATACAGTCTGCTACCATTCTCAATAGTTTCCCATCAAAGTTGTCTATACCTGGTGGCTTATAATTATTGATGGATAACAGTTGTTTCACCCCTCCCACACTTACTTGACCAAATTCAAAATAGCAATCTGTCTCTTCCATTACTACACCTTTGAACAAAAACAGGATGGTTCACTGTTCAATGTTGTCACTTCACTTCTGAGTTCTTCTACTTACTCGTGAAATAGTCATTGAAATGATTGGCAAAAATCGAAAGGTTTTGTTATACATTATCAATCAACTTCAATGAACAATGGAGATGAATAGGGTTTTCTGCCCATGATTTCATTTAAGGTATTCCAAAGTCTTTTTCGATTGTGTTTTATGTCATTTATCTTGGTTTGGTAATATAATTTAGTAATTAGTCACCACATTTCTCAATTGACAGTATGTCAACCAATCAGCTGGGCAGCCTGACTTGTTTGACACCTCTTTTGCATCATTTCTTTGAACCATACAATTGTTCAATTCATCATCAATTCAGTGGGCTCTAACAGCTCTCACACTTAATTTCTTAACAGGTGCATGCTGGTCAACAATTGGCAAGAATAATTTTACAAATTTTACAAAATGCTGCATCTGGATTCACTTCCTCATACACGTCAGACCAAAAAATAATTGTTTTACATCTTCAACAAAAGAGTCAAGAGAACATTTCTTGCATGATCTCTTATGAATTACTTTAGGCCCAACCTTTGGCACTTTGGCTTTCCTTGTTATTGCCACAATGTTATGTTCAGGTGCTTTGTGAGTGTCAGTTGGTGTATGTGTCTATGTGACGTGGGGCTGAAGCTACTGACCCGGAAGCTAGGCTCGGTCTCCTCCCAGGCTTTTGGGAGGGAGGGTGGACAATGAGCTTGTCGTAGGGGATGTAAGCAACGTCCCCACGTTCTCTTAGCAGCTTTCATAGATGGAATTACGTTCTTTACGGCTCTGGGGCTTCAGCTTCAGAGAAGACGTTAGTTCCCGTTAAGTTCTTGGCTCTCTCCAGAACAGCCATCTTGTCCTTGAACCTTAGGAGCTTGACCACTATCGGCCTGGGTCTGTCACCTGGACTGGTTACAGGATTTCCAGACCTGTGGGAGCGATCCACCTTAATCTTCCTATGATCCGTCTTGCAGATTTTCTGTGATAATTTTTCTCACTTTCTCCTCAGACTCCGTCCAGGTCTCATGTGTAGACTCTGGTATGCCATCCACAACAATGTTATTCCTCACGGATTGTCCCGCTAGATAGTCTGATTTCCCAGTGGTCTGTAATAGCGAAACACTGTCCTCTCCTAACACCAGCACAGCTCGCAGGGCTGATGGAAACAGCCACAAACAGCAGGGATTTAAACAGCCACAAGCCCGGGACTATCCGCGGTCCCAGCCACAAGGGCTACCCGCGTCGCGGCTTGTGTTCAAACTGTCAAGGAAACCTGGCTAGCTTGATCGCTAGCTAGCAGCTAGGCTAGCTGCTTCGCCAAGCAGCAGCTCGTCAGACCAGGGTTTGGCAGCATCCCTGGACAGATAGTAGCGGTCCCAGCAACTGAGGCTAACCGCGTTGCGGAATCCAAATTAAACTTTACCAGTACATCTAAACATTTGGGGGCACAGAAAGAAAGCAAAAGGGATTGCTTCTTTAGAACAGTGATTCCCAAACTGTGGGGCATGCCAGTCGGCAGGGGGGCCCCACAGTTTGGGAACCATTTTTCTAAAGAAGCTTTCCCTTTTATTTTTTTATTAAGGAACTCAGTCCAGCTTTCAACTTACTCCTGAAAGTTGTAATAGTAGAATACACAAGGTACAATTTCAAAATTGGGTAGTGCATCAGCAGTTTTCCTCTTGTCATGTCAGTCACTGCATACCTTAGAGAGCTATTTATAACGTGTTAGAAATGTCCAGATCAACTAGCCCATGTCAGCTAACGTTTTTTAGCCCATTGACTTTGTTGTAATGTTTGAGTCACTCAGATATCACATGAACACGCATAAGAAATGGCAAAATGTGTAGAATTGTAGGACATGAGCTTTAAAATGGCAACAACAAAAAAAAGTATCCATCCCATCTGCAAAATATTCCCTCTGCCAACATGAGTTTGTGTCATGCTTGTGCCCTTAGAAATAGACATGGGGCACGTACACAGGGGGGGAGCAGGGTGTTCCCCAATGCTGGAAGGGGGGTCTGAGTGAAAACGTTGGGGATCCCCTGCTTTAGAAGATCAATGATCATAGCAATGAATGAATGACTGATCTCTTGCATGTCGTCACTCACAAACTTGACGCTCTCAAAGAGACCTGATATTCCACAAATGACTTGGTAATTTCAATGACAGGTTTTTCTATCAACATTTTAGGTTTTTATAATAAAACGAATGTCTTTACAGGGTTAAATATTAGTTTCTAGAACACAACATGTGCTTCAAAAGCAGCTAGAATCCATATGGGCCCAATATGTATTTAATAATATCTCAATCAATTAAAAAAATATACAGTGAGGGAAAAAAGTATTTGATCCCCTGCTGATTTTGTACGTTTGCCCACTGACAAAGAAATGATCAGTCTATAATTTTTATGGTAGGTTTATTTGAACAGTGAGAGACAGAATAACAACAAAAAAATCCAGAAAAACGCATGTCAAAAATGTTATAAATTGATTTGCATTTTAATGAGGGAAATAAGTATTTGACCCACTCTCAATCAGAAAGATTTCTGGCTCCCAGGTGTCTTTTATACAGGTAACGAGCTGAGATTAGGAGCACACTCTTATAGGGAGTGCTCCTAATCTCAGCTTGTTACCTGTATAAAAGACACCTGTCCACAGAAGCAGTCAATCAATCAGATTCCAAACTCTCCACCATGGCCAAGACCAAAGAGCTCTCCAAGGATGTCAGGGACAAGATTGTAGACCTACATAAGGCTGGAATGGGCTACAAGACCTTCGCCAAGCAGCTTGGTGAGAAGGTGACAACAATTGGTGCGATTATTCGCAAATGGAAGAAACACAAAAGAACTGTCAATCTCCCTCGGCCTGGGGCTCCATGCAAGATCTCACTTCGTGGAGTTGCAATGATCATGAGAACGGTGAGGAATCAGCCCAGAACTACACGGGAGGATCTTGTCAATGATCTCAAGGCAGCTGGGACCATAGTCACCAAGAAAACAATTGGTAACACACTACGCCATGAAGGACTGAAATCCTGCAGCGCCCGCAAGGTTCCCCTGCTCAAGAAAGCACATACACAGCCCCGTCTGAAGTTTGCCAATGAACATCTGAATGATTCAGAGGAGAACTGGGTGAAAGTGTTGTGGTCAGATGAGACCAAAATCGAGCTCTTTGGCATCAACTCAACTCGCCGTGTTTGGAGGAGGAGGAATGCTGCCTATGACCCCAAGAACACCATCCCCACCGTCAAACATGGAGGTGGAAACATTATGCTTTGGGGATGTTTTTCTGCTAAGGGGACAGGACAACTTCACCACATTACATTTACATTTTAGTCATTTAGCAGACGCTCTTATCCAGAGCGACTTACAGTTAGTGAATACATCTTTTTTTTTATTATTTTTTTATACTGGCCCCCAGTGGGAATCGAACCCACAACCCTGGCGTTGCAAACGCCATGCTCTATCAACTGAGCTACATCCCTGCCGGCCATTCCCTCCCCTACCCTGGACGACGCTGGGCCAATTGTGCGCCGCCCATGAGTCTCCCGGTCGCGGCCGGCTGCGACAGAGCCTGGATTCGAACCAGGATCTCTAGTGGCACAGTTAGCACTGCCTTAGACCACTGCGCCACTCAGGAGTACATCAAAGGGGACGATGGACGTGGCCATGTACCGTCAAATATTGGGTGAGAACCTCCTTCCCTCAGCCAGGGCATTGAAAATAGGTCGTGGATGGGTATTCCAGCATGACAATGACCCAAAACACACAGGCCAAGGCAACAAAGAAGTGGCTCAAGAAGAAGCTCATTAAGGTCCTGGTGTGGCCTAGCCAGTCTCCAGACCTTAATCCCATAGAAAATCTATGGAGGGAGCTGAAGGTTCGAGTTGCCAAACGTCAGCCTTGAAACCTTAATGACTTGGAGAAGATCTGCAAGATCCCTCCTGAGATGTGTGCAAACTTGGTGGCCAACTACAAGAAACGTCTGACCTCTGTGATTGCCAACAAGGGTTTTGCCAACAATGGTTTTGCCACCAAGTACTAAGTCATGTTTTGCAGAGGGATCAAATACTTATTTCCCTCATTAAAATGCAAATCAATTTATAACATTTTTTGACATGCATTTTTCTGGATTTTTTTGTTGTTATTCTGTCTCTCACTGTTCAAATAAACCTACCATTAGAATTATAGACTGATCATGTCTTTGTCAGTGGGCAAACGTTCAAAATCAGCAGTTAAGTTTGCCGACGACACAACAGTGGTAGGCCTGATCACCGACAACGATGAGACAGCCTATAGGGAGGAGGACAGAGACCTGGCCGTGTGGTGCCAGGACAACAACCTCTCCCTCAACGTGACCAAGACAAAGGAGATGATTGTGGACTACAGGAAAAAAAAGAGGACTGAGCACGCCCCCATTCTCATCGACGGGGCTGTAGTGGAACAGGTTGAGAGCTTCAAGTTCCTTGGTGTCCACATCACCAACAAACTATCATGGTCCAAACACAAGACAGTCGTGAAGAGGGCACGACAAAGCCTATTCCCCCTCAGGAGACTGAAAAGATTTGGCATGGGTCCTCAGATCCTCAAAAAATTCTACAGCTGCACCATCGAGAGCATCCTGACTGGTTGCATCACCGCCTGGTATGGCAACTGCTTGGCCTCCGACCGCAAGGCACTACAGAGGGTAGTGCGTACGGCCCAGTACATCACTGGGGCCAAGCTTCCTGCCATCCAGGACCTCTATACCAGGCGGTGTCAGAGGAAGGCCCTCAAAATTGTCAAAGACTCCAGCCACCCTAGTCATAGACTGTTCTCCCTGCTACCACACAGCAAGCGGTACCGGAGTGCCAAGTCTAGGTCCAAAAGACTTCTCAACAGCTTCTACCCCCAAGCCATAAGACTCCTGAACAGCTAATCATGGCTACCCAGACTATTTGCACTGCCCCCCCACCCCATCCTTTTTACGCTGCTGCTACTCTGTTAATTATTTATGCATAGTCACTTTAACTCTACACACATGTACATATTACTTCAACTATCTCAACTAGCCGGTGACCCCGCACATTGACTCTGCACCGGTACCCCCCTGTATATATAGCCTCCCTACTGTTATTTTATTTTACTTCTGCTCTTTTTTTCTCAACACTATTTTTGTTGTTGTTTTATTTTTACTTTTTTTGTTAAAAATAAATGCACTGTTGGTTAAGGGCTGTAAGTAAGCATTTAACTGTAATGTCTGCACCTGTTGCATTCGGCGCATGTGACCAATAAAATTTGATTTGATTTGGGATCAAATACTTTTTTCCCTCACTGTATATCTGGTGCTCCTAGATTTAATGTTGTGCTCCTAACTTAAAAATTGGCAGCACCAGTGCTACCAATGAATTTTTTTAAAATGCTGTGCCCTGATCGTCATCACCACCATCAGTGACAAGAGCCGTATGGCCTGGGTCATGTTCATTAGAGCACAACATTTTAAAACGTTTTGCAACGAAAAACAAAACATTAGCGTCTCTTATTGGACAGGTACAGATAGATTCTCCCTGTTTCAGTCCGTTTGTAGGAGCCAAACGGAAACCAACAGCTTAAACGGGGGCGGCACTAACCTGAACTTTTCAATAAGAAACGGCCATTTTTGTTGTAAAACTTGTTTTAGTTGCAAAACATTTCACTACGGTGTACACTGATGAATACACCACAGATATTAAGCAGAACTCACCGGTGAAGGTGAAGGTTGAGGGGAAGATGACGTGGATTCCTGCACTGTGGATATCGAACATGATCCCGAAGTATATAGCTATACTGCAGAGGACAGCGAAGCAGTTCACAAAGGTCCAGTAGGACGTCTCCAGAGATATCTGGAGAGAACAGAAGAGACACAGGAAAATAAAAACAACTCTACATCACTTGCTAACAGCTATAAAATCGGTCTCTTATCAGTCTTGCATTTGAGCTGAACAGTTTTATAAAAAGAACAGCTGGGAATCAATCAACTAACCAATCCAACCAACTAATCAAATCAACCAATCATTCTCCAGCTACCTGCAGGTTGACGGTGAAGATGAGAGAGGAGGCCATGACCACAGCGAGGGACTGGTAGTCGGAGGGTGCCTCTCCGTCCTGCCCCATGGTCTGGAGGAACGCTCCGTACGGGATGAAGAATATCACCAGAGAGGTGAAGATGCCGTGGAACAGACTGATGAAGAAATTCTTGTAGTTGAACAGCGCCCCCTGCTGACCAGGGAGGTATAACTTGGGGAACTTTCTACTCAGTTTGTCGTTCACGTCCTTCAAAGGAAACAGGAAATAGAAATGACATATTAGCTCAGGGGTTCTCAAACTTTTACTGCACTCAACCCCAAATTGACACTTGAAAATGCAGGGGACCCCACTTGGAAAAATGATATTCCCTAGTTAACGCTGTGTGTTCATATTACCTCAATTTTTGTTCACGCATTTTAATAGTGTAAAACGTCCTTAGTTGACACTAAGAGGTTGTGTTCTATAACCATTTGAAGACAAAAGTATTTGTTTGATAAGAAGATTAAATATTTTCTCAGGGCTCCCAATTTACATTTCAGGAGATCCCACACAGGGCTGAGGAAGACGTCAGCTTGACGTCGAAACATCAGTCACCTGTACTAATCTTGAAGAACAATGTATTAAAGTGACCTTGTATTAAAGTGACCTAAAATAAATAAATCTGTATTTATGCTCCAACTCCTTTTTACCTCAAATTAATTAGTACTTTCTGGAAGTTTTTCTTGGTAAGCCTCATGCTTTTTGTCATTGTTGTTGAGCAACCCTCCTTTCCTTTGTTTGCTTTAGCGCAACGGCCTGCTGAACTCAGAATTAGTTAAACATTGTCCCCTTCAGATCATACGACACATATGAGTCATTGAGTGATGAAACAACAAAGGATTTTGATTCAATGTTCACCATTAAAAATACGTAGAGAACAAATTCAAAATTGTAACTATGTTATTTTATGCTATATATTCATTTTAATAAGAGGTAATAACACCAAGACAAATGTTTTGGACGTCAGACCATCGCCAGTGCGTCAATATTAAAGCTTACCTGATCCAACAAGCCAACCAACAGGACAGGAAGGGAGCTGTACATCACGTTGTACAAAGTAATGAACCAGTCTTCATAGGCAACCTGGAGAGTTAACAAAAACTCATAAATAAAATAATATAATTCATTCTTCTGTCATCAAATACATGTCCACATTTAGGATAAATGATCTTTACCATAGTAGATGTTATGGAAAGGTACAAAAGTAATTGGGGTTTTTTGAAGTCAGTCTAGATAAGTGGTCAATGAATACGTGAAAATGCAGTTTAGACAAGCAGCGAGACTGCTACTGTCTGTTATCCATCCTGCTGCCTAGTCACTTCACCTCTACCTATATGTACATGGCTACCTCAAATACCATGTACCCCTGCACATCGACTCGGTACTGGTACTCCGTATATAGCCACGTTACTTTCTACTCCCTGTATATAGCCATGTTACTTTCTACTTCCTGTTTATAGCCACGTTACTTTCTACTCCCTGTATATAGCCACGTTACTTTCTACTCCCTGTATATAGCCACGTTACTTTCTACTCCCTGTTTATAGCCACGTTACTTTCTACTTCCTGTTTATAGCCACGTTACTTTCTACTTCCTGTTTATAGCCACGTTACTTTCTACTTCCTGTTTATAGCCACGTTACTTTCTACTTCCTGTATATAGCCACGTTACTTTCTACTTCCGGTTTATAGCCACGTTACTTTCTACTTCCTGTTTATAGCCACGTTACTTTCTACTTCCTGTATATAGCCACGTTACTTTCTACTCCCTGTATATAGTGTCGTAGTAAATATATAATGTTATAGCTTGGTCTGACTAAAATCTTGTGCATGACCCATTTTGTGTTGGGCGTTTGTTTTCAATACAATGGACAAAAGAGTCCTATCTTGTCAGCCTTGTCAGCAGGTGGCTAAGGACAACACCCACGCCATAGGTCTCTCAGTTCTTCCAACTCACGAGTTCTTGCTCTGAGGACACACACACACACCCACACACACACACACACCATCACTGATAAACACACACACACACACACACACACACACACACAAAAATCCCCTTCTCTTAGGCTGAACATCTGAAGACAGAGAACCCGACTCAGAGCCAATGCAACAGTGATAATAACCTGGAGGGGACCTCGCCCAACTCATCAGGACCAATCAGAAGATCAGAAATACTAGATTCAACCTACTTCATTTTATTGTATAAAATGTCAGCACACAATGTTTCGGGGCTCTCTCAGATATCTCCCTACGAGATTGACGAACGGGTCCGTGCACGCGATTCCAGATATCTTTACCTCTGAATAAACTGCCTTATATTATACCATTATCCACCCTGTCCAAAGTCTCTACTTGGTCTCAGTTCTCCAGTAAACTTGTGATTATCAACAATAGCCACGTTACTTTCTACTCCCTGTTTATAGCCACGTTACTTTCTACTTCCTGTATATAGCCACGTTACTTTCTACTCCCTGTATATAGCCACGTTACTTTCTACTCCCTGTTTATAGCCACGTTACTTTCTACTTCCTGTTTATAGCCACGTTACTTTCTACTTCCTGTTTATAGCCACGTTACTTTCTACTTCCTGTATATAGCCACGTTACTTTCTACTTCCGGTTTATAGCCACGTTACTTTCTACTTCCTGTATATAGCCATGTTATTTTCTACTCCCTATATACAGCCATGTTACTTTCTACTCCCTATATATAGCCATGTTACTTTCTACTCCCTGTATATAGCCATGTTACTTTCTACTTCCTGTTTATAGCCATGTTACTTTCTACTTCCTGTATATAGCCATGTTACTTTCTACTTCCTGTTTATAGCCATGTTACTTTCTACTTCCTGTTTATAGCCGTGTTACTTTCTACTCCCTATATATAGCCATGTTGTTTTTACTCGTTATTGTTATTCACTGTGTGTGTGTGTATATATATATATATATATTCTCATCTTTAACTCCGTATTGTTAGAAAAGGACCCGTAAGTAAGCATTTCACTGCTAGTCCACACCGGTTGTCTACAAAGCGATAAATAACATGTTATTTTATCCTAGTGCACTCCGTTCCCCCTTTAGTGCACTCCGTTCCCCCTTTAGTGCACTCCGTTCCCCCTTTAGTGCACTCCGTTCCCCCTTTAGTGCACTCCGTTCCCCCTTTAGTGCACTCCGTTCCCCCTTTAGTGCACTCCGTTCCCCCTTTAGTGCACTCCGTTCCCCCTTTAGTGCACTCCGTTCCCCCTTTAGTGCACTCCGTTCCCCCTTTAGTGCACTCCGTTCCCCCTTTAGTGCACTACTTTTGATTTTTTCCCACAGGGCACTATGTAGGGCAGGGCTGCCCAACCCCATTCCTGGAGACCTACAGTCACTTCAACACTAACATACCTGATTATATTAATTAGCTGGCTGCTAAGCTACATCAGGTTAGTTACAACTGGGGTTGGAGTGAAAACCTACAGGAGGGCAGATCCCCAGGAACAGGATTTGCCAGCCCTGATATAGGAAACAAGTTTCCATTTGGTGCACACCCTACCTCTAGAACATTCCCTCACCTGAGCTGAGAACCCACTGAAGAAGGAGTACCAGAAGTGGACCAGGGTGAAGGCAAAGTTCTTGAAGAAGAAGAAGCGGAGGAACTTGCACATGCGGATGTAGGACCAGCGGCCGTGCACCAGCAGGAGACGCTCCAGGTAGCGGAACTGAGCAAAGGCATAGTCACTGGACATCACCGCCTGCATGCCCTCCTGCCCGGATATACCCACACCGATGTCTGCAGCTGGAGCGAGAGAAGGTGGAGGTGGAGGGAGAGACATTATCATTATAACTATTACTTTTAAATATTACTGTTAGTCCCACCATTGTTGTTATGTACTTGGACAACGTAAGTGATTTAACTTGCCATGTCAATAGTCTATTGAATTCAAATGTAATTGAACTGGGCGAGAGAGAGAGAGAGAGAGAGAGAGAGAGAGACAGCGAGAGACAGGGAGAAGTATAGATAGAGTGAGAAAGGGTGAGAGAGAAAGTCAGTAATGGTGCACATTTTGGTTTTTGTCCTAGCACTACACAGCTGATTCAAAGAACCAATTCATCATCAAGCTTTGATTATTTGAATTAGCTGTGTAGTGCTAGGGCAAAAAACCGGGGGGGCCCAGGACCGACTTTGGGAAACCCTGGTGTAGGGGATCCATTTGAGCAGGGCGAGGCGCAGAATCGATCTCAAACATCACATAAGTATACATTTAGTTTGAAGTAAAATGGGGTCAAGAGTATAACAGCTATCAATATTAATTTCAAGGTAATAAAGTTCTAACCCTATGGTAATTAACCTGTGTGGTGAAAATCAAATTCATCTTTAAAGCTAGAATCTTTTAGTTGCTACATCAAATTAATGATATACTGTACACGTATTGATTCTTGAAGAATATAACTTATAAATGCCTCATGATCTTAGTTCAACAGTCCCATCAGAACCCAGAATATTAGCTTGTTTTACTCCAATGTTTGTAAACAATGTAAATAAATAATAATAATATAATAAGCCATTTAGCAAACGCCTTTATCCAAAGCGACTTACAGTCATGCGTGCATACATTATTTTTTGTGTATGGGTGGTCCCGGGGATCGTACCCACTACCTTAGCGTTACAAGCGCCGTGCTCTACCAGCTGAGCTACAGAGGATAGCCTCAAACACAGCTGAGCTACAGAGGATAGCCTCAAACACAGCTGAGCTACAGAGGATAGCCTCAAACACAGCTGAGCTACAGAGGATAGCCTCAAACACAGCTGAGCTACAGAGGATAGCCTCAAACACAGCTGAGCTACAGAGGATAGCCTCAAAACCATGGTTAAAACTATCATTTTGATATCAGTCATTTGCATCCACAGCAGTCTATGAATAAAAAAAATACAGCTTTGTAATTTTTTTTCAATTAAGGATTCTAGCTTTAACAATTACTAATAAATTATTAATAATTTAAAGTAAAATCAAATAAATATCCTTCCGTACTCTTGATCATGTTGACGTCGTTGGCTCCGTCTCCGATGGACAGCGTGACGGCCTTCTTGTATTTCTTCACCAGACTGACCACGTTGGCCTTCTGTTTGGGCGTGACACGGCAGCAGATGACCGCTTCGCACTCGCACGCCATGTTCACAAAGTCCACCTGACGAGTCTCCTTCTCCCAGTCATCAATTGGCTGGGCGGCATCCAGGGGCGTGGTGGAGGCAGGTCTCTTACCAAGCCGCTTCAATCGAAGACGGCGACGCTTCTTTTTCTTCTCGTATAAGATCTCGTTCTGTGCAGAGAGAGACAGAGAGAGACAGAGAGAGAGAGAGAGACACTCTGGGTATGTACATAGTCAATGGTAGGCTTCGAGGAGACTCCTATGGTAGGTACACCTATAGCTCATCTCTTGGCAGTAGTACTGTAGACTACTTTATCACTGACCTCAACCCAGAGTCTCTCAGAGCGTTCACAGTCAGGCCACTGACACCCCTATCAGACCACAGCAAGATCACAGTCTACTTGAACAGAGCAATACTCAATCATGACGCATCAAAGCCAAATGAACTGAATAATATTAAGATATGCTATAGATGAAAGGAAAGTAGCGTATAAACTTACCAATAAAACAATTAGGCAACAACAAATTCAATCCCTTTCAGACAACTTCCTGGACAAAACGTTTCACTGTAATAGTGAAGGTGTAAACCTAGCAGTAGAAAACCTAAAACAGTATATTTGACCTCTCAGCTTCCCTATCAAATCTAAAGATGTCTAACAGAAAACCAAAGAAAATTAACAACAATGACATATGGTTTGATGAAGAATGCAAAAACCTAAGAAAGAAATTGAGAAACCTATCCAACCAAAAACAGACACCAAGAAATCCTGAGCCTACGCCTTCACTCTAGTGAATCAATAAAACAATACAGAAATACCCTACGGAAAAAGAAGGAACAGCACGTCAGAAATCAGCTCAATGCAATTGAAGAATCCATAGACTCTAACCACTTCTGGGAAAATTGGAAAACACTAAACAAACAACACGAAGAGTTATCTATCCAAAATGGAGATGTATGGGTAAACCACTTATCCAATCTTTTTGGCCCTATAACAAAGAACAAACAGCAAAAACGATCAAATACAAATCTTAGAATCAACTGTTAAAGACTACCAGAACCCACTGGATTCTCCAATTACATTGAATGAACTACAGGACAAAATACAAACCCTCCAACCCAATAACTACCACGGGATCTGCGTCAACAGCAACCTTGGGAAAATCCTCTGCATTATCATTAACAGCAGACTAGTTTATTTCCTCAGTGAAAACAATGTACTGAGCAAATGTCAAATTGGCTTTTTACCAAATTACTGTACGACAGACCACGTATTCACCCTGCACACCCTAATTGACAAACAAACCAAAACAAAGGCAAAAGTCTCTTCATGCTTTGTTGATTTCAAAAAAGCTTGACTCAATTTGGCATGAGGGTCTCCTATCCAAATTGATGGAAAGTGGTGTTGGGGGAAAAACATACGACATTATAAAATCCATGAACACAAACAACAAGTGTGCGGTTAAAATTGGCAAAAATTTATTTCCACAGGGCCGTGGGGCGAGACAGGGATGCAGCGTAAGCCACACACTCTACAACATATATATAAATGAATTGGCGAGGGCACTAGAACAGTTTGCAGCACCCTGCCTCACCCTACTAGAATCTGAAGTCAAATGTCTACTGTTTGCTGATGATCTGGTGCTTCTGTCACCAACCAAGGAGGGCCTACAGCAGCACCTAGATCTTCTGCACAGATTCTGTCAGACCTGGGCCCTGACAGTAAATCTCAGTAAGACAAAAATAATGGTGTTCCAAAAAAGGTCCAGTTGCCATGACCACAAATACAAATTCCATCTAGACACCGTTGCCCTAGAGCACACAAAAAACTATACATACCTCGGCCTAAACATCAGCGCCACAGGTAACTTCCACAAAGCTGTGAACAATCTGAGAGACAAGGCAAGAAGGGCCTTCTATGCCATCAAAAAGGAACATAAAATTTGACATACCAATTAGGATCTGGCTAAAAAATACTTGAATCAGTTATAGAACCCATTGCCCTTTATGGTTGTGAGGTCTGGGGTCCGCTCACCAAACAATAATTCACGAAATGGGACAAACACTATATTGAGACTGCATGCAGAATTCTGCAAAAATATCCTCAGTGTACAACGTAAAACACCAAATAATGCATGCAGAGCAGAATTAGGCCGATACCCGCTAATTATCAAAATCCAGAAAAGAGCCGTTAAATTCTACAACCACATAAAAGGAAGCGATTCCCAAACCTTCCATAACAAAGCCATCACCTACAGAGAGATGAACCTGGAGAAGAGTCCCCTAAGCAAGCTGGTCCTGGGGCTCAGTTCACAAACAGACCCCACAGAGCCCCAGGACAGCAACACAATTAGACCCAACCAAATCATGAGAAAACAAAAAGAGAATTACTTCCCATATTGGAAAGAATTTACTAATAAACTGAGCAAACTAGAATGCTATTTGGCCCTAAACAGAGAGTACACAGTGGCAGAATACCTGACCACTGTGACTGACCCAAAATTAAGGAAAGCTTTGACTATGTACAGACTCAGTGAGCATAGCCTTGCTATTGAGAAAGGCCGCCGTAGGCAGACCTGGCTCTCAAGAGAAGACAGGCTATGTGCACACTGCCCACAAAATGAGGTAGAAACTGAGCTGCACTTCCTAACTTCCTGCCAAATGTATGACCATATTAGAGACACATACTTCCCTCAGATTACACAGACCCACAAAGAATTCGAAAACAAGTCTATTTTGGATAAACTTCCATATCTATTGGGTGAAATACCAGTGTGCAATCACAGCAGCAAGATGTGTGACCTGTTGCCACAAGAAAAGGGCAACCAGTGAAGAACAAACACCATTGTAAATACAATCCATATTTATGTTTATTTATTTTCCTTTTTGTACTGCACATCATTATAACACTGAATATAGACATAATATGACATTTGAAATGTTTTTATTATTTTGGAACTTCTGAGTGTAATGTTTAATGTTAATTTATTGTTTATTTCACTTTTGTTTGTTATCTATTTCACTTGCTTTGGCAATGTACGTGCCAATAAAGCCCTTAAATTCTGAGAGAGAGAAAAACATGCACATTTAGAAAACAATCTTGATGTCCCTCAATTCGAAGCTAGCCCTATTTGGTCAAAGACCAAGTCCATATTATGACAAGAACAGCTCAAATAAGCAAAGAGAAACGACAGTCCATCATTACTTTAAGACATGAAGGTCAGTCAATCCGGAAAATGTCAAGAACTTTGGAAGTTTCTTCAAGTGCAGTCGCAAAAACCATCAAGCGCTATGATGAAACTGGCTCTCATGAGGACCGCCACAGGAAAGGAAGACACAGAGTTACCTCTGCTGCAGAGGATAAGTTAATTAGAGTTACCAGCCTCAGAAATTGCAGCCCAAATAAATGCTTCACAGAGTTCAAGTAACAGACATCTCAACAGCAACTGTTCAGAGGAGACTGCGTGAATCAGGCCTTCATGGTCGAATTCCTGCAAAGAAACCACTACTAAAGGACACCAATAATAAGAAGAGACTTGCTTGGGCCAAGAAACACAAGCAATGGACATTAGACCAGTGGAAAATCTTTTCTTTGGTCTGATGAGTCCAAATTTGAGATTTTGATTCCAACCGTCGTGTCTGTGAGACGCAGAGTAGGTGAACGGATGATCTCTGCATGTGTGGTTCCCACCGTGAAGCATGGAGGAGGTGGTGTGATGATGCTTTGCTGGTGACACTGTCAGTGATTTATTTAGAATTCAAGGCACACTTGACCAGCATGGCTACCACAGCATTCTGCAGCGATACGCCATCCCATCTGGTTTGGGCTTAGTGGGACTATAATTTGTTTTTCAACAGGACAATGACCCAACACACCTCCAGGCTGTGTAAGGGCTATTTGACCAAGAAGGAGAGTGATGGAGTGCTGCATCAGATGACCTGGCCTCCACAATCCCCCAACCTCAACCCAATTGAGATGGTTTGGGATGAGTTGGACCGCAGAGTGAAGGAAAAGCAGCCAACAAGTACTCAGCATATGTGGGAACTCCTTCAAGGCTGTTGGAAAAGCATTCCTCAAGAAGCTGGTTGACAGAATTCCAAGAGTGTGCAAAGCTGTCATCAAGGCAAAGGGTGGCTACATTGAAGAATCTAAAATCTAAAATATATTTAGATTTGTTTAACACTTTTTGGGTTACTACATGATTCCATGTGTGTTATTTCATAGTTTTGATGTCTTCACTATTCTTCTACAATGTAGAAAATAGTAAAAATTAAGAAAAACCCTGGAATGAGTAGGTGGGTCCAAACTTTTTACTGGTACTGTACAGTTGAAGTCGGAGGTTCCCACGGGGGGCCAGTATGAAAAATGTATGCACTCACTAACTGTAAGTCGCTCTGGATAAGAGCGTCTGCTAAATGACTAAAATCTAAAATGTAAGTTTACATACAACTTAGCGAAATACATTTAAACCCAGTTTTTCACAATTCCTGACATTTAATCCTAGTAAACATTTCCTGTTTTAGGTCAGTTAGGATCACCACTTTATTTTAAGAATGTGAAATGTCAGAATAATAGTAGAGAGAATGATTTATTTCAGCTTTTATTTCTTTCATCACATTCCTAGTGGGTCAGAAATTTACATTCAATTAGTATTTGGTAGCATTGCCTTTAAATGGTTTAACATGGGTCAAACGTTTCGGATAGCCTTCCACAAGCTTCCCACAATAAGTTGGGTGAATTTTGGCCCATTCCTCCTGACAGAGCTGGTGTAACTGAGTCAGGTTTGTAGACCTCCTTGCTCGCACACGCTTTTTCAGTCCTGCCCACAAATGTTCTATAGGATTGAGGTCAGGGCTTTGTGATGGCCACTCCAATACCTTGACTTTGTTGTCCTTAAGCCATTTTGCCACAACTTTGGAAGTATGCTTGGGGTCATTGTCCATTTGGAAGACCCATTTGCGACCAAGCTTTAACTTCTTGACTGATGTCTTGAGATGTTGCTTCAATATATCCACATAATATAATATGCCATTTAGCAGACGCTTTTATCCAAAGCGACTTACAGTCATGCGTGCGTACATTTTTTATTTTTTTTGTGTATGGGTGGTCCCGGGGATCAAACCCACTACCTTGGCGTTACAAGCGCCGTGCTCTACCAGCTGAGCTACAGAGGACCACATAATTTTCCTTCCTCATGATGCCATCTATTTTGTGAAGTGCACCAGTCCCTCCTGCAGCAAAGCACCCCCAAAGCATGATGCTGCCATCCCCGTGCTTCACGGTTGGGATGTTGTTCTTCGGCTTGCAAGGTACCCCCTTTTTCCTCCAAACATAACGATGGTCATTATGGCCAAACAGTTATATTTTTGTTTCATCAGACCAGAGGACATTTCTCCAAAAAGTACGATCTTCGTCCCCATGTGCAGTTGCAAACCGTAGACTGGCTTTTTTATGGCGGTTTTAGAGCAGTGGCTTCTTCCTTGCTGAGCGGCCTTGCAGGTTATGTCGATATAGGACTCGTTTTACTGTGGATATAGATACTTTTGTATCCGTTTCCTCCAGCATCTTCACCAGGTCCTTTGCTGTTGTTCTGGGATAGATTTTCACTTTTCGCACCAAAGTACGTATGACGGCTGCGTGGTCCCATGGTGTTTATACTTGCGTACTATTGTTTGTACAGATGAACGTGGTACCTTCAGGCGTTTGGAAACTAGACTTGTGGAGGTCTACAAAAAAAAAAAAATCCCATGATGTCAAGCAAAGAGGCACTGAGTTTAAGGTAGGCCTTGAAATACATCCACAGGTACACCTCCAATTGACTCAAATGATGTCAATTAGCCTATCAGAAGCTTCTAAAGCCATGACATAATTTTTTGGAATTTTCCAAGCTGTTTAAAGGCACAGTCAACTTAGTGTATGGAAACTTCTGACCCACTGGAATTGTGATAGTGAATTATAAGTGAAATAATCTGTCTGTAAACAATTGTTACTTAAAATTACTTGTGGCATGCACAACATAGATGTCCTAACCGACTTGCCAAAACTATAGTTTGTTAACAAGAAATGTGTGGAGTGGTTGAAAAACGAGTTTTAATGATTCCAACCTAAGTGTACGTAAACTTCCGACTTCAACTGTATATCTTTTTTTTATGGCACACGAGACATGTCTGATTCGCGCCTGTCTCAGTGGACTAATCCATTGTGGCCTCCATTAAAACTCGTTTTTCAACCACTCCACACATTTCTTGTTAACAAACTATAGTTTTGGCAAGTCGGTTAGGACATCTATGTTGTGCATGCCACAAGTAATTTTAAGTAACAATTGTTTACAGACAGATTATTTCACTTATAATTCACTATCACAATTCCAGTGGGTCAGAAGTTTACATACACTAAGTTGACTGTGCCTTTAAACAGCTTGGAAAATTCCAGAATGGCACAGTCCAGGAAGAAGGTGTGTGGCTAAGATGCACAATGCACTTCTCTCTCCAGAATGCTCTCCCTCCTGCCAATTTGTGCACATTTGTTTCATAACGTCATTGTGTGAATTTTTTTGCATTTGATTGTTAGCGTCTATCAATTCCTCCATTACATATATCACCAGTACACTTACCGTTATTTCCCATAATTTTGAATCTACAATGTTATTTTGGTTACGGTCATTTCTGTTAATACATTAAATATATTATTACAGTCTTTTACCATTCTCGTTGTCAGAGTGGACACGTTGTTTGCAGAGCACACAACCTATGCTATACTTGTGAGAAACACGTTTTGGTTCATTCCATCCCATTTATGAGTTTTGTCAATTTATTCATCGTCTTTTGTTTGGAGCGCTCCTGTCACGCATTGAAGTAGATACCTGGCCTGCTCGTCAATGTGCCCATTTGGGGATCTGATAGTATTTCTGATTGTCTTAACTAACCACCACTAATGAACTGTGGAGCTTCGCAAAGTAATGTTGTTTTCTTCACCTCAAAACACCAAGCAAACAAAGTTTGATTTTACATCCATTGAGAATGACAATAGTTCCTCAATGTATTTGAAAAATCTTTCCAGCTCTCCTTCATTTGGGAAAAATGTAATGCTCTGATCCAGTGGAAACGTCATAAAATAGGCCTACCTGATTACCTCTTATCCCTGCACAAATAGCCTAAAGATGTATCTGTCTTTCTCCCTTCTGATAACCAGGTGGCGAATCGCATCTCTGCATGTCTGGCAGACATAGTGTGGATGACGGATCACCACCTCAAGCTGAACCTCCGCAAGACGGAGCTGCTCTTCCTCCCGGGGAAGGACTGCCCGTTCCATGATCTGGCCATCACGGTTGACAACTCCGTTGTGTCCTCCTCCCAGAGTGCAAAGAGCCTTGGCATGACCCTGGACAACACCCTGTCGTTCTCCGCTAACATCAAGGCGGTGACCCGATCCTGTAGGTTCATGCTCTACAACATTCGTAGAGTATGACCCTGCCTTACACAGGAAGCGGCACAGGTCCTAATCCAGGCACTTGTCATCTCCCGTCTGGATTACTGCAACTCGCTGTTGGCTGGGCTCCCTGCCTGTGCCATTAAACCCCTACAACTCATCCAGAACGCCGCAGCCCGTCTGGTGTTCAACCTTCCCAAGTTCTCTCACGTCACCCCGCTCCTCCGCACACTACACTGGCTTCCAGTTGAAGCTCGCATCTGCTACAAGACCATGGTGCTTGCCTACGGAGCTGTGAGGGGAACGGCACCTCCGTACCTTCAGGCTCTGATCAGTCCCTACACCCAAACGAGGGCATTGCGTTCATCCATCTCTGGCCTGCTGGCCCCCCTACCTCTGCGGAAGCACAGTTCCCGCTCAGCCCAGTCAAAACTGTTCGCTGCTCTGGCACCCCAATGGTGGAACAATCTCCCTCACGACGCCAGGACAGCTGAGTCACTCACCACCTTCCGGAGACACTTGAAACCCCACCTCTTTAAGGAATACCTGGGATAGGATAAAGTAATCCTTCTACCCCCCCCCCCTACCCCACACCCCCATAAAAATAAAAATATTGTAAAGTGGTTATCCCACTGGCTATAAAGGTGAATGCACCAATGTGTAGGTCACTCTGGATAAGAGCATCTGCTAAATGACGTAAATGTAAAAATGTCTGGAGCTCTCTGGCACGGGAAACTCAGAGGGCCCAGAATATTTTATACAATGTTGCTAGCGTGAGCTTCTGGTGATAGTTGATGCAATGTTTCAAGTTTGTTGCAGGCAGGCCATGCGTAGCCAATGTGATTTATAGGATGTTTATTTTTAAATCAGGATATTTTCTACCTGCAATGTTTTTATTTGTTGGCTTTATGTAGGCTATTTTTACATAGTTGGCAATGGTAATAGAAGTACGTTTTTAGATTTGTATTTTCATTTTGATAGAATTTTGATTAACAACATGACAATGATTTTGAGACATTATGTTATTATAAATTAAATGAAACTGTTCCACGAAAATGTGCATATGAAAACCATAACTGGCACGCAGATTGGTATAAATGGTGAGATAAATTGGCATTCCACATGAAAAAGGTTTGCCGACCCCTCGTGTAGCCTATTACCGGTACCTTCCAGAGTAACACAGAAGGCCAACAGGAGCGGGAGAAGCGGATGGTCGGGTCAAGTACAGTTTATTTTATTTTATTAGTGTTATCTTGATCTCTGGCTCCCTCTTGAGTCACTGTCTTATTTCATCAAACAGTGCGCTTAAAGCGTCAGACAAGCTCAATGCATATAGTTGATTTTACTCAAACACATACGGTGTGTCTATATATGGAAAAATACACGACTTTCGGACGACCAAGATTTGTTTTCAGTCGGGGACAGCCCTAAGTTGAATAGTAAGACCAACTATGATGCAGTCGGCTCCTACACTCACCAGCCAGCCTCCAGTGATGATGAGGGCGTTCCTGCCAGGCTCGGGGAAGAACGGATCCGGTACCTTCTTCCTGGTCCGACCGAAAGCAGGCGGCTGGTCCCTTCTGTTTGCCTGTCTGATCCGCAGCTTCTCACTGTCACAAACACAGAATGATTTCATTTGGGGGTTAAAAATAACACACTGTATATCAACACGATGTATATTTGATCCCAGAGGATATAAGTATTATTGAAAACCAAACCTACTTGACATCCTCCCCATAGTGGACCTGCATGTCATCGGTAAGCAACTCACAGGAATAGCCAATGTTCTCAGCCGTTTCTGCAAGGGAGGAAATGTCTCCATGTTTCTTTCCATCCCAGACATCAATACACATTTAATCCATCAAGCTGCAGACTCAGTGAAGTAGCAGCACAAGAGAAGGTTTGATCGCAACACTTAAAATCAACAGTAAAACATTGTTGGGAGATAAACATGGCACCCTAAGGTGCATTACTATGAGCCCTGGCCACTATCTAGGGAACCCCAGTCTCTGGTTGCATAGAGATGAACATTCCAGATGCTCTCCCACCACAGAGGCTGGCCATCACGGAGACGCCGCCCCTGAGAACATACCTCTTCTCTTTACTCTCTTTTTCCGTCTTTTCTCTCATACCTTTCTTATCTCCAGTGAGAACCCAGATCTTGATGTCAGCCTTTGCCAGCTTGGCGATGGTCTCAGGAACCCCGTCCTGTAGCTTGTCCTCGATGGCAGTCGCTCCAATCATCTGCAGATCAGGACAAAACAACGCTAACGTGTCTCTTTTAAAAAGAGTAGAAGGAATCAGCAACTTTTGGGCGAGCCAAAGCTCTGAACAGCATGTATGTCAAAAATAACTATTGGAACTTGTAGAATATACAGTGCATTCGGAAAGTATTCAGACCCCTTCCCTTTTTCCACATTATGTTACAGCCTTATTCTAAAATGTATATATAATTTTTTAATAATCTCAATCTACACACAATACTCCATAATGACAAAGCAAAAACAGGTTTAGATTTTTTTGCTAATTTATAAAAATAATAAAATAAACGAAATATCACATTTACATAAGTATTCAGACCCTTTGCTATGAGACTCGAAATTGAGCTCAGGTGCATCCTGTTTCCATTGATCATCCTTAAGATGTTCCTACAACTTGATTGGAGTCCACCTGTGGTCAATTCAATTGATTGGACATGATTTGTAAAAGGCACACACCTGTCTATATAAGGTCCCACAGTTGACAGTGCATGTCAGAGCAAAAACCAAGCAATTAGGTCAAATGAATTGTCCGTAGAGCTCAGAGACAGGATTGTGTCCAGGTAGAGATCTGGGGAAGGGTACCAAAAAATGTCTGCAGCATTGAAGGTCCCCAAGAACAGTGTCCTCCATTATTCTTAAATGGAAGAAGTTTGGAAACACCAAGACTCTTCCTAGAGCTGGCTGCCCAGCCAAACTGAGCAATCGGGGGAGAAGGACCATGGTCAGGGAGGTGACCAAGAACCCGATGGTCACTCTGACAGAGCTCCAGAGTTCCTCTGTGGAGATGGGCGAAGCTTCCAGAAGGACAACCATCTCTGCAACACTCCACCAAATCAGGCCTTTATGGTAGAGTGCCCAGACGGAAGCCACTCCTCAGTAAAAGGCACATGACAGCCCGCTTGGAGTTTGCCAAAAGGCACCTAAAGGACTGACCATGAAAAACAAGATTCTCTGGTCTGATGAAACCAAGATTGAACCCTTTGGCCTGAATGCAAAGCATCACATCTGGAGGAAACCTGGCACCATCCCTACAGTGAAGCATGATGGTTGCAGCATCATGCTGTGGGGATGTTTTTCAGCGGCAGGGACTGGGAGACTAGTCAGGATCAAGGGAAAGATGAACGGAGCAAAGTACTGCATAGTGATGTTAGAGGTCAAAGCTCAATCACTATGCATAGTGATGATAGAGGTCTAGGTAGTCGAAGGTTCACCTTCCAACAGGACAACGACCCTAAGCACACAGCCAAGACAACGCAGGAGTGGCTTCGGGACAAGTCTCTGAATGTCCTTGAGTGGCCCAGCCAGAGCCCGGACTTGAACCCGATCGAACATCTCTGGAGAGACCTGATTATAGCTGTGCAGCGACGCTCCCCATCCAACCTGACAGAGCTTGAGAGTATCTGCAGAGAAGAATGGGAGAAACTCGACAACTACAGGTGGTGCCAAGTTTGTAGCGTCATACCCAAGAAGACTCGAGGCTGTAATCGCTGCCAAAGGTGCTTCAACAAAGTACTGAGTAAAGGGTCTGAATACTTATGTAAATGTGATAATATTTTATTTTGAATAAATGTGCCTACATTTCTGAAAAAATGTTTTTGTTTTGTCATTATGGGGTATCGTGTGTAGATTGATGAGGGGAAAAAAAACCAATTAAATCCATTTTAGAATAAGGCTGTAACGTAACAAGATGTTGAAAAAGTCAAGTGGTCTAAATACTTTCAGAATGCACCGTATTCTACTACCCAAAAAGATATGACATAGATTTCAGTGAATCAGTCCTTTAAAAATAGGCCCTAGATTTAACTGACAAATTTGTTTAGCTCATTATCATTATCTGTAGTAGCAGTAATGGGAGAGCGTCCTACCATGAGGTTGCTCTCAATCTGTTCATACACTCTGTCTAGAGCAGCCTCCCTGTTGCCCATAGCAACACTGGCGGCCTTGTGCTTCTTGGCCCAGGCATCAAACTCCTGCTCGCTGATGTCCTTATAGCACAGACACAGGGTCCGGAGAGTCTCGTTAGCAAAGATCTACAACGGAAGAGAAGTTTTTTTTTTTTGGTTTAGGTTTATTTGAACATCTTGGCACATATGGCAGACGTGCACAGGATGGAATTACTTGAATGAGAACCAATGAATACACAGGTACAGGTGGATATATAAAAAGGTGCATTTTCACCATTGTGAAACTACTGGAGCCAAGCTTCATTCAATAAAGTGACCAACCAAAAAAGTCCAGAATGTCCTAGCTCAAAATACAACCACACAAGTGCTTCATAGTCTGGCCCATACTACTCTACATAGACTGAAAACCATCCAGTACATATAGCCTATTAAAAAGACATCAGTGACTTACGTCCAGAGCAGTCTGGGTCACTTCCTTGTATCTGGAGTTAGGAGAGAGGCGTTCGTAGATGACCGTGTCCGCTCCTTTGCAGTACAAACGGATCCGACCGTCAGGGAACCTCACTGTCAGAGAGAGAGAGAGAAGACTGCATGTTAGGTAGATGGGTCCCAAAAATCCAGGTCGGTTTGAAGATTTCCAAGTCATCAAGGAATAAGCAGAGGGGGAATCCTCCAACTAGGACTTCCAATAAACCTCAGAACTTCCCAGAGCTTTACAACCCACGAAGGGACACCATGGTCACCGTCTTAAAACAGTCACTCACGGATGATGGACATGCGTTTGCGGTCGCTGTTAAAGTCGAGCAGGGCCAGCATCTCGTAGGTCATCTCCTGGTCCATCTCGCTGATGGTGATGGTGTCCTGGGTACGGGACAGGAACACAAAACCAAAGTTCCTGGCGGCCGTCACCAGAGCCCCCTCGTCAGGAGAGGCTGCCTGGTACACCAACTCATCTGAAGACAACAGACGCACATCAAGTCTGGGGCCACAGCACCATGGTACTCTAAAGGAAGGCTACCTAGTCTTCCTAGGTGTGTTCAATTAACACGACTATCACATACTGTATTGTGTGATCAGTGATTTCTGAACAGACCATCAATAAATCAGCCAATTATTGATTTAACTTTGACCTCTATCAACACTATGCAGTTGATTGAACTTTGACCTCTATCAACACTATGCAGGTGTCTCACCTTCTTTCTGCTCCACCATGACAGTGTGACAGAGAGACAGCAGTTTGAAGAACTCCAGGGCATTTTTGTCCTTCTTGGACTGGATGCAGGCCACCAGGGAATGATCCAGGTACTCAAACTTCCTGTCCGCGTGCTTGTTCCAGGTGAAGTCCACTGGCTGTGAAGGACAGGGGGAAATAAATAACCATCAAGACAACGCCATAGATGAAGCACTGTATGTGTCAATCTGAATAAAAACACAGTTTGTCAAATGTACCCTTCCACGATCCAGAGTTACACCCTCAGAATTAGTAGGGTCACCTGAAAAATGAAAATATATTAATAATCATGTCATAACACAAGCTTCTAAACAATGTTTACAGGTGAAATCTGTTTAGTTCAAAACAATGCAGAGTTGACCATGATGTCCATTCAAGCAAGACTTGAGGTACCAGACCTTAAATGGTCATTTGGCAATGACAACAACCTTGACAATGACAGCACAATCAGATCTGGGAACACCAGGCTACATTATAGCCAGGATAAAACAATTAGTCTTACCAAAGGTGCGTCCAGCGATGGTGCACTTCTTGAAGGCCATGATGTTCTGTGTGAGGGTACCGGTTTTGTCTGAAAAAATGTATTCGATCTGACCCAGTTGTTCGTTGAGGGTGGTGGTGCGGGCCTTGGCTGGGGTGTCTTTCTCCTGGTAATACATCTGAAGGTCCCAGTTGATGAACTTAGACTGGCCCAAACGAATCACCTCCACACTGGACAGAGGAAATTGGAAATATATTTAACCTTTATTTAAAAAATCAGGAAAGACCCTTGATTAGAAACCTATTTTGTAAGGGGGGACCTGAAATACTCTCATCATGACTCAATTCACTATTATTATTATTACTACTACCTCAGGTACATGGGTGTTAGGATACTAGATACTAAGAGATAATATGACAGTTCTGATTCTTTGACTAAATAAAGCCCTCTGTAAAAGCAGGTGGTAGACGGTACAATAAAGAGCTTGGTCGTGTGCAGTAGGCAGAAAACGTTTTGAAACAGAATAAAAACAGCGAAGTTCTACACAAACTTGTTCCAATAAGAACACCGATTTCTGTTTTCCGTTGCAAAAAGTTTTGCTACGACGTGCCCTACTGAACACTTGCCTGGGTTTGAGAGTGACTCACCCAGAGACACATCATTATTAGAACAGGTATCCCTATTCAAGTCAATGCGTCTTTGATTCTATTTCTATACTCACCTGACGTAGAGGGAGATGGGCACCATGGTATTGAGCACGATGATGTATCCCCAGAAGCTGAGGAAACCTCTGTAAGAAGCAGTCTGGTCCTTACCGTCATTCAGATACCAGGCTTTGCTGCCTACCTCCTCATACCAGAAGGTGTTTCCGATGGCCAGGCCAGCACACAACAGGACCAGGATTACAAAGATCTGGAGAGGGGAAGAGAAGGAATTGAATCAGCTTTTCGACAGCGTTTCCACTCGCTCTATTTTTCCATCTCTATTTGTATTTATTACGGAGCAGCTGCTACTCTTCCTGGGGTCCAGCAAAAATTAAGGCAGTAATGTACCTTATAATACAATTTTTAAACATTAAAATACATTTTACAACAGATTTCACAATACATTAAGAGTGTGCCCTCCGGCCGCTACTACAACACACAATCCATGTATATTTGTCTATTGTGTGTATGTGTGTGTGTGTTTGTATGTGTGTGTTTGTACCGGTGTGTGTCCTCGCTGTTCCATAAGGTGTATTTTTTTATTGTGATTTTACTGCTTCTGTGAGTCACTTGATGTGGAATAGAGTTCCATGTAGTCATGGCTCTATGTAGAACTGTGTGCCTTCCATAGTCTGTTCTGGACTTGGGGACTGTGAAGAGACCTCTGGTGGCATGTCTTGTGGGGTATGCGTGAGTGTCCGAGCTGTGTGCTAGTAGTTTAAAAAACAGACACCTCGGTGCATTCAGCATGTCAACACTTCTTACAAAAACAAGTAGTGATTAAGTCAATCTCTCCTCTACTTCGAGCCATGAGAGAATGACATGCATATTATCAATGTAAGCTCTATGTGTACATTTAAGGGCCAGCTGTGCTGCCCTGTTCTGGGCCAGTTGTAATTTTCCGAGGTCCCTCTTTGTGGCACCTGACCACACGACTGGGCAGTAGTCCAGGTGAGACAAAACTAGGGCCTGTAGGACCTGCCTTGTTGAGATTGTCGTTAAGGCGGCACAGCAGCGCTTTATGGACAGACCTCTCGCCATTTTAGCTACTGTTGCTTCAATATGTTTTGACCACAGGAGGACGTGCTCATGGTAATGGCTGGAGTGGAATCAATGGAATGGTATTAAATACATAAAAACACATGGTGTCCAGGTGTTTGATGCCATTCCATTTGGTCCCTTCCAGACATTATTATGAGCCGTTCTCCCCTCAGCAGCCTCCGCTGGTTTTGACCATAACCGTTTACAATCCAGGGTTACTCCAAGCAGTTTAGTCTCCTCAACTTGCTCAACTCCCACATTATTCATTACAAGACTTAGTTGAGGTTTAGGCTTTAGTGAATGATTTGTCCCAAACACAATGCTTTTAGTTTCTGAAATATTTAGGATAAATGTATTTCTTGCCACCCATTCTGAAACTGACTGCAGCTCATTGTTAAGTGTTCCAGTGATTTCACTCACTGTAGTAGTTGACTTGTATAGTGTTGAGTCATCCACATACATAGACACACTGGCTTTACTCAAAGCCAGTGGCATGTCATTAGTAAAGATTGAAAACAGTAAGGGGCCTACATAGCTGCCCTGGGGAATTCCTGATTGTACCTGGATTATGTTGGAGAGGCTTCCATTAAAGAACACCCTCTGTGTTCTGTTAGACAGGAAACTCTTTATCCACAATATAGCAGGGGGTGTAAAGCCATAACATATAAGTTCTTCCAGCAGCAGACTATGATCGATAATGTCAAAAGCCACACTGAAGTCTAACAAAACAGCCCCCACAATCTTTTTATCATCAATTTCTCTCAGCCGATCAGTCATTTGTGTAAGTGCTGTGCATGTTGAATGCCTTTCCCTATAAGCGTGCTGAACGTCTGTTAATTTATTTACTGTAAAATAGCATTGTATCTGCATTCTAAAAAGTTTACTAAGGGTTGGTAACAGGCTGATTGGTCGGCTATTTGAGCCAGTAAAGGGGGCTTTACTATTCTTGGGTAGCGGAATTACTTTTGCCTCCCTCCAGGCCTGAGGCCACACACTTTTTTGTAGGCTTAGATTGAAGAGATGGCAAATGGGAGTGGCAATATTGTTCGCCATCATCTACAGTAATTTTCCATCCAGGTTGTCAGACCCCGGTGGCTTGTCATTGTTGATAGACAACAATAATTGCTTCACCTCTTCCACACTCACATTACAGAATTCAAAATTACAACGCTTGTCTTTCATAATTTGGTCAGTTATACTTGAATGTGTAGTGTCAGCGTTTGTTGCTGGCATGTCATGCCTGAGTTTGATAATCTTGCCAAAGAAAAAATTATTAAAGTAGTTGGCAATATCAGTGGGTTTGTGATGAACGAGCCATCTGATTCAATGAATGATGGAGCCGAGTTTGCCTTTTTGCCCAAAATTTCATTTAAGGTGCTCCAAAGCTTTTTACTATTATTCTTTATATAATTTATCTTTGTTTCATAGTATAGTTTCTTATTTTTGTTCTCAGTCATTTTATTAATGGGTGCATGCTTATTAGTAACTGGAGTAAGACATTTCGTAAATGTGTCAAGTGTAGTGTCTGGATGCTCCCCATTACACACCAGCAAATATTCTTTACATCGACATAGGACCTCTTAGTTTCTACATAATGTGTGAAATGCTTGATAATGTATGCGATATCAATAGAGAGGTCTATTTTCTGGGTGACCTAAATATTGACCAGTAGCTTGTGTAGGATTCCCCCAGGAGCTTGTGTAAATTCATTAACTTGTTTGCTAAAAGTAGCCACTTCGCCCCTGTAGTCCTCTGCAAGCAAACAGTGGATACATTGAAAGACCGGGCGGTCCACATTGTCCAGGAATAGAGCAAAAATAAACACAGCTCCTGCAGCGTTGAAAACGTTCAATAGCGACCTCCATTTGAGACCGCCGGCTAGCTAGGCTAGCCGTGTTTCCGTGTCGCTCTCCTTACAGGGAATTCTCAACTAAGTGAACGAAAACAGCACACACAAACCCTGCTAGCTTGATACTGAGAGCTATCAGCTAGGCTAGTAGCTAGCTACGGCAAACAACTTCAGACTTTTTGGTCTGGCAGGATCCCGGGACAGACAGTAGCAGTCACAGCAACTGAAAATAACTGCGTTATGTGATCCAAAATCCCATAAAAACAAAATACATAAACCAAGCTTTGCGAGCAAACACTGTCACAACTTTACACAAAAAACAATAAACCGAGGTCTCTCATTCAGCGTTCAACATACGTTGCGCTCTGATGTAAATGGCTGTTAACAGACTCAATTTCATAAAAGGGTGAAATATTGTGAGGTGTAGTGGATGATTTAATATCACTTACAGTGTACACCATGTAGTTCATCAATTCATCGATTTTAGTCCTCTTGAACCTGGTCTTACCACCATTCCTCATGATTTTAGTGTCAGCGCCTACATCAAAACAGTCAACAAACAGATGAGTAAGGGGTTTTGCATGAGATGAAGTCCAAGACGGCATATTTACATTATTGCATGCCCATGTTGTTGGTGTGTGAAATATTTGAAAAGGTGTGTGACGTATTTACCTGAAAAGATGTCTGTGTGTGGTGGGTGTGTCAAATCAAAAAAGTTATTCGTCACATGCTTCGTAACCAACAGGTGTGGACTAACAGTGAAATGCTGTGTGTGTGTGTGTGTGTGTGTGTGTGAGGTATATACCTGCGAAGATGACCAGTCCGTGACACTCATCCGTGTTTCTGATCCTGCATCCTCTCAGCATCATGTTGTCCAGATCCAGAGGGAACCGGTCCTTCCTCCAGCGCATGGTCCCAGTGAACTTATCCAAACGGTTGTTCGGCTCCTCACACACTATCATGGCTGTATGGGGGAAACAAGGGAACAGTAACCACACACTATCATGGCTGTATGGGGGAAACAAGGGAACAGTAACCACACACTATCATGGCTGTATGGGGGAACAAGGGAACAGTGACCACACTATCATGGCTGTATGGGGAAACAAGGGAACAGTAACCACACACTATCATGGCTGTATGGGGGAACAAGGGAACAGTGACCACACTATCATGGCTGTATGGGGGAAACAAGGGAACAGTAACCACACACTATCATGGCTGTATGGGGGAAACAAGGGAACAGTAACCACACTATCATGGCTGAATGGGGAAACAAGGGAACAGTGACCTCACTATCATGGCTTGAATGGGGAAAACAAGGGAACAGTGACCTCACTATCATGGCTGAATGGGGAGGAAACAAGGGAACAGTGACCTCACTATCATGGCTGTATGGAGACCAAGGGAACAGTGACCTCACTATCATGGCTGTATGGGGAAACAAGGGAACAGTGACCTCACTATCATGGATGAATGGGGAAACAAGGGAACAGTGACCTCACTATCATGGCTGAATGGGGAAACAAGGGAACAGTGACCTCACTATCATGGCTGAATGGGGAAACAAGGGAACAGTGACCTCACTATCATGGCTGTATGGGGAAACAAGGGAACAGTGACCACACACTATCATGGCTGTATGGGGAAACAAGGGAACAGTGACCTCACTATCATGGCTGTATGGGGAAACAAGGGAACAGTGACCTCACTATCATGGCTGTATGGGGAAACAAGGGAACAGTGACCTCACTATCATGGCTGTATGGGGAAACAAGGGAACAGTGACCTCACTATCATGGCTGTATGGGGGAACAAGGGAACAGTAACCACACACTATCATGGCTGTATGGGGAAACAAGGGAACAGTGACCTCACTATCATGGCTGAATGGGGAAACAAGGGAACAGTAACCACACACTATCATGGCTGTATGGGGAAACAAGGGAACAGTAACCACACACTATCATGGCTGAATGGGGAAACAAGGGAACAGTAACCACACACTATCATGCCTGTATGGGGGAAACAAGGGAACAGTAACCACACACTATCATGGCTGTATGGGGGAAACAAGGGAACAGTAACCACACACTATCATGGCTGAATGGGGAAACAAGGGAACAGTAACCACACACTATCATGGCTGAATGGGAAAACAAGGGAACAGTGACCTCACTATCATGGCTGAATGGGGAAACAAGGGAAACAGTGACCTCACTATCATGGCTGTATGGGGAAACAAGGGAACAGTAACCACACACTATCATGGCTGTATGGGGAAACAAGGGAACAGTAACCACACACTATCATGGCTGAATGGGGAAACAAGGGAACAGTGACCTCACTATCATGGCTGAATGGGGAAACAAGGGAACAGTGACATCACTATCATGGCTGAATGGGGAAACAAGGGAACAGTGACCTCACTATCATGGCTGTATGGGGAAACAAGGGAACAGTAACCACACACTATCATGGCTGTATGGGGAAACAAGGGAACAGTAACCACACACTATCATGGCTGAATGGGGAAACAAGGGAACAGTGACCTCACTATCATGGCTGAATGGGGAAACAAGGGAACAGTGACATCACTATCATGGCTGAATGGGGAAACAAGGGAACAGTGACCTCACTATCATGGCTGTATGGAGACCAAGGGAACAGTGACCTCACTATCATGGCTGTATGGGGAAACAAGGGAACAGTGACCTCACTATCATGGATGAATGGGGAAACAAGGGAACAGTGACCTCACTATCATGGCTGTATGGAGACCAAGGGAACAGTGACCTCACTATCATGGCTGTATGGGGAAACAAGGGAACAGTGACCTCACTATCATGGATGAATGGGGAAACAAGGGAACAGTGACCTCACTATCATGGCTGAATGGGGAAACAAGGGAACAGTGACCTCACTATCATGGCTGAATGGGGAAACAAGGGAACAGTGACCTCACTATCATGGCTGTATGGGGAAACAAGGGAAACAGTAACCACACACTATCTGGCTGTATGGGGGAAACAAGGGAACAGGTAACCACCCACACTATCATGGTGTATGGGGAAACAAGGGAACAGTAACCAACACACTATCATTGCCCTGGTATGGGGGAAACAAGGGAACAGTAACACACAACCATCATGGCTGTTGTATGGGGGAACAAGGAAACAGTGCCTCACTATCATGGCTGTCTGGTGGAACAAGGGAACAGTAACCACACACTATCATGCCTGTATGGGGGAGGGAACAAGGGAACAGTGACCCTCACTATCATGCCTGTATGGGGATAAACAAGGGAACAGTGACCTCACTATTCATGCCTGTATGGGGAAACAAGGGACACAGTGACTCTCAACTATCAAAGCTGTATGGGGGAAACAACGGGAACACGTAACCCCCACACTATCATGGCTATGGAGAACCAAGGGAACAGTGACTCACTATCATGGCTGAATGGGGATTCTCTCTCCCACCCCCTCTCCAAAATACACACATTTTATATTAAATTTTTGTCATTTGCAGGTGCTCTTCTCCAGAGCGATTTACAGTTTACATCATTTGATTTTGTAGCGATTTACAGTTAGTGCATTCATCTTAAGACCCACCACACATAAGTAAATAAATGTACAGTATCTAACGTTATCGGTTAGTAAAGGCGGCCAGTACACACTTTATAGTACAGCAGTATATTACCATCAAACTGTGCCAGCTGGCGCTCCTCCTGCAGTCTCTCGTCTGTCACTTTCAGACCCATTTTAAACTTCAGATTGGTTTCCCTGCAAAACAATAAATGTACATTGACATTTCAGTGGACTTTTCGGGCACAAATCCAGTATATAAAAACAGCAACATCTGTACATTGTACACAGGGACAATAACCTGATCCTTAACTGAACCATGCTGGGCTTTTGATAGTATTGTTTGACTAACGAGTTATCTAATCTACAGGCTGAAGCAGCCGGTGACAAGTCAAAACCTTTTTTATCTCACTTCACCTCTACATTTTAATGTTTACACAAAAGCACGTTCTGGCAACGTAATTTCTCATGTCACTAAGGGGTAGTTACTGACAAACGCAATATGAAATTACAGATTACACAAAAAAAAGAAGGTTTTAAGACCTGGTCTGTGTCCCAAATGGCACTGTATTCCCTATACGGGATAGCGCACTACTTTTGACCAATGGCCCATATGGCACTGGTCAAAAAAGTAGTGCACTATATAGGAGAATATAATACCATTTGGGACAGAACCATAAATAAACATTTATTGGAGAACATCTTACCCGTCGAGCTCGGCTGTTTCAACATAGCAAAGACTGTTGGGGTTTGAACTGGACAACAACAGAATGTCGGCCTGAGTGAAAACGAAAAGCAAATAGATCAAAATACTGTAACTGAATTATATAATGGCTGGTTTGGTTTATAGCCAGAGAACAAAATGTGTGACATTACCGGGATGTGATCATTTTTCTTCAAACGAACCACATCACCGACATGGATATTCATCCACTTCGACACTTGAAACCTGGTTTGGAAAAAAAGTTTCAGTCAGCTATTCAGATGTTCAAAACATGAAGTTTGTCTTGATGCATAGCACAGACATTACAACAAAAACTATTTAAGACATAAAAAATGGTATGCTGTTGCACTATGGAACTGCGGAGATCCAGACCCACAGATATAGAACACAATACTATCTGTTATGTTGAGTTTCTCGGGTATCAAGTAATTCAGGATGCAAGAATATACTTAAAACACTTATATGGAGAGTTCATACAAATAGTTAATAGACACGGTACCGTGGTTCGTCTAACAAACGGCACATGCTTTGGCCTCGTCATCCACAACCACTGAACAAAGGAAATCTCTTAGTTTATACACTTCATGTTTTACACGTTTCTTCAACAACATCTGTTAACCATCAGTTGGCACTCCCTTCTTGGATGGTATTACCTTGTACCCCAAGTCAGTATATTACACCTATCAATCATTCTAAGATAAACCTCAGTGAGCTCCCTCGACATACTGGAATCCTTGTTATTCAGACTCTGCAGCACCAATAATGACCTATCTAATCAATTGAACATTGTTCCCACAACACTGTGAAAAAGACATAACACTGTTATAGTTTCTAAGTTCAGACCATAGACTTAAGATAGACAAAGCTTATTTGTATCTGTCCCATTATGGGGTCAGAGGTCGGCAGAGCCATCGAGGTCATCTCCATTTCGCCGTAGTCAATTTTCTTCTTCTATTACTTCTAGGAGTTGGTAAACAAACTGAAAAGGGTGCATACTGCCACCTGGAACGTGTTGTTTGAAAAGGTATACAGCCAAGGTCGCCGATTTACTGCCCTCTGCAGTTATGGAATGTTTGCTCACAAGTGTAATTCATTGGCTGATCCCTCCTGATGACCTGGACGGAATTATGTGATCCTTCCTTAAAAACATTGGAAGTCGCACCCCAGTTGACTATTTAAAAAAATTGTGTAAACCCTCAAGGAGCCGCCCATGCTAAAACTGGTTATATCGAAGTAGTGATCTCTATCCATCTCTATGGTTCATAGTCATTACCTGCCATCCAGGAGGACCTCACACTTCCTGTTATTGATCTCGTTGTCCATCCTGTGGCGGGCCTGTTGGAGGGGAAGGGAAAACACCAACCAGGGTTCAGCACTAGATAAATGGACCACAATGTTCTCTTCACAAATGGAGTGTACTGCACATGCTATCAACGAAAAAGAGACATTTTTCTTGGTCCGTCTCATCCGTAGGACACCAGTGGTTGAGTGAAATTAACAGAGTCTGGACAGTGGCCATGTCCTGATTTTCCCACTTTTTTTCCCCCCCCTTTGCATACTTCAAGAAAACTTCTCGCCAACGCTTACACCAAATCCTATGCTTATAAATCCATGATGGGGAGTGTTTACAAATGCACACTTTGGGAGAAGGTTGGAGAATTGAGATGCAGCCAGCGGGAAGAGATAGGATGGAGTCACTCACCAGATCGTCCACCAGGTCTTTGATGGCTGTGATTCCCAACACCAGGACTAAAGGCACTAAGGTGGTGTACCAAGGCAACGTGGTGATCTCAGGAATAATCTGGTGAATAATAATAAAAAGTGCATTAATATCACATAATCTATTCCTTTATCCAACATGTTAAAAGTTTCAAGGCAGCGTGGTGACCGCAGGAATAATCTGATTATAAATGCCCCATCTTTATTGCCCTGCGGTTTCTGTTGACCAACAATGCTTCATCACTGCTTAGGCCAGGGTCCTGTGTGTTGAACATGAGAAAGTAAGTAAGCATACTATATACAGGGTCAGTTCCAGTACCATATTTCCCATGTGCAGGGATACTGGAGTGATAGAGGTAGATATGCATAGGGGTAAACATTATATATACAGGGTCAGTTCCAGTACCATATTAACAATGTAAAGGGACACTGGAGTGATAGAGGTAGATATGTATAGGGGTAAGGTGACTATATACAGGGTCAGTTCCAATACCATATTTCCCATGTGCAGGGATACTGGAGTGATAGAGGTAGATATGCATAGGGGTAAACATTATATATACAGGGTCAGTTCCAGTACCATATTTCCAATGTAAAGGGACACTGGAGTGATACAGGTAGATGTGCATAGGGGTAAGGTGACTATATACAGGGTCAGTTCCAATACCATATTAACAATGTGCAGGGATACTGGAGTGATGGAGGTAGATATGCATAGGGGTAAGGTGACTATATATACAGGGTCAGTTCCAATACCATATTAACAATGTGCAGGGATACTGGAGTGATACAGGTAGATATGCATAGGGGTAAGGTGCTCGGCCCCAGTGATGTACTGGGCTGTCCGCATGTCCAATCCTCTGGGTCGGTGGCGGCCCTCACCCCCACCACGATGTTGTTGTTGTCAAAGGGTGCATAAAATGCGTCGAATCTGTCTGGTAGAGAGACATCATTGGTCAGATCACGGCTGGGTCTTCCTTTGGAATCCGTAACGGTCTGTCGCCCCTGCCACATTCAGGTGTCAGAGCCTGTGTAATATGATTCCACCTTATTCCTATATTGCCCTTTTGCTCGTTTGATGAATCTGCGGAGGTCGTAGTGGGACTTCCTGTAGGTATTCCTGTCCTCAGCCATAGCCTCAGGCTCACAGCCCTGTCCTTTAGTGCCAACCTCTGTATTAATCCAGGAACCTTCACTGTGGGGGACAAGGTCGCCCATGCATTTCCTAATTAAGGCCGGTGACTGAGGTGGTTAGCTCGTCAATATTAAAATCGGCGGAGTCTCGAAACATACCTGTATTTCAAATCAGCGCTACCAAAGCAGTCCTGTAGCATAATCCCTGATTCTGGTGACCATTTCTCAACGAAGCGAGTCACGGGTACTTCCTGTTTGAGCTTCTGCTTGTAAACAGGAGTAGGGAGTCTTGATCGGATTTTGCCGAATGGCAGACGAGGGAGGGCCTTTGTAAGCTTGCTTGTGGGTAGAATAACAGGACTTTATTGCCCCTAGTGGCGAAGGACACGTGATGATGGAAGTTGGGCATCGCGTGTCTTAAATCGCCGGCAACCAGAAAAGCAGTCTCTGGATGTACGTTTTCCTGCTTGTTTATAGTTCGTTAAGTGCCAGCTTGTAACAATGCGGCATAGATTTAAAATGTGATGTAAATGCTATGTAAATTAGTTTAAACTGGGGCCTCCCGAGTGGTGCAGTGTTCTAAGGCACTGCATCAGTGTTAACCGGGAGTCACATAGGGCGGCGCACAATTGGCCCAGCGTTGTCCAGGTTAGGGGAGGTTTTGGCCGGGGGACTTTCCTTGGCTCATCGCACTCTAGCGTTTCCTCGTGGCGGGCCGGGTGCCTGCAAGCTGACTTCAGTCGTCAGTTGAACGGCGTTTCCTCCGACACATTGGTGCGTATGGCTTCCAGGTTAAGCGAGCGGGTGATAAGAAGTAGCGCGGCTTGGCGGGTCATGTTGCGGAGGACGCATGACTCAACCTTTAACTCTCCCGAGCCTGTTGGAGAGTTGCAGCGATGAGACCAGATCGTAATTGGATATCACGAAATTGGGGAGAAAAGGGGGTTGAAATTTAAAATGTGAATATATTTTTTTATAATAATTAGTTTAAACTGCTCGCATCACAAAAAACAACACAAGCTCACTCCTTCCCAGTCCATCACTTAGCTCCCTGCCATCCAGGACCTCTATACCAGGCGGTGTCAGAGGAAGGGGCAAAAAATTGTTTCCTCGTGTCACTATTTCTATTTTATTTTATTTATCTTTAACTCTGCATCGTTGGAAAAGGACCCGTCAGTAAGCATTTCCCTGTTAGTCTACACCTGTTGTTTACCAAGCATCTGACAAAATTGTATAGATTTGATTCCTTCCATACTGTAGCATGATCTGGGATGTCTGACAGAAGACTCTTTGCTAAAAATGGAACCCCACGGTCTACCGCTGAAGATCGTTGTAATCAGTTATTATTCAACGCTGGCTGTAACGCAGCGGTTTTTAGCAGACTTACCTGTAAGATCAGCAGGGCCAGAAAGTAAAGGTTGGCAGCTCGTTTGAACTGCTCGAACAGATTCAGTGGGATGAAGGTCAAGGCGTTGTATTTGTACGTCTTGATTCCATTCCCCTTAGGGCACAAAACAACAACGCATTTGGTCAGAAGATGAACTAAAGAAAGGTACATAAACACGGTTAAATCAAAACAGGGAGAAAATCTCCACTTTAATGTCCATATAGAGACTTGAGGCTCTTATACATACAAACTCTGCTTTTACTAAAGGTTTCTGGGAAGACAGAAAGGCTTTACGGATACAGACTGGTTTAGACTATTATGGCCATTAACATCAGGGAGACTTTAGGGAAGTTCTATGTTAACAGGCAGTCCTCTGGTTCCTGGGGCGGCAGGTAGCTTAGTGGTTAAGAGCGTTGTGCCAGTAACCGAAAGGTCGCTGGTTCTAATCCCTGAGCCGACTAGGTGAAAAATCTGTCGATGTGCCCTTGAGCAAGGTACTTAACCCTAATTGCTCCTGTAAGTCGCTCTGGATAAGAGCGTCTGCTAAATGACCAATTATTATAATGAATTCACACTCCAGTACAGTAGCTAAAATGTAAATGTAGTTGTGTGTGCATTCCCCTAGGTGCGGCTAGAACACATCTTCCATGTGTGTGTGCATTCCCCTAGGTGCGGCTAGAACACATCTTCCGTGTGTGTGTGCATTCCCCTAGGTGCGGCTAGAACACATCTTCCGTGTGTGTGGTATTCTGGGGTGGAACAGTTCTCTTCTCTCTCCCTCTGTCACACTAGGTAGAACTTTCCATGCCAATTCGCATAAACAACAAAACAGCAGAAACGATTAGACAAAACCACTCTTCTAAACCCCAGTCCCAAATGACAACCTATTTCCTATAACGTGCACTACTTTTGACCAGGGCAGAAAAGTAGTTCAGTATATAAGGGAATAGAGTGCCATTTGAGACGCATCCATGTGTCCTAGAACGTGACTAATAAGTAAAAAGAGCAGAGTGGGACTAGGACACCGGTGTAGTGGTCAGTGACTTTATAAAGAGCAGTCTTTAACCAAGGGTAAGTGGAAACAGCAGCTTAGGTTAAGTACCATTAAGGATAAGAGCGGGGCTTAGGAGTGGTGCTTAGGAGTGGTGCTGAAAGGGAGTGTCTGAATGTCTATAGCCCAGCCTCTCTGCTCTTTATTTTCATGATTTATTTAAAAACCAGGGAAAGCGGCACATTTAGTTACAAACAAAAACACCTACACTTGCTCTGTCCGTTCCTTTAAGGAAGAGTTATTAACCGAAGAAACAGGTGAGGTGTTGGTTTTTATGGGAGTGTCTACTGTGTACAGGGAATTTCCAATGTCCCAATGCCTTACCGCAGGCAGAGCGCACAACCACAGATCACTAGCTGCAAACAAAAGCGGAGCTATTTTCAGATGTCACAAAATACCTAAGTCATAGTTTGACATCTGTACTTTGTCCCACAATGTGCCTGCAGTTAGCATTCTAACTAGCCTGGTCCCAGATCTGTTTGTGACGTGACAACGCCCATAGAAGTTGGCAGGATTGGCAGATCTGGGACCAGGCGAACTGTTAACAGTGGCACTCCTCCTCGAATACAGGTCAACTCCACTGTGGTATCAGTTTATCCATGTGGGGGATGACCCCAAACACAAAAAACTACTTCGGTCACCAGTTGGAAAATGTATTTATTTACCCATTTGTTTGTTTGTTTAGACAACTGAATGAGATTCGTATCACCTCATTACGATAAATGGTAGCCTTGATTTCAGGCTAACTCTCTGATGATCGACACTAGGGAGTGTGGTAACATGACGTCTAATGGTGACTAACAAGTAAATGAACACAAAAGAGAAGAAGTTCTATCGCCACAGAAAGGAAAGACCACAGACTAACAATGAGTCCTGTCCTGGCACAGTCTGGCAGTCACTGATAATACCTGGGCAACTGATAAATACCTGGGCATCTGATAAATACCTGGGCATCTGATAAATACCTCGGCATCTGATAAATACCTCATTGTTATTTTCAGCCCAGTCTGTGTGTTTTATGGAGCTGTAATAAAGAATCTTTGTATTATATACAAAGTGGTCCGGCCAGTATGACAGACACATCAGCACAGTAAGGAGGAAGTAGGAACAACCAGAATAACTGATCAAATAAAAGAACAAACTTCCTTATTGTCCATGATGCACTGGACCTACTACCGCCATTGGAAAGTATGTAATAGCACACACAGTGGTGTATGAGGCAATCCAAAAGGATAAAAGCTCAACATAGCACTGGCATTTTGTCTGCTACCACACTCAAATATGGGCTTGTTTAAAGGGACGACATCGAGCTCCTCCTAAGCACATTACAGAGATAGGTTTCTGCCGACCTGAGTCTTGTCCTTTATGGTCGCACTCCTGCCAGCAACTGTCATTACTCCTAAAAATAAAGCTTGTTTCATTAGTAAATATTTAGTTTTACTCAGTCTGAGGCTGGTGTTCATTAGGGTGGTGTTCATTAGGGTGGTGTTCATTAGGGCATGGAACTGAAAAGGTTTTAAACCATTTTACAACGGAAAACAAAACAATTTCCAGGTTACAGCTTTCCTGTTTCAGTCCATTGTCTTCGTGTGGTGCCTAACGCACAAGACCTAGGTTTGAACCAGCAGTCCTGGGTGGAACTGGGAGAGAGAGGGGACTTACTGCGTATTTGCTCTTCTTGAGACAAAAAAAGTATTTTTTCTGAAACTCTGGCAGGTTACAGAAGGCTCTGTCATTTGCTTTGACTCTCCAACCAGACTCTGGAAACAGAAGAACAGACAGTCAGTTGGCAAACCTGAAGAATATGGCAGCTGAATGGTGAAACTGGAATATTTCCAAACGAATCGAAGGTGGTATCACAACTATTAAGGGTGTTTCCTCATAAACAGTCCCCTGTAGCTCAGTTGGTAGAGCATGGTGCTTGCAACGCCAGGGTTGTGGGTTCGTTTCCCACGGGGGGCCAGTATGAAAATGTATGCACTAACTGTAAGTCGCTCTGGATAAGAGCTTCTGATAAATGACAAAAAATGTAATGGATGTGTGTGTGTGTGTGTTTGTGTGTGTGTGTGTGTCTGTGTGTGTGTGTGTTTGCCTGTGTGTGTGTGTGTGTGTGTGTGTCTTCCTGTGTGTGTGTGTGTGCAGCTCTTCTCTAGTGTCTGCTCCCAGTCTCTTACCGGCGCTCTTGGGCTCTTCAGCCTGTGGCCCCCCTGGGGGCCTCTCTTCGTCTGAGCCGGGGTCCAACTCATCATCCGTCTCGTCGTCACTATACGGCATGACCTCATCGTCAGGCCCCAGTGACTCCTGGGAGTCTACTCGCTCCCGACTCATGGTGGAGAAACGTCTGGAGGTCGCTCACTGGGGGGGATGGATGGGGGGCGAGGGGAGAGGGAGGAGAAGACAGGGGGAGAGGACAGGAGAGAGAGAGAGCAAAGATCGAGTGAGAGAGAGGAGAGAGAGAATTTTCATCAAGGAGTATTTTGAAATAGCCACTAATCCTTGCTAATTATTTTGCCAACTCATTCTTCCAAAGCAAAACTGGTTTCAGTTCACATTAACAAAGCATGTCAGAGGACTTGAAGTACACTAAACAGTCAAGTCCACTTAGATCTTTGACAGGGAAAGGACACTAAAGAAATCACGTGTCATACACAAGATACATGTGCTGTCATACTAGATACACTACATGGCCAAAAGTATAAGGACACACCTTCAAATGTGTGTATAAAATCGAGTACACAGCCATGCATTGGCAAACATTGGCAGTAGAATGGCCTGTACTGAACAGCTCAGTGACTTTCAACGTGGCACCGTCACAGGATGCCACCTTTCCAGCAAGTCAGTTGGTCAAATGTCTGCCCTGCTAGAGCTGCCCCGGTCAACTGTAATTGCAGTTATTGTGAAGTGGAAACGTCTAGGAGCAACAACAGCTCAGCCGCGAAGTGGTTGGCCACACAAGCTCACAGAACGGGACCGCTGAGTGCTGAAGCGTGTAAAAATTGTCTGTCCTCAGTTGCAACACTCACTACTGAGTACCAAACTGCCTCTGGAAGCAACGTCAGCACAATAACTGTTTGTCGGGAGCTTCATGAAATGGGTTTCCATGGCCGAGCAGCCGCACACAAGCCTAAGATCACCATGCGCAATGCCAAGCGTCACCTGGAGTAGTGTAAAGCTTGCCACCATTGGACTCTGGAGCAGTGGAAACGTGTTCTCTGGAGTGATGAATCACACTTCACCATCTGGCAGTCCGACGGACGAATCTGGGTTTTGGCAGATGCCAGGAGAACGCTACCTGCACCAATGCATAATGCCAACTGTAAAGTTTGGTGGAGGAGGAATAATGGTCTGGGGCTGTTTTTCCATAGTTTGTGCTAGACGATTGTCAAGATCTGTGTGGAAGAACTTGACTGGCCTGCACAGAGCCCTGACCTCAACCCAATCTAACACCTTCGGAATGAAATGTAACGCCGACTGCGAGCCAGGTCTAATCGCCCAACATCAGTGAAAAAAAAAAAAAGATCAACAAAAAAATAAATAAAAAAAAAATCAGTGCCCGACCTCATGAATGCTCTTGCTGCAGTACCCACAGTAAATGTTCCAACATCTAGTGGAAAGCCTTTCCAGAAGAGTGGAGGCTGTTATAGCAGCAAAGGGGGGACCAACTCCATATTAATGCCTATGATTTTGGAATGAGATGTTCGACGAGCATGTGTCCTCATACTTATGGCATTGTAGTGTATAACCATGAGCAAAAAATAGACTGTTGCTTTCGCTATAAAAATAAGATAAAACCTTGAGTCCACAAAAAGAAACTAGACGGAAACAAAAACTAAACTAAAATAATTTCCCCAATCTTTCACCTACGTAAAACCTAAAAAGGAAAGCCGACAGGTTTGAAATATAGCCAAATACCCCAGGTGAATTTCCATTCCCCGTCACTAACCACTAACCCTACCCGTTTTAAGGAGATGGTGGTAATGGAGCTTGATCAGCAAGGTGGCGACCGCATTCCTCATGTTTAACCCTGACACAGAAGCATTCTACAGACAGAAAGCAGTTGAGTCTCAAATGGAACCCCATTCCCTTTATAGACGCACTTCTTCAGACCAGGGCTAGTGCTCTATATAGGGTATATGTAGATGGCCATTTGGGATGCAGCCAGCCCCTTCAGGTGACTATGCTGTTCTGTAGGCAACCCCATGCCAAAACTACACACATCATTAAAAAAAATCACAGTGACACCACAGTCAGAAATGCCATGTCGACATTCTGCCATTATTCCAGCTCAGGTGAGAAACCAGTGGCTGGAAATGAACCACGGAACGCGACTCAAAACGCGCTTCTCCTCCCAGCCCCGTGTCCACTCAACTGTACTGCCAAAGCCAAAACGGCAATGGCAGCACACCAACTTGGGGTATTTATTGAGCCAATAACATGTAAGTAAGCAGTTTGTGCCATGATATAATCTAGGTTACTACTAACCATAATACACAGAGCACACTATAATATAGTTAACTCATAAGGCTTTCAATGTCTTGTTAGATTAGAGCTCGAAAATGGGTAATGGCCAAACAACCTAAAATGTCTAAGTACTCAGTGTTAGCATTTTGGCACCAATGTCTTTTAGCCTCTTCACGCTAGACAAGGTCATGATTGACAAGTGTTTTGGGCCCATTACAAAGTTTATAAAAAACATAGGCTACTTTATATTTTTTAATTTGTTTGATAACGTTATGTAGTTTAGTGTTAGCAACATACTACCAGGATACACTTCAACACTCCACCCCCAGGTGGCAGCACCAACCATGTCCAAATGCTGTGCTAGAAGGAAGCCTTGACGAGCACATCAGCTGATGTCAGTCAGACAACCAGCTGGCAGAGCCGTGAGGCTGCTGGGTTTTGTTTGGTGGCCATGACGCCTTTTGAGTCGTTATTTTGGGCACTCCTTTTTGTATTTTTTGTACGTATGTTTCGTCCCCATTAGGACAAATAATAATCCGCTTGGACTGGCCGACCAAGAGGTCAAGAGTGGCGCAGTGGTCTAAGGCACTGCATCGCAGTGCTAGCTGTGCCACTAGAGATCCTGGTTCGAATCCAGGCTCTGTCGTAGCCGGCCGCGACCGGGAGACCCATGGGGCGGCGCACAATTGGCCCAGCGTCGTCCAGGGTAGGGGAGGGAATGGCCGGCAGGGGATGTTGGTAGAGCATGGCGTTTGCAACGCCAGGGTTGTGGGTTCGATTCCCACGGGGGGGCCCAGTATGAAAAAATAAAAATATATATAATGTATGCACTCACTAACTGTAAGTCGCTCTGGATAAGAGCGTCTGCTAAATGACTAAAATGTAATGTAAATGTAAGTAGCTGGCCTAAGGAAAAGTGGCTGTTTCCTGGATACATACATTCAACACCTGGTCGCACACACACTTACTTCCCACATTTAAGCACACATCAAGTCAGGTTACAGACCATGTAACTAGGACTAAGACCCCTAGACAGAATGAGTCAGCAAAATCAGTAGGGTAGCTATCGGTTTTGTCACAACAACAACTTAAGTTAGTTTAGGTTTTCCACGTGACAAAAGGACTCCAGGACAATTCAACTCACCTTACGTGATAAAGCAAGAAGATGCCTACGTGATGTTTAAATCATAATGAGCATCACTAAAATCTGTGCAAAGTCTCCCTCTCCCCTAGACAGTAGACACCTTAGAAAATACCTTTAGGATGTAATAGTCTGGGATGGAGTGGAAGTGGCATGTACAGTGCATTCAGAAAGTATTCAGACCTAAAATGGATTAAAAAAAATTTTACCCCTCAATCTACACACAATACCCCATAAAGACAAAGCAAAAACGGGTTTGTAGACATTTCTGTAAATTTATATATTTCTTAAACATGGAAATATCACATTTACATAAGTATTCAGACCCTTTACTCAGTACTTTGTTGAAGCACCTTTGGCAGCGATTACAGCCTCGAGTCTTCTTGGGTATGACGCTACAAGCTTGGCACACCTGTATTTGTGGAGTTTCTCACATTCTTCTCTGCAGATCCTCTCAAGCGCTGTCAGGTTGGATGGGGAGCGTCGCTGCACAGCTATTTTCAGGTCTCTCCAGAGATGTTCGATCTGGTTTAAGTCCGGGCTCTGGCTGGGCCACTCAAGGACATTCAGGGACTTGTCCCGAAGCCACTTGTGCGTTGTCTTGTCTGTGTGCTTAGGGTCGTTGTCCTGTTGGAAGGTGAACCTTCACCCCAGTTTGAGGTCCTGAGAGCTCTGGGGCAGGTTGTCATCAAGAATCTCTCTGTACTTTGCTCCGTTCATCTTTCCCTCGATCCTGACTAGTCTCCCAGTCTCTGACGCTGAAAAACATCCCCACAGCATGATGCTGCCACCACCATGCTTCACCGTAGGGATGGTGCCAGGTTTCCTCCAAACGTGACGCTTGGCATTCAGGCCAAAGAGTTCAATCTTGCTTTCATCAGACCAGAGAATCTTGTTTCTCATGGTCAGAGTCCTTTAGGTGCCTTTTGGCCAACTCCAAGCGGGCGGTCATGAGCCGTTTACTGAGGAGTGGTTTCCATCTGGCCACTCTACCATAAAGGCCTGATTGGTGGAATGATGCAGAGATGGTTGTCCTTCTGGAAGCTTCTCCCATCTCCACAGAGGAACTCTGGAGCTCTGTCAGAGTGACCATCGGGTTCTTGGTCACCACCTTGACCAAGGCCCCTCTCCCCCGATTGCTCAGTTTGGCCGGGTGGCCAGCTCTAGGAAGAGTCTTGGTGGTTCCAAACTTCTAACATTTAAGAATGATGGAGGCCACTGTGTTCTTGGGGACTTTCAATGTTGCAGATTTTTTTGTTTTGGTACCCTTCCCCAGATCTGTGCCTCGACATAATCGTGTCTTGGATTTCTACGGACAATTCCTTCGAACCCAAGGCATGGTTTTTGCTCTGACATGCACTGTCAACTGTGGGACCTTATATAGACAGGTGTGTGCCTTTCCAAATCATGTCCAATCAATTGAATTTACCACAGGTGGACTCCAAATCAAGTTGTAGAAACATCTCAAGGATGATCAATGGAAACAGGATGCACCTGAGCTCAATTTCGAGTCTCATAGCAAAGGGTCTGAATACTTACGTAAATAAGGTATTTCTGCTTTGGATTTTGTATAAATTTGCAAACATTTCTAAAAACCTGTTTTCACTTTGTCATTATGGGGAATTTAGTGTAGATTGATGAGGGGAAAATGTTCATTTAATCCATTTTAGAATAAGGCTGTAACGTAACAAAATGTGGAGCAAGTCAAGGGGTCGGGAATACTTTCCGAATGCACTGTATATTCAATTTTTATAAAATCAAATTTGTATTTGTCACATGCGCCGAACACAACAGGTGTAGAGCTTACCGTGAAATGCTTAGTTACAAGCCCTTAACCAACAAGGCAGTTCAAGAAAATAGTTATGAAAATATAAAAAATAAAAAAATAAAAAAGTGAAAAACAAACAAACAAGTAAGGTACGGTAGAACGTACCTTAGCTCCACACCCAAGGGGAGAGTTACACACAGGTAGGCGATAGGCAGGCAGGTAGGGCGCACCCTTATTTGACTAAGTAAGCAAGGTCTCTCGCTCACTCTCTGCAGTTCCACTTCTACCATTCCTTCCTGCTGTGTAGTACTCATTTGTCTAAAATCATCTCTCCTTCCTCCAGCAGCAAGGCTATGATCAACGTGGCAGTGTCAACATAGCTGCTATTGTTAATAAACGTTTATTAAATAAATAAATAAAAGTCAAATAACCTTTGTTACCCCCAAATCATACACTCAAACTGAAAACATAAAATGGGTGTACAATTCATTGGTTAGAGAGAAGGTCTCATATCACTTTCATTTGTATCCCCTGTAGCATTAGAATTGGTTCCCTGTTTGAGTCACACTTTGAAAGGCGGTGACCAACGATGGTCACTTACTAGACAAAATGTATCCGCTCGAACGTGCCCATTCACTACTCCCCACAAATGTAAAAGCATTGGATTGGTCTAAGCAAGGCCTAGAGAGTTTCCATATAGCCTACCAGTGATTTAGTTTCAAATCCATCAAGGGAAGTTAACAAGCACACACGCCGGGAGAAAGGACAGATTATTGGTAATGCAACTCGTCTCCATGACCATCTTGTGTAAATACTATAAAATACTAAACAAATCAAATAAGACTGTCTGGCGGTCTGTCTGGCAGTCTGTCTGGCAGGTTGTCTATGGCCATGCTGTGATTTGAGAGACAACAAGTTCCTGAATACCAGAATGCTTGTGGAGAGGAGAGGATAGGCCCTATAACATTACTGTGTGAGGACTACGTCTATAACCCCATGTATGATATGATCAAATGCAGGACCAATTTAACGTGGCACATTGAAGTGTTTGAGGTTGTGAATTGATTGTGTACAGTAGTGAGTGTTGTGAAACAGTTTGTTTTCCAAATTCTTAAGAACGTGTTTCTGGCAGAGAACAAAGCGAGGAATGCACTTCTCATGACAGTGAGCCTCTGACTTTACACTGCGATGAGGATTCTGCTATTCTATGATTCTGAGAGCTCTAACATGGATCACCATGGAGAATATCACCAAATCCACTCAAATAAATCAATTTACACACTTTCTAGTTGGAGAAATGGGAACAATCAAGATCAAAAAGGCAACTATATTCTAGACCCACATTCCCTGAAATTCACTACCACTAATCAGTGGGATGGACTAAATGTTAAATATGACTTAGGGGTTAAGTCCCAAATGGCACCCTTTAATTTATAGTGCACTACTTTAGACCAGAACCCTCCGAGGTGTAAAATATGATAGTCACTGTCCTCCTCCACTACACATACTGCGGTTTGTTGTGATGTTTGGCGGTCTCAGTCGGCAAACAGGTCTGGCCCGACACAATGCCATGGCAACAATGCGGAAGAGGGGAGGGGGAGAGAGGGACAACAGGCATTCAGAACACCTTTCAAAAGGAGCCTCACTGCCTGGCTGCCTGCCTCACATACCTGCCTGGCTGCCTGCCTCACATACCTGCCTGGCTGCCTGCCTCACATACCTGCCTGGCTGCCTGCCTCACATACCTGCCTGGCTGCCTGCCTGCCTCACATACCTGCCTGGCTGCCTGCCTGGCTGCCTGCCTCACATACCTGCCTGGCTGCCTGCCTCACATACCTGCCTGGCTGCCTGCCTGCCTCACATACCTGCCTGGCTGCCTGCCTGGCTGCCTGCCTCACATACCTGCCTGGCTGCCTGCCTCACATACCTGCCTGGCTGCCTGCCTGCCTCACATACCTGCCTGGCTGCCTGCCTGGCTGCCTGCCTCACATACCTGCCTGGCTGGCTTGTAACCTGAGACAAGTCATTCACAAAGGCTTTCCACCCCCATCTCAATATTTAATATATCCCAACTGTCCCTCACCCAACAGCCAATGCTCCCCTGAGGAGAGGAGGGGCGAGGTCAGGGGGGAAACACACTGCTCTGAGTTTTTAGCTACCAGTCCCCATCAGGTTCAGTGTATTAACTACTGTAACAGTCAATGACTATCTGGCTCAACGGGGGGGGGGGGGGGGGGGGGGATCATACCATTCCTTCGTGAATCAAATTGGAGGAGTGACTTGATCAAACATGTGCCACCAAGGATATTCTAATAAAATATCCAAAACAAAAGTATGGAAATGATAGATGAGCCATGTGAACAGTTAGATGCAAAATCATATTAGGTCCATCCAGCATATGATAATTTATAACTGCATTGCTGTGGATGAATTTCTGCTATAGAGAACAACAACAACCTGACTGACATCCTTTTCACACTATCACTGAACAGAAATTAACACCATGCTATCAGTCTGACAACTGGAGTACACACCAGGCTATCAGTCTGACAACTGGAGTACACACCAGGCTATCAGTCTGACAACTGGAGTACACACCAGGCTATCAGTCTGACAACTGGAGTACACACCAGGCTATCAGTCTGACAACTGGAGTACACACCATGCTATCAGTCTGACAACTGGAGTACACACCAGGCTATCAGTCTGACAACTGGATACACACCAGGCTATCAGTCAGACAACTGGAGTACACACCAGGCTATCAGTCTGACAACTGGAGTACACACCAGGCTATCAGTCTGACAACTGGATACACACCAGGCTATCAGTCTGACAACTGGAGTACACACCATGCTTTAAAAGCAGCTATAAGGAAAATGGAGATTGATAAAGGAAGAGAGGTTGGTCTTCAAGCAAAAAACATACTTGACTTCACAACATTTGCCTTTTCAAAGTCAGGATTCAAATCTTGTTTTCTTGGTACCCTTTCGAGGGACATTTATTTCCATAAGGAAAGGAATGGGACATTTTCCTAATCAGAGGGGTGAGACTTGCTTTGCCTGTAGTCTCCATCACCGGCCTTCACCACCATGGTCAGCTCGGTTTATCACCTAACTAACAAGACTCAACATCACACCTTTTGTCTGACAGTTGAAGAACGTTAGCCGTTATGCTATCCCTGTCAAACCCACATAACTTCCTGGGCAAACGCAGGAACAAGAATTTGTTATCTCTCTCAGCCTTAGCTTGTGTTACTGTGCTGTGACTTGTAGCCCTCAACATGTCCTAAGGTGTAGATTTCAGACCTATAATAAACAATAGGCCCTAACCACAGAGTTTTTCTAAACCCAGAGGAACAACATCACAAGACTTCTGGGAACGCTTGCGATACAGACCAAGGAGATGATTGTGGACTACAGGAAAAAGAAGAGGACCGAGCACGCCCCCATTCTCGTCAACGGGGCTGTAGTGGAGCAGGTTGAGAGCTTCAAGTTCCTTGGTGTTCACATCACCAGCAAACTAACTAACATGGTCCAAGCACACCAAGACAGTCGTGAAGAGGGCATGACAAAACCTATTCCCCCTAAGGAGACTGAAAAGATTTGGCATGGGTCCTCATATCCTCAAAAGGTTCTACAGCTGCACCATCGAGAGCATCCTGACTGGTTGCATCACTGCCTGGTATGGCAACTGCTCGGCCTCCGACCGCAAGGCACTACAGAGGGTAGTGCGTACGGCCCAGTCCATCACTGGGACCACTATACCAGGCGGTGTCAGAGGAAGGCCCTAAAAATTGTCAAAGACTCCAGCCACCCTAGTCATAGACTGTTCTCTCTGCTACCGCACGGCAAGCGGTACCGGAGCACCAAGTCTAGGTCCAAGAGGCTTCTAAACAGCTTCTACCCCAAAGCCATAAGACTCCTGAACATCTAGTCAAATGGCTAATCAAATGCCCCCCCCCCTCACTTTTACGCTGCTGCTACTCTCTGTTTATTATTTATGCATAGTCACTTTAATAACTCTACCTACATGTACATATTACCTCAATTACCTCGACTAACCAGTGCCCCCCCACATTAACTCGGTACCGGTACCCCCTGTATATAGCCTCGCTATTGTTATTTTTACTGCTGCTCTTTAATTATTTGTTACTTTTATTTTGTGTTATTTCTTTAATTTATAAAAAATAAAATTGGTATTCTTTATTAAAATTGCATTGCTGGTTAAGCGCTTGTAAGTAAGCATTCCCTGTAAGGTCTACACCTGTCGTATTCGGCGCATATGGCAATTGTATTTTATTTGAAGCAGACTAGGCCGTGGTATGAGAAGTCAATGAGTGAAGAAGTAAAAAATTATTCCTTAAATTATTACATTTTCTCAAAATCTATAAGGCACAACCTAGATTCGAGCTAATGTCTTAAATAGTTTAACATGTTATTAGTCCAACCCGTGACAGTGACAAACTGACACTTTCATTTGTCAGAAACTGCTTTATATCGAAGGAGTGCCTTTGATTTGAATCAGTTCGGCGCAAGACGACCGGTAGACCCAATTATGTTTTCCTGCGCATCAGCTTAGCTAGCCAACGTCACCTACAAGCGTTATTAGGGTTTTCTATTGGAGAAGCAGTTTCCACCAATCTTCATACTGTACTGTCTTTGGCTCTACCTCAGGCTGTCCTCTAAGGAACAGATCCTACACATCACTGTCTGGCCCTACCTCAGGCCCTATCTCAGGCTGTCCTCTAAGGAACAGATCCTACACATCACTGACTGGCCCTACCTCAGGCTGTCCCCTAAGGAACAGATCCTACACATCACTGACTGGCCCTACCTCAGGCTGTCCTCTAAGGAACAGATCCTACACATCACTGACTGGCCCTACCTCAGGCTGTCCTCTAAGGAACAGATCCTACACATCACTGACTGGCCCTACCTCAGGCTGTCCTCTAAGGAACAGATCCTACACATCACTGACTGGCCCTACCTCAGGCTGTCCTCTTAAGGAACAGATCCTACACATCACTGTCTGGCCCTACCTCAGGCCCTATCTCAGGCTGTCCTCTAAGGAACAGATCCTACACATCACTGACTGGCCCTACCTCAGGCTGTCCTCTAAGGAACAGATCCTACACATCACTGACTGGCCCTACCTCAGGCTGTCCTCTAAGGAACAGATCCTACACATCACTGACTGGCCCTACCTCAGGCTGTCCCCTAAGGAACAGATCCTACACATCACTGACTGGCCCTACCTCAGGCTGTCCTCTAAGGAACAGATCCTACACATCACTGACTGGCCCTACCTCAAGCTGTCCTCTAAGGAACAGATCCTACACATCACTGACTGGCCCTACCTCAGGCTGTCCTCTAAGGAACAGATCCTACACATCACTGACTGGCCCTACCTCAGGCTGTCCTCTAAGGAACAGATCCTACACATCACTGACTGGCCCTACCTCAGGCTGTCCTCTAAGGAACAGATCCTACACATCACTGTCTGGCCCTACCTCAGGCTGTCCTCTAAGGAACAGATCCTACACATCACTGTCTGGCCCTACCTCAGGCTGTCCCCTAAGGAACAGATCCTACACATCACTGACTGGCCCTACCTCAGGCTGTCCTCTAAGGAACAGATCCTACACATCACTGACTGGCCCTATCTCAGGCTGTCCTCTAAGGAACAGATCCTACACATCACTGACTGGCCCTACCTCAGGCTGTCCTCTAAGGAACAGATCCTACACATCACCGACTGGCCCTACCTCAGGCTGTCCTCTAAGGAACAGATCCTACACATCACTGACTGGCCCTACCTCAGGCTGTCCCCTAAGGAACAGATCCTACACATCACTGACTGGCCCTACCTCAGGCTGTCCTCTTAAGGAACAGATCCTACACATCACTGACTGGCCCTACCTCAGGCTGTCCTCTTAAGGAACAGATCCTACACATCACTGTCTGGCCCTACCTCAGGCTGTCCTCTAAGGAACAGATCCTACACATCACTGTCTGGCCCTACCTCAGGCTGTCCTCTAAGGAACAGATCCTACACATCACTGTCTGGCCCTACCTCAGGCTGTCCTCTAAGGAACAGATCCTACACATCACTGTCTGGCCCTACCTCAGGCTGTCCTCTAAGGAACAGATCCTACACATCACTGTCTGGCCCTACCTCAGGCTGTCCTCTAAGGAACAGATCCTACACATCACTGTCTGGCCCTACCTCAGGCTGTCCTCTAAGGAACAGATCCTACACATCACTGACTGGCCCTATCTCAGGCTGTCCTCTAAGGAACAGATCCTACACATCACCGACTGGCCCTACCTCAGGCTGTCCTCTAAGGAACAGATGCTACACATCACCGACTGGCCCTACCTCAGGCTGTCCTCTTAAGGAACAGATCCTACACATCACCGACTGGCCCTACCTCAGGCTGTCCTCTAAGGAACAGATGCTACACATCACCGACTGGCCCTACCTCAGGCTGTCCTCTTAAGGAACAGATCCTACACATCACCGACTGGCCCTACCTCAGGCTGTCCTCTAAGGAACAGATCCTACACATCACTGACTGGCCCTACCTCAGGCTGTCCTCTAAGGAACAGATCCTACACATCACTGACTGGCCCTACCTCAGGCTGTCCTCTAAGGAACAGATCCTACACATCACTGACTGGCCCTACCTCAGGCTGTCCTCTTAAGGAACAGATCCTACACATCACTGACTGGCCCTATCTCAGGCTGTCCTCTTAAGGAACAGATCCTACACATCACTGACTGACCCTACCTCAGGCTGTCCTCTTAAGGAACATATCCTACACATCACTGACTGACCCTACCTCAGGCTGTCCTCTTAAGGAACAGATCCTACACATCACTGACTGGCCCTACCTCAGGCTGTCCTCTTAAGGAACAGATCCTACACATCACTGACTGACCCTACCTCAGGCTGTCCTCTTAAGGAACAGATCCTACACATCACTGACTGACCCTACCTCAGGCTGTCCTCTTAAGGAACAGATCCTACACATCACTGACTGGCCCTACCTCAGGCTGTCCTCTTAAGGAACAGATCCTACACATCACTGACTGGCCCTACCTCAGGCTGTCCTCCTAAGGAACAGATCCTACACATCACTGACTGGCCCTACCTCAGGCTGTCCTCTTAAGGAACAGATCCTACACATCACTGACTGACCCTACCTCAGGCTGTCCTCTTAAGGAACAGATCCTACACATCACTGACTGACCCTACCTCAGTCTGTCCTCTTAAGGAACAGATCCTACACATCACTGACTGGCCCTACCTCAGGCTGTCCTCTTAAGGAACAGATCCTACACATCACTGACTGGCCCTACCTCAGGCTGTCCTCTTAAGGAACAGATCCTACACATCACTGACTGGCCCTACCTCAGGCTGTCCTCTAAGGAACAGATCCTACACATCACTGACTAACTGGGAGGAATATACAATAGGGATGGAGGACATTCCATTACAAAGTATGTGTCCCAAATGGCACCCTATTCCGTATATAATGTACTACTTTTGACCAGACCCCTATAGGCACTATACAGGAAATAGGGTGTAATTTGGGATGCGGACTGGGAACATAGAAGAGGAAGTCATCCACAAGAAGGCTCATCTGTTACAGTACACTGTGAGCACTCAGACTAACACTACACCTAAATACACATCTCTATCACCACATCAGTGTGTGTGTGTTTTAACCAGGCCTGCTCCTATTCCTGTCAACCATTTAAACCCTACATCCTGCTTGGCAAAGCCACCCCTGGGGCTTCATTCACACATTCAACCTGAACCGACCCATGTGGAACACATTCAGGAAGTGCACTGACCCCGAGGCGGCCCATTATACTGTCAGCGTTCGAACGGCCAATCCATCACGTAATATCATCCACATTTAAAATCAGAGGTAGTCATCTGTGTTGAGCATGACCTATGGTGGTGTTGAGGCCTCAAACTGGACCCCGAACCACAGGGGTGAAAAGGTGGTGACTGACACATTGCAGAGGTAAGAAAATGATCAGTGTTTCGCTATCTCTTGGACTGCCAAAATTCAAGAATATGGGTCAAGGCAACTCTGCAGTCTTTCCCTCTGTGTGTGATCGCCTAGGCAGGCGATAGTGACTGCTAGATCTGCCCTATCATCTAGGATTGATGTGCATTCCCGGTAATACAGTCGTGTCACCCGTGGACCGGCTCGTACATAAAGCATCCTCCGTTCAGTCTGCAAAGGCATCATTTTTTATTCCTTAACCAGCTTTAAAAATGGCAAGCCGCCTGGAAACAGGCCCCGTGTAGCTCAGTTGGTAGAGCATGGCGCTTGCAACGCCAGGGTTGTGGGTTCGTTTCCCACCAGGGGGCCAGTATGAAAAATGTATGCACTCACTAACTGTAAGTCGCTCTGGATAAGAGCTTCTGCTAAATGACTAAAAATGTAAAATGAAACAAAGTGGGAATATACACTGAGGCCAGTTTATTAGGTACACCACCCTGTTCACGAAAATGTTTTGCACCTACAGTGAGTCACGCGGCTTGCTATATAAAGCAGGCAGGCAGGCATCCAGTTACTGTTCGATTGAACGTTAGAACGGGCAAAACTAGTGACCTAAGCAACTTTGAGCTTGGTCCGACGAATCCCAGTTTCTGTTGAGTCATGCTGACAGCAGACTCAGGATTTGGTGTAAGTCCATGGTCCATCCTGCCTGGTGTCAACAGTACAGGCTGATGGCGGTGGTGTAATGGTGTGGGGAATGTTTTCCTGGCACACTTTAGGTCCCTTCATACCAATTGAGCAACGTTTCCACGCCCGAAAATGTCAGGCTGTTCTGGAGGCAAAGGGGGTCCAACCTGGTACTAGATGGGTGTACCTAATAAACTGGCCTGTGTGTGTGCATGTACTGTTCTAATAAAACCCAATTTTCCATCACCATTTTCTGACAATTTAGGATGTTCCACACAGTGTTCAGCCAAGGGTGTGCAACATCCTAAATTGTCTGAAAAATCAGAAAGTGGTGGTGGAAAATTGTGTTTTATTAAGACAGTACACATTTTTCCAGTTTTTTTCCCCCCCCCACGACTCGCCATTAAAGCTAGTTAAGGAGGGAAATGATGCCTTCGCAGCCTGAATAGAGGATGCTTTATGAATGAGCCGGTCCATGGGGGACACGCGTGTATTACCGGGAATGCACATCAATCCAAGCCTATAGTGCAGATCTAGCGGCCAGTGCAGGACATTGTCCGCTGTGTGTGTGTGTGTGTGTGAGAGAGTTAGACAGAGAAAGTGAGACTCTTCTCCATCCTGAAGCAACCCTATAGATTGCGTTGGAGACAGACTGTCTCCAGGAAGAGTATCAAGACTACAACTAAATGTAATTCACATCCCGTGTAGAGAATCATAATAAATTGTTTACAAACAATTAGTGTAAAAAAAAAAAAAAGAGAGGATGTGGAAAAGTTCAACTACACAGAAACAACGCAAATCTGTTTCAGAACGTCTGGAAACATCATAAGTGGCCTGTATTGACAATAAGTGATCGATTAAATCGCATTTAAATTTGGATTAACTAGATCTTGTGAGAAAACCGACATACGACTTCATTCAGTTTTCGATTTTGTGATTATGTCAGTGTATGAAATAACGTCAACGTCACACTGAACAAATCCTTGAAAATAGCTTTAATTTGGCGGCGGATAATACAACTAACTACTCACCAGTATTCCTTCTCCGTCGATAATTTCTCCTTTTTCTTTCAGTGTGGTCTTCCAATTTGTGGTTCATGTACCATGTTTGTTCTGTCCTCGCCACAAACAATTGTGGAGTTTTTGTTCACTCCCTTTACCTGCGTAATGGCTACCTACCTACCTACCCTGACATTTGAAAACTGGTCTGACAGGATGAGTTTGACATATAACTGTTTCATTCAAACAAACGACTATAAAAAGCTTTTTATGTCATCTTACTAGACATTTCGGCGCTGAAATGACATGCAGTTTCCCACTACCAATCATTGACTGATACACACGTGACCAACCAGGTAAAGATGTAATCCCATTCACAATCAAACGGAATAAAGAGGTTTTGGCAAGAAGGGATCCTGTTTGTCAAAATGGACTTTTCGTAGCAGGTTAGGAGAATTTACGTAGCAGGTTAGGATAATTCGCGTAGCAGGCTATGGGAATCACTGTAGGTTATGGCTAGGAAATGGGTTAGGGTACGCTAAAATGCTAAAATAAAAAATAATTGATGTTAATTTGACAAACTATATCTCATCTCGCCAGGACATGAATCAGTTGCATGAACTGCTTTATATCCGTAAATAAAAGTCTATGAAAAGACTGCCCCCAAAGACAACTCACAATGACATTAGCTATATTACTGTATAAAAAGTTTAATTGTAAAGTGTTCCTATTATAAACATTTGTATATTAATGTAAATCGCATGCTCTTATAGTTAATTTGCTATTAACCACATTACTATTAGGCAAATGTATCGATATGTTAAGAATACAATCAAATTATCCTCAATTTTATTTTAGCCCCCCAGTGATAGGTGAATTGGATTAGACTTTATTCATTGGCCACCAGCTCTTTAATCCCGCCTCTGCCACTCTGCTCCAATTTTGTCTGGATTTTGAAAATAACCAACATTTTTGGGGAAAATTATGTTGTGCTAGTTCAATTGTACTGATAGGGATGCTTAAACTATGTTAGGAAATGCCACTTGCCCTAAAATCCTAACTTTGCCTGGTGGCTATCTGATATGAGGGAGTTATATTACAGTTTGTGTTAATAGCTTTGGTACTATTTTCACAAGTTATGTGGTACATTTTCACAACTCTTAGGACAAAAGTCAAAACTGGTCACACTTGTAAAGCAGCCAGTCTTCATTCAAAACCTGTAATTGTGCATTCATTTCAATTGTAGACTTCTCTCCCCACACAACCATTTGATTCAAAATATAAATTTGTCAAATGTAATGAGAACACTGGTTTAACATCTTTTAAATTTAGTCGTTTTAATTACCAGTTAATCCAATGCAAGATAGGTGTTTCAAATCGCCCTTACATTTACATTTACATTTACGTCATTTAGCAGACGCTCTTATCCAGAGCGACTTACATTATTATTTTCATACCTTAGAAGTGCTGAAAGTAATACGCTACAGTGCTGTAAATGACAGTTCACATTATGCAATACACTTACATTACCCAACAACAAAATTGACAGAAAATCTATAATTTCCATAATATCTATCCAATGTGTAATCAAAGGTGTGATCGAATAACACATCCTCTCTTTTTTTTTTTCAGATATAATTGCAACATAGGTGTATTGTCTAATGAAATGTAAGAAATTAAATAAAACGAATTGAATGAAAATAAAAACGTATAGCACACATTAATTTGCGTCAAAGCTTATCTTGAACATTTGGCCATAAATTCTCATCCACATCTGTGAATATCCCCATTGTTCATGCACCGCAGAAATAACCCTTGGCATGGCGACACAATCCAAGCTTGAACATTGGTCTGCATTGATGTCATCACATGCCTCATCCTTGGCCAGCAGGATGGTGGCACGCTCATGGGGATACCGATAGTATACCTTCCACCTCCATGCTGAAAAAAAATCCTCAATAGGGTTGAGGAAAGGAGAGTATGGGGGCAGGTATAGGGTCACGAGTTGGGGATGGGCCCGAAACCATGCCTGAACCTCCTCTGCATGGTGGAACCTGACGTTGTCCCACACAATGACATAGGCGACCCCTTCACCTTGACAGGCCTGTGCATCAAATAGTAATAGCTAAGCTACTGGACTGTTTTGCTAGCACAGACTGGAATATGTTCTGGGATTCTTCCGATGGCATTGAGGAGTACACCACATCAGTCACTGGCTTCATCAATAAGTGCATCGATGATATCGTCCGCACAGTGACCGTACGTACATACTCCAACCAGAAGCCATGGATTACAGGCAACATCCGCACTGAGCTAAAGGGTGGAGCTGCTGCTTTCAAGGAGCGGGACTCTAACCGGGACCCTTATAAGAAATCCCACTATGCCCTCAGACGAACCATCAAACAGGTAAAGAGTCAATACAGGACTAAGATTGAATCGTACTACACCGGCTCTGACGCTCGTCGGATGTGGCAGGGCTTGCAACCTATTACAGACTACAAAGGGAAGCACAGCCGCGAGCTGCCCAGTGACACGAGCCTACCAGACAAGCTAAATTACTTCTATGCTCGCTTCGAGGCAAGCAACACTGAAGCATGCATCAGAGCATCAGCTGTTTGGAAGACTGTGTGATCACACTCTCCGTAACCAATGCCAGTAATACTTTTAGACAGGTCAACATTCACAATGCCGCAGGGCCAGACGGCTTACCAGGACGTATACTCCGAGCATGCGCTGACCAACTTGCAAGTGTCTTCACTGACATTTTCAACATGTCCCTGACTGAGTCTGTAATACCTACATGTTTCAAGCAGACCACCATAGTATAGTCCCTGTGCCCAAGAACACTAAGGTAACCTGCCTAAATGACTACCGACCCGTAGCACTCATGTCTGTAGCCATGAAGTGCTTTGAAAGGCTGGTCATGGCTCACATCAACACCATTATCCCAGAAACCCTAGGCCCACTCCAATTTGCATACCGCCCCAACAGATCCACAGATTATGCAATCTCTATTGCACTCCACACTGCCCTTTCCCACCTGGACAAAAGGAACACCTACGTGCGTGAGAATGCTATTCATTGACTACAGCTAAGCAGCACCATAGTGCCCTCAAAGCTCGTCACCAAGCTAAGGACCCTGGGACTAAACACCTCCCTCTGCAAATGGATCCTGGACTTCCTGACTGGCCGCCCCCAGGTGGTAAGGGTAGGTAACAACACATCTGCCACGCTGATCCTCAACACGGGGGCCCCTCAGGGGTATGTGCTCAGTCCCCTCCTGTACTCCCTGTTCACCCATGACTCCATGGCCAGGCACGACTCTAACACCATCATTAAGTTAGCCGACGACACAACAGTGGTAGGCCTGATCACCGACAACAATGAGACAGCCTATAGGGAGGAGGTCAGAGACCTGGACATGTGGTGCCAGGACAACAACCTCTGCCTCAACGTGACCAAGACAAAGGAGATGATTGTGGACTACAGGAAAAAGAGGACTGAGCACGCCCCCATTCTCATCGACAGGGCTGTAGTGGATTAGATTGAGAGCTTCAAGTTCCTTGCTGTACACATCACCAACAAACTTTCATGGTCCAAACACACCAATCGTGAAGAGGGCACGACAAAGCCTACACCCCCTCATGATTTGGAAAGGCACACAACTGTCTATATAAGGTCCCACAGTTGACAGTGCATGTCAGAGCAAAAACCAAGACATGAGGTCAAAGGATTTGTCCGTAGAGCTCAGAGACAGGATTGTGTCGAGGCACAGATTTGGGGAAGGGTACCAAAAAAATGTCTGCAGTATTGAAGATCCCCAAGAACACAGAGGCCTCCATCATTCTTAAATGGAAGAAGTTTGGAACCACCAAGACTCTTCCAAGAGCTGGCCTCCCGGTCAAACTGAGCAATCGGGTGAGAAGGGCCTTGGTCAGGGAGGTGACCAAGAACCAGATGGTCACTCTGACAGAGATCTAGAGTTCCTCTGTGGAGATGGGAGAACCTAGGGCATCGCAGTGCTAGAGGCGTCACTACAGATCCGGGTTCGATCCCGGGCTGTGTCGCAGCCGGCCGCGACTGGAAGCCCCATGAGGCGGCACACAATTGGCCCAGCGTCGTCCGGGTTAGGGGAGGGTTTGGCCGGCTGGGATGTCCTTGTCCCATTGTGCTCTAGCGACTCCTTGTGGTGGCTGGGTGCATGCACGCTGACTTCAGTCGCCAGCTGTACAGCGTTTCCTCTGACACATTGGTGCGGCTGGCTTCCAGGTTAAGCGAGCAGTGTGTCAAGAAGCAGTGCGGCTTGGCGGGGTCGTGTTTCGGAGGACGCATAGCTCTCGACCTTCGCCTCTCCCGAGTCCGCACGGGAGTTGCAGCTATGGGACAAGACTGTAACTATCAATTGGATATCACATTCCAACAGGACAACCACCCTAAGCACACAGCCAAGACAACGCAGGAGGGGCTTCGGGACAAGTCTCAATGTCCTTGAGTGGCCCAGCTAGAGCCTGGACTTGAAACTGATCTAACATCTCTGGAGAGACCTGAAAATAGCTGTGCAGCAACGCTCCCCATCCAACCTGACAGAACCTGAGAGGATCTGCAGAGAAGAATGGGAGAAACTCCTCAAATACAGGTGTGCCAAGCTTGTAACATCATACCCAAGAAGACTCAATGCTGTAATCGCTGCCAAAGGTGCTTCAACAAAGTACTGAGTAAAGGGTCTGAATACTTATGTAAATGTGATATTTCTGTTTTTTTCTAAAAACCTGTTTTTGCTTTGTATTTAAGGGTTATTGTGTAGATTGATGAGGGGAAAAAACGATTCAATCAATTTCAGAGTGGCGCAGTGGTCTAAGGCACTGCATCACAGTGCTAGCTGTGCCACTAGAGATCCTTGTTCGAATCCAGGCTCTGTCGTAGCCGGCCGCAACCGGGAGACCCATGGAGCGGCGCACAATTGGCCCAGCGTCGTCCAGGATAGGGGAGGGAATGGCCGGCAGGGATGTAGCTCAGTTGGTAGAGCATGGCGTTTGCAACGCCAGGGTTGTGGGTTCGTTTCCCACGGGGGGCCAGTATAAAAAAAATAACAATAATGTATGCACTCACTAACTGTAAGTCGCTCTGGATAATAGCGTCTGCTAAATGACTAAAATGTAAGGCTGTAACATAACAAAATGGGGAACAAGTCATGGGGTCTGAATGCTTTCCGTAGACAAACCAGTTTAAAATCTATAGGTTTACCAAACGGTTAAGTGATTAACCATTAAGCTCAGTTGGATGAAGTGATGGTCAAATGTATTTAAAGAAATGATAAGAGAATCATATGAAAAGTATTGTGAGCATTGTGAAAGGCAATTACTTTATATGAAAGGTATTTCTAGATGAAACACTGATTAGGTTTGGTGAAAAAGTTACTGTGTGGTTTTGTGTGTTGTACTTAGTCAATTGAAAATGTGCTTAAAGTTTTTTCTTCTGTAACCTGAGCTGCGCTGCACCGGTTTATGGCCTGTGACGTGAACGGGCAAAAGTTGTGAAGGAGGAGCTCCCTTTTCAATGGAACAGTATTCTGCCCTCCAGTCATGTTGTCAACAAGGCAGCATGGTGCATCCTCCAGAAACATATAACATCTCTATTCCATAAAATATAGGCCTATATTCGAATGTTCTAACTTGTTTTAATTTGGAAGGCAGATAAAGCGTTTTTTATCAACAGCAATGACTTTTGTGAAAACACAGAATCCTACTCATTACTCTAGGCTACTTCACTTTTGTTTTGAGGCGATTTTGCAGTGGCTTTTGAACGGTGCACCTGGCTAACGCCCGGGAGGCAGACCAGTTCCCAAACGAATACAATCACTTTTCACCCAGTCAAACACCTTCTACCGGGTAACCCGGGCCAGATAATCGAATCCCCTCGTTATAAAATAGACAATACAGTATGAAAAATAGGCTAAAACTGCTAATCCAATAGAAATCTCCGATCACACTTTTAGGCGATGTCATGGCGAAATTGGGTCTAACGGTCCTCTAGTGCCGAACTGCGTATGTGCAGGCCGTCAAAATCAAAGGTACTCTTTCGATATAAAGTTGTTTCTTGACAAAAATATAAACGTATCTGTTTGTCTCTTTCACAAGGTTGGAGTAATAACATGTTCAACTACTTAAGACATTGACTCAAATCTAGGCTGTTCCTAGGTAAACAACTAAGGCAGAATATTTTACTTCTCTCATTGACTTCTCAAATCCCAAACCCCGGCCTCGTCTGTTTGGTCTGTTTCGCAAGCGTTCCCGGAAGTCTTGCGATGTTGCGCCTCTGGGTTAAGAAACTCTGTGATTCAAATTCAATGTAAGGGCTTTATTGGCATGGGAAACGTATGTTAACATTGCCAAAGCAAGTGAAGTAGATAGTAAACCAAAGTGAAATAAACAATAAATATTAACAGCTGTCATGTTCAACCTAGACGTTACAAAATGTGTTCTGTAGGTACGCAGATCTCATTGGCCAAACTGCCCGTCCCTCCAATGACGTTGGCTATTTTCGACTGCACCTCATCCCTATTATCCGGTCGTCACTAGTTACCACAGCCACATAACCCCGCCAATTTCTACAATTAATCTTCTTAAAATGTGATTTTAAACCTAACCCTTACCTTAACCACACTGATAACTTTATGCCTAACCCTAATCTTAAAATAAGACCAAATAGCACATTTTTGTTTTAATTCATTTTGACGATATATCCAAATGTGACTTTGTGACTGTGGTAACCAGTGGAAAGCCTATTTCCAATGCTCGCTTTTCGCCCAGCTGGAGCGGAGCCTATTTTTTGTTTTGCACGTGTCCCATCAATATCGCTGGATTTCTATCGCTGGATCTTCCAAAAAATTGCATATTTTAGGATTTACTGGACGTTTATTTTCAGATATTGTGTTGGCGTAGGAATTTTAAAGTGGGGCAATGAGAGCAGATACGTATTTATCAAGCTAGCGGTGGCTAACCTAGCCACATGGTGCACAGTAACTAGCTAGGAGAACATGCCCAGACCTGTCACACAAGGCCGATAGGTTGCGATTTGTTTCAGACATGGATTACACATTTCCACAGAAACTTTTCCCGGTTTATTTCAACTCTGGGCCTCCCAGTTCTACGTTTAGACATAACGTCGGAGGCTGGGGTTCGTATGGTCAAGTGTTGGAAGTAAACGTCGCTCCACACGAGGTGAGTTGTGATGCTGGCTTCATGGCTGGCTGGAGAATGTATGCTATGATACACTGTTTTTCCCTACTATGATATGGATGATCATAGGCCAGACAATCTTGATTAAAATCACTTTCACCCTGAAAGTCCGTTGCCATTTTACTAGAGTTGATGTTTTATAATTTTAGAAAGGCGCTAGTCTACCAAAAGTAGAGTGGAAGTTCGAATCTCAACACCAAGTGACGGGAGAGACATGGGTGCCAGCGGAACCTATTGCAATACCACTTCTGAGACCAAAAAGAGGTAGTGGCCCGTCACTGCGTTTCATATTGTTTGATAAAGTTAAGATTTATTAGACAATTATGTTACTCTTGTGCACGTCACTCAATATTTGAACTTTCATATTTTACTTTTTTTTATTATTTTTTTATAGCCAGCAAATGGTCATCAACCGCTCTCTCGGATCCTTTGGACTTTTCAGAGCATGTAAGAACCTTTTTTTACTTCCTGATTTTGCACTGTGAACACACACTGAAGTAAAGTTATTTATATTTGGATGACTTGTCCTTCGTAGATGCAGAACTTCTACCAGTATAACCCCAAGGATGCGTTTTACACAATGAGCCATCTCCTAGGGGAGAAATTCCACTTTGGACATGGGAAGAGAAAGGTGACTGTCCTGACTGTCTATTGTTTGTTTGTTTGCTGAGTGTGTGTAAGACATTTATATGCAATTAAGTTTGACCCCTTGTTTTGTCATTTTTCCAGGGAAGTGAAAGAAAGGCTGTTCACATGTGGCAGACGGAGCACTTCATGCAAACATTGAAATACAAAAAGTAAGTCCATAGTGAGGAACTCTAGGCTTTGTGTCCTAGCCGAGACACTGCTCCACCATCCGTCCTGCGTAGTTTTACAGATGTAGGCTGTGCACATCACATTCACCCTAAGGCTATTTGAAAGGCCCTGCAATGCAATATCCTGATCCTACCATGGCGTTTCATGTGGCCAGTGCTGTTTACATTTACATTTTAGTCATTTTAGCAGACGCCCTTATCCAGAGCGACTTACAGGAGCAATTAGAGTTAAGTGCCTTGCTCAAGGGCACATCATTTTACTGGTCATCACACAACCCCGTTTTTCATCCACCTCCGCCCTACCCAGAAGGGTTACTGCTACGCAAGAAGCTGTTGCGTTTAGCAAACAAAATATTGCATTCTTTATTCGCTTCTTCTTTTCCTTGGTGGTGCCCTCTGACCGTTAGCTCCCCTGGCTGTACGTCCATCGTTGCATTCAAGTTTATCTAAAACATTCTCTATCCTGTACCTAGGTGCGAGTTGACTCATATGGGACGGCAGGCCAAAAGGTACAACAACTTGCTCTCAGATGTGATCCATGACATCCCTCCGGCCCTGCTAGCTGATCTCCTCCATGAGGAGCTGACCTATCAGAGGGAGCAGGAGCAGTTCTCTGAACACGCCACAGGGGGCGCCATAGGGTACTTTTCCTTTACCAACACCAGTACCTCTCAGCAAGGCTGTCTGGTGTACCCTGGGAAACCTGGCCTCAACAACCTTAGTATCCTTCAATCTAATCTATCTGAAATATCAGTCTTGAAATAACCTTACTGGCTGGCTGCCCTTTCCCCGTCGCATTGAGGCTGCCACAACCTGGTTAACAGCCGTAGCGACATTTTTGGTGATTTAATTTTTTCATTCTCAGAATATTTCAGTATTCCATTCACTTTTATTCAGAAGATGCCATTTCAAGCCTGGAGGGTAGGAGCACTTCTCTGATTCAGAGGGGTTGGGTTAAATGGGGAAGACGCATTTCAGTTGAATGCATTGTTGTACAACTGACTAGGTATCCCCCTTACCTTTCAAGAACCACATCAAAAGTCCTTAATGCAGTACCTCAGACTTCCACAGGGTAATACTTGAGTTCCAAGAAGGGAAGCCTCCATGTTTTGATGTGAGCCACAAGCCTCTCTCAGTCCAGCTCAATGGGACAATCAGACAGATCACCATCGGCCTTCAGCAGGATGAATGTAAGCACAGTAACATCATTATCATCCATAAATGCATGTGCAATATTGGATCCTGTTTCTTGTTTGGTTTGTGGTTGACGTTTAATTCATGAAGTAGGTTTAACTGAAATTCCAATTTCCTCATGGTAAAGGGAACATTTGGAATTTCCGGTTACTTCCCGAATTAAACCGAGTTAACCCTAATTCTGGTCATAATATTTTTCTTCCTCCGTTTCCTTTATCTCTAGTTTTGAGTTTTAACAATTGTCTTGCTGTTGAACGGACATGCAGCCCAAACTCTTCCTGTCTGTTGAACTGACCTAGTAGTTGTGTTCTTAATGTAGGCCACGTTGGGGTGCGCTCTGACCACCTGTGTGGTGTCTGGAAGGTCAGTGAGAAGAACGTGCCTAAGACTCTGGAGGTCATTCAGACCAAGCAGCCTGCTACGTGCCTCAGTGCCAGGTAGGTTGGAGCACTGCTATTCCCCAGGCACTTGTGTTTGTGTGTGATCAGTGCTATTCCTGAGGCACTTGTGTTTGTGTGTGATCAGTGCTATTCCCCAGGCACTTGTGTTTGTGTGTGATCAGTGCTATTCCCGAGGCACTTGTGTTTGTGTGTGATCAGTGCTATTCCTGAGGCACTTGAGTTTGTGTGGAATTGACATTTGAGTGTACTTCCTGAATTGACCCCATGCTACAGACTCTTTTTTTTTTATGTTAACATTGGTATAAACGGGTGATTTGTTGTCTTTTAGTCCCCATGTTCAGGGAGAGCTTCTGGTGGCCAGTGAGAGTGGAGCTGCCTATCTATGGACGGTGGGGAAAGGGTAAGGGGCGTAGATACCCGTCACTGAACTTATGGCCCTGTCCCAATTATTTACCCTTCTCCTGTTCTCCATGACCCCTCTCCCTAAGTAAAGTGCACACTTACACACTCTACATCAGGGGTTTAAAACCATTGGATTGTTGTTTAGCATTACCAGGAGTGAGTTTCCACCATTTGTTAAATTCATGAAAGGGACTGGGAGTGTGCACACTTGGGGAGAAGGGTTGAATGCCTTGCCTAAGTAATGTCTGCTAAATGGGGGGCTGACCCCGAACAAAAACAAATCTTGGTCGACGGAGAGTAGTCTGTTCTTTCGACCGATCAATTGGTAGACATTTTTAATTGTGTGAATTTTGCTTTATGTAGACACACCCTATGTTTGAATAAAATCGACTATATGTAGGCTACTGAGCTAGCTTGATGCTTTAAGCACTGTGATTGAAAAAATGAAGACACACAAATGACTCGAGGGAGCCAGAGATCAATATAGCCTAACCATAGGAGAGAGGGAAAACCAGTTCCTGACCCAGCCCCGCTCCTCCCACTGGCCTAAGCAAAATCGTTACACTCCTGAAGATGCCGGTAATAGTCTACACCAGCGGTTGGCAACTTTTTCCATTTGGAGTGCGAAGTTATCGTACCATTTCTACTGATCTGCGTATGCACATTTTCATGGAACAGTTTCATTTAATTTATATTAAGTCTTCATATCTCAAAATCAATGTCATGTGGTTAATTAAAATTATATCTAAATGAAAATGATACAAATCTAGAAGTAACTTCTGTTGCCATTGCCAATATGTAAAAATAGCCTACATCATAAAGCCAACAAATAAATAAAATAAAATAACCTGGTAGAAAATATCCTGATTTAAAAAAATATATATATATCCTATAAATCACATTGGCTACACATGGCCTATCTGCAAGGAACTTGAAACATTGTATCAACTATTAACTTGTTCCGGTCCCGAAGCAGCTTGTGCTAGAAAACTTGCAACATTGTATACGTAATCAGTTTCATCCTTACTCAAGATTAACAGGACCGCTCCAAACAAAAGACAATTAATAAATTGACAACTCTTAAAACTTTTCCCTCACAAGTGTAGCCTAGGTTGTGCGCTCTGCAAACAACGTGTCCACTCCTACAATGAGAACGGTAAGACTGTACTAATAATATACTGAATGCATTAACAGAAATTACGGTAACCAAACAAACATTGTAATTAGAAATGATGGGAATTAAGGGTAAATGTACTACTGGTGATACTGTTGTGTGGCCTCCACAATGGATTGGTCCACTCAGACAGGCCTGAATCAGACCGGTGTCTCAGACAGGCGTGAATCAGACAGGTGGCTCAGACAGGCGTGAATCAGACAGGTGGCTCAGATAGGCGTGAATCAGACAGGTGGCTCAGACAGGCCTGAATCAGACAGGTGGCTCAGATAGGCGTGAATCAGACAGGCGTGAATCAGACAGGCGTGAATCAGACAGGTGTCTCGTGTGCCATACATTTTTAAAAACATATGATTCTACTGCTCGACTAAAAAATTGTCGACCAACAGCCTGTCGACTAAATGGGGTCAGCCATACTGCTAAATAACTGTAAAACAGGTAGATAAGGATGCAACTCTTATCATCTCTCGCCTTGTAGGACATGTTTCCTGTATCATCTCTCTGTGTGTAGGACATGTTTCCTGTATTATCTCTCTGTGTGTAGACCATGTTCCTGTATCCCCTGTGTGTAGACTCTTATCATCTCTGTGTTGTAGGACATGTTACCTGTATCTCTCTCGCCTGTGTGTGGACATGTTTACCCTGTATCATCTCTCTGTGTGTAGGACATTGTACCCGTATCATCTCTCTGTGTGTAGGACATGTTTAACACTGTATCATCCTCTGTGTGTAGGACATGTTACCTGTATCATCTCTCTGTGCTTGTAAGGGGACATGGTTACCTGTAATCATCCTCTCTGTGTGTAGGGACATGTTACCCTGTATCATCTCTCGTGGTGTAGGACATGTTACCTGTATCATCTCTCTGTTGTGTAGGACATGTTACCCGTATCATCTCTCTGTGTTGTAGGGACATGTTACCCGTATCATCTCTCTGTGTGTAGGACATGTTACCCGTATCATCTCTCTGTGTGTAGGACATGTTACCCGTATCATCTCTCTGTGTGTAGGACATGTTACCTGTATCATCTCTCTGTGTGTAGGACATGTTACCCGTATCATCTCTCGCCTTGTAGGACATGTTACCCGTATCATCTCTCGCCTTGTAGGACATGTTACCTGTATCATCTCTCTGTGTGTAGGACATGTTACCCGTATCATCTCTCTGTGTTAGGACATGTTTCCTGTATCATCTCTCTGTGTGTAGGACATGTTACCCGTATCATCTCTCTGCTTGTAGGACATGTTACCCGTATCATCTCTCGCCTTGTAGGACATGTTACCCGTATCATCTCTCGCCTTGTAGGACATGTTACCCGTATCATCTCTCTGTGTGTAGGACATGTTACCCGTATCATCTCTCTGTGTGTAGGACATGTTACCTGTATCATCTCTCTGTGTAGGACATGTTTCCTGTATCATCTCTCTGTGTGTAGGACATGTTACCCGTATCATCTCTCTGTGTGTAGGACATGTTACCCGTATCATCTCTCGCCTTGTAGGACATGTTACCCGTATCATCTCTCGCCTTGTAGGACATGTTACCCGTATCATCTCTCGCCTTGTAGGACATGTTACCCGTATCATCTCTCGCCTTGTAGGACATGTTACCTGTATCATCTCTCTGTGTAGGACATGTTTCCTGTATCATCTCTCTGTGTGTAGGACATGTTACCCGTATCCCTAACAGGATTCCCTCTTGTTATATTTTAGTTTGCAGAAGTTCCGTCAGGAGGACAGTAACCTGTACTTCAATTCTAAGTCGTCATGGAGATGGTGTGACTTCTCTGGCCACCCCAGGGTGATGGTGTATGCTGACCGGACAGGTGTGGAGCTCACTGATATCAGGGTAATGGAAGACCGTAAAGCCACTCCATGAGTACTTGTTGATTTGTTGTTTTTGTAACTGTGTTGCTGCGCTGATTGACAAACTAATTTCCTAACCGGGATTTCTGGGATTGAGAATCTTGCTATTCTGAATGTTTTAACCTAGCGATATGAGATCAACTCTTACCTGTTTACAATTGGAAATGGAACAACATGTCTGCTATTAAAAAAAAAATAACATATCTTGGTTTTGAGAAATATGGAGTGACCTGAAGTTTGGTAGATGTTAACATTGTAAGTGTGTGTAAAAATCCGTTGTTTATGTGTGCATGTCTCTCTGTCTTTACAGACCAAAGACTGTTGTAGTCACACGCTGTTTCGTATCTGCCAAACCCCAGACTGTAAGAGTGGAGAGAGAGTCATCCTGTCCAATTACCTGAGAGAGGTCCACACCTTCCACCACCTCGTCATCACACAGGTGCAGTACCCTTTGAGCTACGTTCTAATTGGCCTATCATATCAGGGCTCTACAGTGCGACCCTTTTAACTACGTTCTAATTGGCCTATCATATCAGGGCTCTACAGTGCGACCATTTTATTTGCATATATCGCCTAAATATTTAGGTGTGCGACCTGGATTTTTTTTTAAATTTAGGAGCACCAGTGCACCTAGAAATATTTTAAGATTCTAGCTCTTACATTTGTTTCTGTGCACCTACATTTTCCAACTTAGGCGAACGCGTGCTCCTTGCAGCTCAAAGGATTCATTTTTGTACTACGGGTGATGTGGTGTATCTTGAACTGGTCTTGATGAACTCACCTTATCGGAGGGGTTGGGTTAAAGCAGTTGACACATTTCCATCGCGTATGGACTATAAAGTATATCTGATGTTGTCTTCTTGACAGCCTTTCTGCCAGTTCCTTTGTCACATCACAGTTCTGGAATGTATCCGGCTGTATTCCAGCTCTTAAGGAAACTTCCGGAGACGCAGGCAGCATTTGAACAACTCTCTTTGTGAGACACAAGCATCACAATGGGCCATTGACAGCCGAAGACTCGTGCTTTTAACCTAAAGGAAAAACAAAACCATCGGCTTTTTTGTGTGAGCCTATACGTTTCTTCAGGTGTTCTTGTGATCTTTGTCATTCGCAGCACACTGCGTACGTCATGGATGAGCGCTTCCCCTGCCTCCCCATGATCCAGTGGGATCACATGATGGAGCATCCTCCCATGTTTGCCCAGGTCGTGGCGGGGTTGCCGTCAGGGGGCGGGACTACTAAAGTGCTGCTGGGCTCTCAGCGATCACAGGAAGTGATCCTGCTACAGTACTCAGGTGTGTACAGTCATTCTAATAATGGGTGTGTGTGACAGGGTGGGTGTTTTATTTGAGTGAACGCTGTGCCTCAGGCTACTGCTGACCAACCCGTTTTACTGTGCACCTGGATAAAAAAATAAAATAATCTAAAATACTTTTGTCATTGAGCTTGGAGTTCCTGGAGCACTTGAAATAAAACCAAATACTATTTGAACCCAGGGCTGTCTGTGTCACTGTGAACAGAAATGCTGACGTAATGGCTATTTTGATCAATGTCCTGTGTATTGACTTTCTGTAACGTCTACTACTGTTCCGCCTGGTTCTCCAGGTGGTAGGGAAAATGCCTGCGTCACCAGAGGCCCACCCCAGGCCCTGCTCAGCCCCAGAGACAGCCTGGGACACCTGCCTGTCCAACTCCCCCACAGACAGCACCAGGCCCAGGACAGACTAGCCAAGCCTGCTTCTGGTAAGGACTGTGTAAATAAAGACTGTGTAAATAAAGTTGTTTTAAATTGTATTGAAAATGTGTCCCTAATGTGTTATGTTTGTTTTTGGGATGTTATTGTAGATGTGTTTGGTGAGATGTAACTGTCTATGGCCAAATCCACCATCACTTAAATATTTACATATCTGGAGGAATTACTTTCAGTTTAGTTTTCTCATTGAGCGTAATAATGAGTGAAGTCTGTGCTTTATGTTGAATATACTCTTAATCGATGGGTTTTTCTCTCTCCTTTCAGGTCTTGCGGTCATCCATCAGAGCCAAGGTAAGGAGGAGTGTATCTGTGTGCTGCAACTCACTGGGGCCGGAGACATCTTTTACCACACGCTAAGGTCCCAGACAGAGTCCTTCAGTAAAGAGGGCCCACCAGCACCAACCCAGGACTCTGTGGGACCTGAGGGACGTATCGGAGCTGTGCAGAGATTAAAAGAACCAGTTGAAACATTAAGGAAACAGTTGCATCAAACGTTAGAAACGTCAAGAGGCAGAGCCCTAGATGAGACATGGTATTCCTCTGGACCCCCGTCTCCTGCGGATGACTCTGGGTTCGAAGGAAGGGGGCAGCCGTGGGACATGGCTGGGCTGGAGGTGGTTATCAATGACCCTCATGACGACCCGTACCTGTCGCTAGAGACAAACACAGGATTAACCGACACTCAGGAAACCGCTGCTACTGTTCCACCACCTACAGCCCAGTCTTTGGACACTACTGTTAATACTAACCCTGTCAGACCAAGGCCGAAGGCTAAAGTCAGTGATGAGGCTCTGTTGGTTTGGAGGAAGTGGTTCCTCAAACTGTTCAAGAGCCCCAAGAAGCGCCGCAATCTCCCACACAGGACCATAAAAACCAAGGGTCTTCTACCCGACGACAACCTTCAGAGAGACCCGTTGGAAGACGACCGTCTTCGGAGCCTGAGGAAGGACCTGAGGGAGACCATGAGGAATGGAAATGTTCTCGTCCACAGGAACACCTATCTCAAACCCCTGGCTCTGGTGCCTGTTCCGGCGCCCGTGGAACCCTCTGAGTGGGCTGATGCGCTGAGCGAGAGGATGAGCGCGTCATGGGAACCTGGGCTGGGGGGATGGAGGCACTGGTGGGAGGAGAGGCTGGGGCTGAACCGAGAGGAGAAGGTAACCAATCTCTATTGCTATTTATCGTGTGTGTGTGTGTATCTGGGCCACGTTCAGTTGTCAAACGTTGCAGATAGAAATGCCATCAATAGAGCCGACATGATTCCTTGTTGTACATGTCGGAAAGGCATTTTTTGTTCCGGTCGTGATATTTCTATATATATATATATATACACACACACACACAGTGGGGAGATCAAGTATTTGATACACTGCCGATTTTGCAGGTTTTCCTACTTACAAAGCATGTAGAGGTCTGTAATTTTTATCGTAGGTACACTTCAACTGTGAGAGACGGAATCTAAAACAAAAAAATCCAGAAAATCACATTGTATGATTTTTAAGTAATTAATTTGCATTTTATTGCATGACATAAGTATTTGATACATCAGAAAAGCAGAACTTAATATTTGGTACAGAAACTTTTACAGAGATCATACGTTTCCTGTAGGTCTTGACCAGGTTTGCACACACCGCAGCAGGGATTTTGGGCCACTCCTCCATACAGACCTTCTCCAGATCCTTCAGGTTTCGGGGCTGTCACTGGGCAATACGGACTTTCAGCTCCCTCCAAAGATTTTCTATTGGGTTCAGGTCTGGAGACTGGCTAGGCCACTCCAGGACCTTGAGATGCTTTTTACGGAGCCACTCCTTAGTTGCCCTGGCTGTGTGTTTCGGGTCGTTGTCATGCTGGAAGACCCAGCCACGACCCATATTCAATGCTCTTACTGAGGGAAGGAGGTTGTTGGCCAAGATCTCGCGATACATGGCCCCATCCATCCTCCCCTCAATACGGTGCAGTCGTCCTGTCCCCTTTGCAGAAAAGCATCCCCAAAGAATTATGTTTCCATCTCCATGCTTCACAGTTGGGATGGTGTTCTTGGGGTTGTACTCATCCTTCTTCCTCCAAACACGGCGAGTGGAGTTTAGACCAAAAAGCTCTATTTTTGTCTCATCAGACCACATGACCTTCTCCCATTCCTCCTCTGGATCATCTAGATGGTCATTGGCAAACTTCAGACGGGCCTGGACATGCGCTGACTTGAGCAGGGGGACCTTGCGTGCGCTGCAGGATTTTAATCCATGACGGCGTAGTGTGTTAGTTATGGTTTTCTTTGAGACTGTGGTCCCAGCTCTCTTCAGGTCATTGACCAGGTCCTGCCGTGTAGTTCTGGGCTGATCCCTCACCTTCCTCATGATCATTGATGCTCCACAAGGTGAGATCTTGCATGGAGCCCCAGACCGAGGGTGATTGACCGTCATCTTGAACTTCTTCCATTTTCTAATAATTGCGCCAACAGTTGTTGCCTTCTCACCAAGCTGCTTGCCTATTGTCCTGTAGCCCATCCCAGCCTTGTGCAGGTCTACAATTTTATCCCTGATGTCCTTACACAGCTCTCTGGTCTTGGCCATTGTGGAGAGGTTGGAGTCTGTTTGATTGAGTGTGTGGACAGGTGTCTTTTATACAGGTAACGAGTTCAAACAGGTGCAGTTAATACAGGTAATGAGTGGAGAACAGGAGGGCTTCTTAAAGAAAAACTAACAGGTCTGTGAGAGCTGGAATTCTTACTGGTTGGTAGGTGATCAAATACTTATGTCATGCAATAAAATGCAAATTAATTACTTAAAAATCATACAATGTGATTTTCTGGATTTTGGTTTTAGATTCCGTCTCTCACAGTTGAAGTGTACCTATGATAAAAATTACAGACCTCTACATGCTTTGTAAGTAGGAAAACCTGCAAAATCGGCAGTGTATCAAATACTTGTTCTCCCCACTGTGTGTGTGTATATATATATATATATTTCCATTTGAATGTTCCAAAACGTTGTTTCCTGCTGAATGCGCCCCTGTTGTGGTGGTTGTTTTTAATGTTGGTTTTCACCCTGACTACACTACACATTTCCCAATTGGGACAATGGAGAGATTGATTGACATATTAATTGGTTGATTTGAAGGTGGAAGCTCTGCGGAGGAAGAGGAGGAGGCAGAAACAGGCAAAGGGTCACAGTCGTATCGACCTATCGGGCAGCTTCACCTCGTCCGTCAGCTACCAATCAGACCTGGACAGCGCCTCTCTCTCCGGTTGGTCGTCTGCAGCCAGTCAGGGCGCCTGCTCCGACGTAGACAGTGTGGCTACAAGCTGCTACTACACCAAGTGGGATGTCCTCTCTGAGCCGGGGACACCGAGGGCTTTCACACCTACGCCACAGAAACAGACCAGTATTTCACAACCCACAACACCTCATAGGGAGTTTGGTAGTGGTTCAATACCTACTACACCACTGGAGCAGCTTAGTAGTTTCTTCTCCCAGCCAACAATCCCCCATACACAATTCAGTAGTAGTTCACAGCCAACTATCCCCCATACACAGTTCACTAGATCTGAGCCACTGTTTACACCCCAAAAACAGCCCACCGTTGGTCGTGTATCGCCCTGGACAACAGTAGGTTCTGACGCCACCTCGACGGCCATTTTGAGAACGGCGGTGGCATCCCAGAAGAAGCCCAAGCCACAGAATCAGGATTATTTAAGTTCTCTCTTTGGATCCCAGGAGCCTGCGGAGGCTTCACAGGGAGGAGGGTTTAATGAGAGAAGCCATAGTACTCCTTTGGCCACCTCTTCTCAGCTGTCCTCCGTCTCTACCTCACAGAGGAACCCTAAAGTGGGACTAACCTCCTCACAACTCAAAAGAAAGAAGTCTCGCATGGGTTTCTGATCTTAGTATTGGTGGATGTAGCCTCACCAACAACAGTTATTTTCAAACGAGATGATGGAACTATGGCAAGGGATCTTGTTTAACCTTTGGTTTTTTTTGTTAGGTTGATTCCATGTGTTTTGTGACAGGACTGTGACGTTTGAATTGGCTGTTGACGAGATTTCTGGGATATTCTAGAAACCAATAGCATCAGTCAGGGAATAATTTTTTTTTTGGTACAAAAATAAAGATGTATTCATTAATATTGTTCTAGGCCATCACTAATCTCTGACTGAAGCAGGTTTGGTTGAGTGACTTCATGTGTTATGGGCCAGTACTGAAGTGCGAATTGGCTACCGACTTCTGGTCATAAGACATTTGGAATCTCTAGGCCTAGAACACCACTCAATGTTTTTGCAATATCTGTAAAATTCTAAAGCATCACTCAATGTACAGGCATAATCTGACTGAAGCAAAACATTTCATTTCAAATAAGGATTTTTGATAGTCAGTAGTCAAAGACAAAGACCAGAGATTCAGATGTCAAAATAGTATTTTTTTTGTCATACACGTGGCAAAAAATTATAAATAAGTTAATATCTACAAAGGTACTATTCACAGCATTTGTGTTGTTTTTTTTAAAACATTATATAAATGTACAATTAGTTTAAAAATGTGACTTTCTTTTGACATACATTTTTCATCCACAGAGCTAGCTACATACCTTCCAAATATTGTTACCCTACGACCTGAAAATTGACAAATTTCGAGGTTTTAAGATCACACACACGTTTTTCTGAATAGTAACATGCAATCAGATGTTGGCTTTTAGTTCAACCTTGTAGGGGGATAACCAAACCAGCCTGACCACCAGGCAGTGATCATAACTTCCCTCTGCTACTCAACGATTACTTGTTATACAAAAATTGTGCAATGTACGTTTTCCAGGTTTACTAACTCCCCAGACAACAGTCCTTGTTTCACAACAGTCTACTGTACCTTGGCTGTGTTCTATAATGCATTCTAAATGGTACCCTATTTCCTATATAGTGCACTACTTTTGACCAGGGTCAATAGGGCTCTGGTCAAAAGTAGTGCACTATAAAGGGTGCCATTTGGGATGTACACTGTCTGATGTGGCTGGAATGTGACAAATCCAAACATGCACCACCCAACAATCTTTTTTCCAACGCTAGATCTACAAAAACAAAAGAGTTCAAAACCTTTTATCTTTGAGTCGATGGATTCTGCTGCCTGTCAGGATTGTTCAAGTCTTTCAAATAAGATAGATACAGTATATTGATGGGTTTGTAACAGGCTACACTGGTAGCCCCATTTTGAAGTAACAAAAAAATGAAGATAGCTTTCCTATAAACGTATCTTCTGGGTCGTGTTCACCAGGAACCAAAATGGGCTGTCACAGGTTAAACGTGACTAAGGCTACAAAACGTTTCACTAATGAACATGACCCTACAGTATAAACGGTGGTTGTGGCTCCCTCCAGAGGGGTCTGTTCTAAGGGGTATGGTGGTATTTGTTTCGTTGGTTGCTTTGGCAGATGAAGTGGGAAGGGAAGTATGGTCCCTCCGCGTCGGAGCCCAGGGAACTGCTCAGGCTCTCTTCCCCAGAACTCATGTCTTCACACGAGTCCTCGCTGAAACAACAAAAGGAAAGAAACAATTGTATGCGTTCTATATTTAAATTGGTTCTCGACAACAACAGGACCTATCCCACATTCCCAACATTCAAGTCATCTTTATTATGTGGAGGTTTAACTGGTTGTGCAACGATGTGTTTTGAGCAGTTATGGCAGCTGGTTGCTAGGCAGGTAGGAAGTGACAAGTCACTCGCATACATGTCATGTCTGAGTGTTAGTGAGTAATATGGAGCCGGGCAGACCGGGATGGGCCTCTGTAGAAAGGCTGTTGGGCTAGCCAAGCTGATGCAACAGGCAGGGCCGTGATGTCACAGATCGTACCAAACTCCCCCTACGAGTCACAGGTTGAATTACCAGGATTACTATAGTATGCTGTAAGAACTGAAACTAGGGAGTGGCCATACACTGGAGTGGGGAGGGGCTTAATTGTTGGGGGGTGGTACTTAATGTGCCTTTTTACGCTGAACAAAAAAAATATAAAAACGCAACATGTAAAGTGTTGGTCCCATGTTTCATGAGCTGAAATAAAATGAATCCCAGAAAAGGTTCCATTCATACAAAAAGCTTATTTCTCTCAAACTTTGTACACAAATTTGTTTACATCCCTGTTAGGGAGCATTTCTCAAGTTTAGGGAGTGTGAAATTGGCAAAGCTGTTGCCAGAGAATTTCATGTTAATTTCTCTACCATAAGCTGCCTCCAATGTCCTTTTAGAGAATTTGGCAGCATGTCCAACCGGCCTCACAACCGCAGACCGACCACGTGTAACCACACCAGCCCAGGACCTCCACATCCGGCTTATTCACCTGCGGGATTGTCTGAGGGGGGAGGGGGGCTGAGAAGTATTTATGTCTGCAATAAAGCCCTTTTGTGGGGGAAAAAACTCATTCTGATTGGCTGGGCCTGGTTGCCAAGTGGGTGGCGCCATGCCACCCATGCTCTGTGCCCCTGCCCAGTCATCTGAAATCCATAGTAGGGCCTAATGAATTTATTTCAATTGACTGATTTCCTTATGAACTGTAACTCAGTCAAATCTTTGAAATTGTTGCATGTTGCGTTTATATTTTTGTTCAGTATAGTTCTGTTATTCTGGGGATTTTCCAAAGCGTTTTCTTCAATACAGTATATAGACTAATCTCTTAATACTGTGTCCTATCACTGAATTTATTTGAAAATGTTCTATTCTGGAATGTAGGCCTACTGTGTGAATGTGTTTTTGATCAGCATGTTGGAAGTATCTCTTCCTCGACAGAACAGTCCATAACGTATTCCTGATTTACCTTTCGCTCTCGTCCCAGCAGTCCTCAGGAATGGTTGGCAGTTCAGGGACGTTGCAGTAGCTGGTGTGAAGGTTCTGAGCTGTCCTTCTCGACACGATCCAGACTAGCTTCTTATTGTTGGGTCTGCTACATTCAGGGGACGAGTAGTCGGACATACACTTGGCCACTAGACCCCTCCAGTGTAGCAGCTCAACGTCAGCGATCTGTAAAAGAAGACCCAGTGCATCGTAACATTGGACACCGTGTACCATAATTGACAGGGTCAGCAAAAACCGTTGGGGTGGATTCCAGGTGTTGTAAAACGATTGGCAGCCGGGAATGTAAAAAGGGCCCTCTACATTTCCTTCCATATGGGTCAGTTGTCATTTGAAACCTTATGGACTAGGGCTTTAGGGCACACAATATGCAACACTGTTTCCAGGGCAAAATACGTTTTGTGTGCAAATACGACAGGAAACTGTGATTTGTGTTACTTTGTTAACCAAAGGAATACGTTATTTGCTTTGTGATAAGGCCTCAAGGCTTTTGACACAACAGCAATTGCTTACCTTGAGATGTCTCTGAACACTACGTGCTATTTCTACCATGTCAACAGACTGCATGGCTTCAAGCTCCTGCCTGAGGAGGGACAGGGCCAAGACAGACGGCTGGAAGAGAACCAAAGAAAGAAAACAACGCGTCACATTAGACTGCTGCCCTAGAGGTTTACTGGAATATGGAACTGGGTGTATACTCTCTGGGGTAACTCCTTACTTTAGCTTTGGAGAATGTGATGCGGCATAGACAGGCTTTGAGCTGGGCCTCTAGAGTGTCGAGGTTCAGGGCCTCCTTCCTTTAAAAAAAAAAAAAAAAGACACAAAAGGGAAAAATACTTAAGACCAAATTCATTTGAAATCAGTTCGATGTGAAAACAAGGTGATAAGGCTACTTTGTTTACGTAACATGTCCCCACCACCATACTATCTGAAAATGTCCAGTACAACGCTGTTCCGATAGATAAAACCAGTGCTGCCCTTTCACAGTAAGGACTAATGGCGCTTTCGAACAACGGGGAAATTAGCTCGGACTGGGTATCTTTTTCTTTTTTTTACGGTCATCCAACTCGAGAACCCGGGCCTCTTTCTAGAGCTCCGACCTGAAGATCCCTTAATGTCATGATTTGATCTCCTCCTCCCCTCCCAGTTCCCAGTTGTCTTGAAAAGCGCCATAATGATAAGTAGGGCAGTGATGTCATGGAATTTTGGATGACAGTAATTGGTCAGATATGGCAATTGTGCCAGCCCTAATGATAAGCCAGATATGTCAACAGCTGCTTAAAGTTCATGTCTAGTTCATTATGTCACACCATTGCAATCTTCATTATTAGGTGAATTGTAATATCTGTCATAATGAGGGCCTTACCTGTCTGAGGTGTGTGAGAGAGTGATTCTATGGTATAGGTGCAAAAAGGTTAAGGCTGTGATGGCTTTGAGTTGGAAGTTGAGTTTCTCTGAAATGATCTTCTCCATGCGAGTGAGGTCCGAGACTGTAAACTTGCACTGACTGATACGAATAAGTTCGTTGGTGGAAGACAAGTTGCACTCCTCTTCGACTGCTTTGGCTGCGATGTGGAGGCAGCTGATGCTAATGCAGGCTAGATGTTTGGGTTGGACCTGAAGAGGAGTCACACACAAAGGCTTGGAATTAGTGGCCACCTCCCTTTTCATTTCATTTTTAATGTCCACGCGCATTTTTACATTGTGTCATGGTCGTTTTTGTCACGAAAGGAAAACAAACGTTACACATTTCAAAGGGTTTCAATTCTTTCCGCGGTCCGCTTTTATTTTTATCTTACCTTCATCATGGCCAAAAATCTATCCAGCAGGTTGACTGCCAGAACGAAGGTCTGGGTGCTATACCCAAAGAAACTGGTCAGGCTCCAGAGGTCCTCCACTTTGGCGTCCCTACATTTGCCTGAGATTCCTTGGCGGTCATTCTGTAATCATAAAACATGTTACATTTACATTACATTTTCGTCATTTAGCAGACGCTCTTATCCAGAGCGACTTACAAATTGGTGCATTCACCTTATAGCCAGAGGGCCAACCACTTTACAATATATATATATATATATATATTATATTATTTATTATTATTTATTTGGGGGTAACTGTGTATTAATATGTAATAGGTGATACTTTTTAAAGATTTGTTTTACCATAATGTTATTGATACAGCATTTGTATTTACAATTGTACTTTTTTTTTTTTTTACCGGTCGTACAGTATATCTACTGTACTGCAGTGAATATCTACCTCTCTGGTGGATTCGATCAGGCAGAGCCCCGTTTCCTTCGGTAGATAATTCATCTCTTGTTCAAAATTGGTTTTCAGCTCCCTCATAAGTTTGACGGCTTCCATGTCTGGACTGGATTGTTACAGCAATCTGAAATCTTTCCACTGTAAAACAAGAAGCGTGTGATGTTAAGAAATGTTTGTCTGCTAACGTTACATTCATTCACCCAGGCGATAGGTTCAAGGTTTGCCCAACCCCCCTCTCTCAACTGGGATTCGGTGTCAGATGTCTTCGGTAAACGCTTACTTACATCAGAACAAATACACAAATCCTATTTAGCATTGAGTGAAAAAATATTTTTGTTATGCCACATTTTTTATTTTGTGAGACACTAGAAAAACGGGCGTTCGCTTGAATCCATTGGATAGCTAATAATGCTTCAAATCGTCGACGGGGTGTGGGGCGTTATTCTTCTTCTTGCCTAGGTCAGAGTTCATTCCCTGGCAATCATTCTATTTTTCATAGATCTTGATGTTAAATCGATATAAAATTGTAGTCTAATAAAAGCGGTTTGCAGCTACTAGTCGGTGATGTACAAAAACAACCTGTTTTTGTGTAAAATCTCGGTTGCCCGACGAGGAAGCAGCGCGAACTAAACCAGCCAACTAGTTTACATTACACAGAGAAGATGAATAACAAAGCCAAGGTAGCTAACTGGGTTAGCTAGATTTTTCGTAGTGACAAAATCAATTGAAGATGCCAATTTCATCAACAACCATGAAAGGCAAGACCAACAGAGATTACAGCGTCGTTTTAAAAGCATATCATAAACTTGATAACAAAAACATCTAATCCTGGCTTCAGGAAGGAATTAATTCAACCAGATAAAATAGTTTTACAACAGCAGAACATTTCACATGACCTCACATCTATTCAGTTTTCTTGCATCTAATGCACACTTTATGAATTTCAATATTTACCTGTTATGTTAGTTACATCGACATATTATAAGGTACTTCTGTTGTTCCTGTTAATCTCTAGTTTCTCAATCCTTTCTCTTTTTGTTGATGTTGAGAATTTCCACACCCAGAAACTGACGTCAATGTCGCGTTAGCCAATCATGTACGTAGCTATCCACCTTGGTTTGATTTGTCGAGAAAGGTCTGCCTCCTTTTGTAGTTTCCTACAATGAAGTACGTATTAAAAGAGTTGATAGTGCAAGACAAATTAATGTTGTAATAAGTAACGTTGTTAAACGTTACTTATGGATTACAATGGATTTAGTATGGCGTATTGTTATTCTATACCAGCTCGATATTGACACTTCCACGAGCCAATCATCTTTCTCCTTTTTTCCCGTTCAAATAGTCCGCCCAAAACTATTCATTTCTATTGGATGCCTGGACAAACCCTTTTACTCACGATTGGTTAGAAATAATTAGCTCGGATTGTTTGTAGGGCATTTAAAAAGATAAAACTACCAGATATGTTTTTTTTTTTTTTTCTGGTCCAACCAAATGTCTGCAGAATATTTGGGCATTGGTTCAGCGATGACTAGGGGAATTTATGAGAATACTGTTATAGTCATGATAATGTATTACTGTTCCTGCACATCACACAAAACCCTAAGCACTTGAGGTGGTTTTATAAAGCAAATTAAATAATTCAAAGAAAAGGAAAGATGTATTCATTCATTTAGCGGTGAAGCATTGGCAGTAAATAATTTTCCAGGTTTATGATTACTATCAAGAACAAGGTGTAAGTATGTGGTCTCTCTGTTTTATTTGTATATCACAGGCTCATGTATTTATGTCCCCTATGCACAGTATTATCACAAATAGTGGTTTATTTATACAAATCTGTCATATTCAGTCGTGGTTGGCAAAGGGTAAAGAAAACGGCTGAAACGTATTACATAACATTGTAGTAGGATTCATTCGCAATAGAAAATAGGCCTACCAAACATCGAATACAATGGAAAACAAATGTAATGTCATAGCTCAAATTCATGATAAACCCTTAAACAACAATTGTCTTTTTAATTAAGCATAATAAATCAATAAATATAACATTTGTCCCAAATATTGGTACAATATTCATTTTCAGGAATAGCTGCGTAATGCACGTATGCGGATCGATTTCGCTCTCTCCGAAGAGTCTCCTACTCGGAAGTAGACGTATCTGTCTATTCCGTACCATTTTCATATACATTTCATTTGGAAGACCCCCATTTCTCCCCAAAATAAAACACAACATGGAATCGAAGATGGAGTAACTTAAAACCCGATTTACCTTTTTGTTTTACCTCAGTTTAATGGACCGGATGATTTCCAAGTCGAACTGTGATTCCCACAGCTTTGCAGGGAAGGTAAGCTAATGCTAGCTAGCATGAAGTAGAGCTTTCTAGCCATATCGTTTTTATGAATAAATGAAGTTATCTTGGATAATGGACGTTGTCTATTAATGAAACATTTCCTTATTAGCTAACTAACGTTTACCATCGGTTAGTGTTTGTTTCTGTTCTCGATAGTTCGGTAGTTAGCTAACTGTTACGTCAACTAACTGGCTAACTAATGTTAGCGTAACTCGCTAGTGTTGGCTAGTTTGTTGCACACGGTAATATTAGCCTGAATCGTCTAATGCCTCTTCACTGTTGTTACTACAGACAAGCGTTTCGCTAGTTGGGAAAATGAATGAGCATATTTGGTGGGGATCAGTGTCCGTAAACCAGGTTACCAAACATTCTTACGATTACTGTATCACCCTTAACTAGGGTGTAATTACAATTCATAAACATGTTGTGAAACATGTTCTCTTCTGTGTGTTTTGCTGTGCCATTTACAGGTAGCTGTATCCAGTGGGGAGGTAGGCGTATCCAGGGGACGCAATGATGAAGTTTGCCGAACCATTGGAAAGCCAGAGGCTGTCTTTTCTTCTGGAAAAGGCCGCCTCTAGGGAAGCCCAGATGTGGAAAGCGTACGTGCCCAAAAAGACGTATACCAGCGTTCAGGTGAATCCCACAACACATAAAACACTGTGCTGTTGTCCATATGAAAGGGCATGCAGCAGGTCATGTTAAACTTTGGTTGGAGGTGGTATCTTTCTTAGGTTATTTACTTGGTACAGATATCTATATCGCCTAAGGTCAGAGTTATGAGGAGGACCCATTTGCTTTCGTTTGTGAGTGCAAAGGGGCATTGACTGAAAGCCACCTGCTGTGGCTGAGGTTCATGCTTTCACTTCCACCCTACTCATTAGTCCAATGAACAGACTGCCCTGATCTCTGCCTAGCAACAGAAACCTGCTGAAGGTGTTAACAGGATTTGAAAAGGATGCCTGCCTGACTGTTAATCTGAGGCTCTTTCCTGCTGACTCACTGCAGCACGCTTCTATCTATCTGATTAGCCTAAAAGTACACATGTACACAGTGTGGTCATCAACATGTTGCTAAGATAGCTATTTTAACCTTTATTAACTAGCAGTCATCCCAAAGCAAGTGCAGTACATTTTTAATTTCATTTAGTCTTTGCACGCTCTTACCAGGGATACTAGGATACATATTTTATTTTTATTATAGACTTGCCCGTGGGAACAACCCACAACCCTGGAGTGCAACGCCTGCTCTATAACTGAGCTCATCCTGATGGCCATCCTCCCCGATCCCTGGACGCGCGGCCAATTGTGCGCCGCCCATGATCTCCCGTCGCGGACGGCTTAAAGAGGGATTCGAACCAGATCTTAGTGCACAGTTCACTCGAGCACTAGACCATGGCCACTAGACAATACACCGTCCCAAACAGAAAGTAAAAGGCATAATAGATTGGTTGTTTTGCTCGTTGAGTCATTTCACTATACATTCTCTTTAACAAGGCAACATAATGGTGAGAAGTGGCTTTAGGGCAAAGCTAGAGTTCAGGTGGCTTGAAAGCAATGCTGCATCCCAAATTACATCCTATTCCATAGTACACTTGGGCTCTGGACAAAAGTAGTGCACTAAATAGGGAATAGTGTGCCGTTTGGGACGTAACCTATGTCTGAGGCTAAAAGCTTCCAGTGGGGGCAGGGCTGGTTAGACCAGTGTCAGGTTACAGGCCGGTTCAGAAAGTCTAACATTCTCTTTTACTTATTCCTGGTTTGGTTGTTCTGTTTGCCTCAAGTCATTCTTTGTCTTCAAGGGACAGCTTGACCTTTTAGTTGAAATGTTGACTGTATTTGTTTCTTTAATTGACATTCAGGCACCCCTTCAATAATGATTGTTTCTGTACTTTAATCAAGTCTATGATTTGATTTTGGTTGTTTTGGTTGAGACTTTTGTTAATGATTTTAAGTGAGTGGTTTTAATACATTGGACATTGATATTGTAGCCTAATTGGAACTTTTGAGTTTATTTTCCCTGAATGTGAAAGGGTCACTCACTGTTTACTGATGCTCGTGCTATGTCTCCTCTGTAACTGACCTGTGATGTGTCCTGTCATTTTAACTGACCCCTGTGTGATTATTCCCAGGATACAGACATCTCCCCTGCCCAGCGTGATGAGGCTGTGTACTGGCTCATTGACCTGCACAGTGACACCAAGCTCTATCCAGAGACCCTCTCCCTGGCCATCAGTATTTTAGACAGGTTTTTAGGCGCTATAAAGGTAAGATGGCAACACAATCTTTAGTCTTATCAGCTATAGGTCTATATAGAATGTCAACAGCATCTTTAACCTTACCAGCTGTGTAGGCTAGGGTATATTTCTTATGTTCACTGTGACTACTCTTGGACTAGATTTTACGGTTTTATGAGTTAGCTAGATTGTTTTTTTTTTTAAATTAATCTGTAGCTTACCAAACCTGATGTTGCAGGAAGTAGCCTACACTCTAGAGTTCACTGGAGCAGCATGTGTACATGCTGTGTCTGTGTGGAGTCTGGAGTCGCTAGGGCAACGGGCCTGCCTACTCTGCTCAGCCCAGCCCTTGCCTCCATTCAGCCACAAGAGCATTAGTGAGGTCGGGCACTGATGTTGGGCGATTAGGCCTGGCTCGCCGTTGGTGTTCCAGTTCATCCTGAAGGTGTTCGATGGGGTCGTGGTCAGCACTCTGTGCAGGCCAGTCAAGTTCTTCCACACCGATCTCGACAAAACTTTGCTCATTTGCACAATGTCTCTCGTTCAAATTCTCTTGTAAATGTCCAAACTCACCAAAAATAACATTCAGTAGCTCCTACCTATATATGTATAACTTTGAGCTGGATTGCCTGTCTTTGCGATTTAGTTTATTTCCGTTTGCACTCGTTAGCATATTTTGCAAGCAGCCTGCGTGGAAAATAGCTATTATGCTAATTGGGTTAGCATTCTGGTAATCGAAGCCACTGGGTTTTTGGTTTTTTTTTGACGCCCCCTTGTGTACTAAGCCAGTAATACCATAAATCCAGGGGTGAGAGACGAACGTCATAGCCGAAACCACACGGAGAGACGCCGTCAAGGGCGTAAACATTTTGTAAGCGAGAGTAGAGGGCGTAAGTTAGAATGCGTAGCGTATGCCACATAATTTTCATGAGAATCCATATAAACAGTTTGTATTTGTTATGTTCGCTATGTAGCCCTTGTGAATTATTGTTGTGTGTTCCTTTTGACTCACCTTATATTTCCTACCGGAGCCACCATACCTGACTGCACTAGATGTTATGTTAGCTCACGAGCGTGAGGAGAGTTGTAGATACACCCGAGCAGTTAATAAAGAATTTAGCTAGTCTCGTTCTTTCTACATAACAATGTTCTCTCTTGAAATTGGAGTCCTTGAATTTTCCAGCCTGCCTAGGCTATATGCGATTGAAATCAACACTGGTAGGCTGCAATTGTTAGAAAATATATAGCCTATTTGACTGAAACCTTATCTTACAGCCCAATAGATTTTAAACTACATCTTAAGCTAGTCTACATAGGGAAGATCATAACAATTTCTCAAATTCCTTTGCTACAAACGACCCACACCCCGAGTGGCGCAGCGGTCTAAGGCACTGCATCTCAGTGCTTGAGGCGTCACTACAGACCCCTGGTTCGATTCCCAGGCTGTATCACAACCGGTCGTGATTGGGAGTCCCATAGGGCGGCGCACAATTGGCCCAGGTTTGGCCGGTGTAGGCCGTCATTGTAAATAAGAATTTGTTCTTAACTGACTTGCCTAGTTACATGAAGGTAAAATAAAAAATATTATTTTAGCAGCGTTGCTCTGCGTAGACGCGAGAAATATAGACTTGCTTTCTAATTTAATGCGCTTTGTGCTTGACGCCGTTGACGCTCGCAGCCCGTTTTGTTTCTTACGTTTTAATTCATTTGGGCCAGCCCCCTAGTAATTCAAGTTCCAGCCAATGAGGTTCAGCCCCTCGCCATTTGATTGAGTGAGAGAGAACAGTAGGCAATTTTCGAGGACCACTTATGACTTAAACGTATACAAAGTACCAGAGAATGTCTTTAACCTGGGCTGGCTCCCTTACAGAGTAGTAGTCCTGGAGAATGTCTTTAACCTGGGCTGGCTCCCTTACAGAGTAGTAGTCCTGGACATTGTCTTTAACCTGGGCTGGCTCCCTTACAGAGTAGTAGTCCTGGAGAATGTCTTTAACCTGGGTTGGCTCCCTTACAGAGTAGTAGTCCTGGAGAATGTCTTTAACCTGGGTTGGCTCCCTTACAGAGTAGTAGTCCTGGAGAATGTCTTTAACCTGGGCTGGCTCCCTTACAGAGTAGTAGTCCTGGAGAATGTCTTTAACCTGGGTTGGCTCCCTTACAGAGTAGTAGTCCTGGAGAATGTCTTTAACCTGGGTTGGCTCCCTTACAGAGTAGTAGTCCTGGAGAATGTCTTTAACCTGGGCTGGCTCCCTTACAGAGTAGTAGTCCTGGAGAATGTCTTTAACCTGGGCTGGCTCCCTTACAGAGTAGTAGTCCTGGAGAATGTCTTTAACCTGGGCTGGCTCCCTTACAGAGTAGTAGTCCTGGAGAATGTCTTTAACCTGGGCTGGCTCCCTTACAGAGTAGGAGTCCTATAAAGTGGGGAACAGGACCTTCTGCCCTAGTTATTAACCCTTCTGTGGTTGCATCCCAAATTGCAACCTGTTCCCTATATAGTGCACTACTAGGGCTCTGGTCAAAAGTAGTGCACTATAAAGGGAATAGGGTGCCATTGTCTGTCCCTGGCAGGTTGTCTGTAGAGGGAACAATCATGAGTCATGATCCAGTCTCCCCTGTCTATTCTCTACAGCAGGGTTTGGGACAATTCAGAAAGTCAAAAAAAGTATAATTGGAAGTTTTCCTTATTGAAAAGCATTGAAGATAATTGGAGTTTCAGTATACTTCCTGAATTGACTAGAATCTAAATGGAATTGACCCCAACCCTGCTCAACAGAGCCCAACCGAGCTAAGCTAAGCTACTGGTCTGGTCTGGCTTAATGGTGTGAATCAGACGTCAGTCCTGACCCAGTCTCTCCTCAGGCCCGTCCAAAGTGACAGGCTGGTTCCCTTTCTGTGTGTCCCTGGCTAGTTGTCTGTACAGGGAACGGGTAGAACCCAGGGTGCTGAGTTTAGCCACTGGGTACTAGTGACGTCACTTAGTCCTCCTGACCCCGTCTCTCTCTCCTCTCCTCAGGCCCGTCCAAAGTACCTCCGCTGCATTGCCATCGCCTGTTACTTCCTGGCTGCCAAAAGCAGCGAGGAAGACGAGGTGATTACATCCTAGCGTCACACCATCAGTCCTTCCTTATTGTCCTTCGCTATTCACATTATTGGTTTCTTTCTATTCAGCTTTGTTGTCCAAACATTTGGCAATATGATTTGCAGCTGTATTAAAAACAAACTGTCAATGAATGTCCCAACGAAAATTATTTTCCAAATGCTGAAATATCGCTCACTATGAAGATTGGCTCCAATAGTTTTAATGCTAGATGAAGTCTAGAGAGCTAGACAGCAAGTTGGCAGGTGGAGAAAGTGGGTTGAACCCAACTAACTCAAAGTCCTCTCTTTCTCTTTCTCTTTCTCTCTCTCTTTCTCTCTCTCTCTCTCTCCCTCTCCCTCTCCCTCTCTCTCTCTGTCTGTGCAGCGTGTGCCGTTGTTGCGTGACTTGGCAAGCAGCAGTAGCTGTGGCTGCTCCCCATCAGAGATCCTGAGAATGGAGAGGATCATTCTGGATAAACTCAACTGGGATCTGCACGCTGCAACACCGCTGGAATTTCTACATATTGTGAGTATTGTATTGTATTGTATTGTATTGTATTTATACTCCTGTCCGAGCCAGAACCACCACTTTAACCATAAACTAGCCTCTAGTGGAGGTTCTGGCTCAGTTCTGCCCGTGACTGTATCCACCAGAATACTGCCCTGATTGAGGGAAAGGCTTGGGCGGTATACCGTATACTGCATTGCTACGCCACTGCTTATAAATATCAGTTAACTATTTAAGATATGGCAAATTAATTACATCCAGCTCAGGGCTATGCATTTTTTAAATATATATTTTTATATTTTTTATTAGGGGTAGATCAGCTTTAATACTGCAGATTGTGTGTGTGTATATATATATATATATATATATATATACACACATACACATACACACACACACACAAATACATACACATACATACATACACATAAATATATATATATATACAGTGGGGGAAAAAAGTATTTAGTCAGCCACCAATTGTGCAAGTTCTCCCACTTAAAAAGATGAGAGAGGCCTGTAATTTTCATCATAGGTACACGTCAACTATGACAGACAAAATGAGGGGAAAAAATCCAGAAAATCACATTGTAGGATTTTTTATGAATTTATTTGCATATTATGGTGGAAAATAAGTATTTGGTCAATAACAAAAGTTTCTCAATACTTTGTTATATACCCTTTGTTGGCAATGACACAGGTCAAACGTTTTCTGTAAGTCTTCACAAGGTTTTCACACACTGTTGCTGGTATTTTGGCCTATTCCTCCATGCAGATCTCCTCTAGAGCAGTGATGTTTTGGGGCTGTCGCTGGGCAACACGTACTTTCAACTCCCTCCAAAGATTTTCTGTGGGGTTGAGATCTGGAGACTGGCTAGGCCACTCCAGGACCTTGAAATGCTTCTTACGAAGCCACTCCTTTGTTGCCCGGGCGGTGTGTTTGGGATCATTGTCATGCTGAAAGACCCAGCCACGTTTCATCTTCAATGCCCTTGCTGATGGAAGGAGGTTTTCACTCAAAATCTCACGATACATGGCCCCATTCATTCTTTCCTTTACACGGATCAGTCGTCCTGGTCCCTTTGCAGAAAAACAGCCCCAAAGCATGATGTTTCCACCCCCATGCTTCACAGTAGGTATGGTGTTCTTTGGATGCAACTCAGCATTCTTTGTCCTCCAAACACAATGAGTTGAGTTTTTACCGAAAAGTTCTATTTTGGTTTCATCTGACCATATGACATTCTCCCAATCCTCTTCTGGATCATCCAAATGCACTCTAGCAAACTTCAGACGGGCCTGGACATGTACTGGCTTAAGCAGGGGGACACGTCTGGCACTGCAGGATTTGAGTCCCTGGCGGCGTAGTGTGTTACTGATGGTAGGCTTTGTTACTTTGGTCCCAGCTCTCTGCAGGTCATTCACTAGGCCCCCCCGTGTGGTTCTGGGATTTTTGCTCACCGTTCTTGTGATCATTTTGACCCCACGGGGTGAGATCTTGCGTGGAGCCCCAGATCGAGGGAGATTATCAGTGGTCTTGTATGTCTTCCATTTCCTAATAATTGCTCCCACAGTTGATTTCTTCAAACCAAGCTGCTTACCTATTGCAGATTCAGTCTTCCCAGCCTGGTGCAGGTCTACAATTTTGTTTCTGGTGTCCTTTGACAGCTCTTTGGTCTTGGCCATAGTGGAGTTTGGAGTGTGACTGTTTGAGGTGGTGGACAGGTGTCTTTTATACTGATAACAAGTTCAAACAGGTGCCATTAATACAGGTAACGAGTGGAGGACAGAGGAGCCTCTTAAAGAAGAAGTTACAGGTCTGTGAGAGCCAGAAATCTTGCTTGTTTGTAGGTGACCAAATACTTATTTTCCACCACAATTTGCAAATAAATTCATTAAAAATCCTACAATGTGATTTTCTGGATTTTTTCTTCTCAATTTGTCTGTCATAGTTGACGTGTACCTATGATGAAAATTACAGGCCTCTCATCTTTTTAAGTGGGAGAACTTGCACAATTGGTGGCTGACAATACTTTTTTTCCCCACTGTATGTGTATTTATATCCTTTAAAAAAAAATATTTCCCTTTATTACTTTCCAACCCCACCACCCCTCCCCTAATTGGAGTAAACTAGTGAACAACAACGCTTAGGCCTCTACTTCCAGCTTATACTTACTATCTACATTGTATGGACACAGTCAATTTTACAATAATTATATTTTGTTTGTTTTTACTCCTGAACTTCCTCTACCCTCAACCTCTCCGATCATTTTCATGATGTCCATCCGGTTTGCTTCTATATGCCATATCTTTCTAACTGTGCTCTTTCACAAAAGCTCTCAACCTATAACCTATCTACTTATTATGGACACAGTATGCTTTACATTAGTTATCTTGTTGTTGTTAGTCCCAACCTTCAGCTCCATTCAGCACCTCCCATCTATCTCTTAACACCATCCATATAGGATTTCTATTTGCCATATATTTTTCAACTGTGCTGTGATGTTTCACAAAAGTTCTGAACCTTTCTATTCTCAGTGTTTCTACAGATTGTAAATTGAAAATAAACATTTTTGCTAAAAGTATTATTATATTATAGATCGACTGACTATGACTTTTCAGATCACCCAGTAGTGCTATCTGCAGGGTTAGCTCCAGGTATTCCAATCCTTCAGCCATTCCAAGACCTGTGACCAAAAACAAGCTACAAATGGACAGTACCAAAACAAATGATATAATGATTCTGTCTCTTCGCAGCAAAATCTGCAGAGCTGGGAAGATTGTATCCCCCATATAAATAACATTATATTGGTGCAAGAATTTTATATAATAATTTAAATAGAACAATTCTAAGTTTTGAATCTGGCGTCGTTTTGCGTATCAGTTCATAAACACTATGCCATGGGATCGGTACGTCAAAAATCTCTTCCCAACTATTTTGCAATCTATATGGGACGGCTGACGATCCTTTGGTCCTTAAATGAAACTGGTATACTTTTTTATTTATCACAATTTTCTTTAACCAATTTTGGTCTTTAATGCAAGGCCGACAGACAAGTTCCTTACTTTCTCCTCCTTCCACTTTCCTCTTCCATTTTTGCGGTAATGCTGCAATTATTTGGTTGTAATTTTGGGTAGAGCAGAGATTTCCATATGGTTTTGTTAGCTGCATGTGCGACAAACTCCACCAGTCCTACCTACGATATCATTTACGAAGATTATAGCTTTCTTAAACATTTTTTTCAAAAATAATGTTTTTTAAAATCAATTAGTATATTTGAGTTTAACCACAATATATATCCAGCTATGCATTTGGTTTGTGTCGCGCTTGCAAGACCAAGCTTCCTAGTTATAGCAATCTCTCCCTAGCTCAGGCCGATATCCCCACCTGCTTCAAGATATCATCCCCGAACCCAAGAAAGGGAAAGTAACTGAACTGAATGACTACCAACCAGTAGCACTCACTTCCGTCATCATGAAGTGCTTCGAGAGGCTAGTCAAAGACCATATCACCTCCTCCCTCCCCGACACACTCGACCCTCTCCAATTTACCTACCGCCCTGACAGATCCACGGATGATGCAATCGCCATTGCACTGCACACTGCCCTCACCCACCTGGACAAAAGGAATGCATATGTGAGGATGCTGTTCATCGACTACAGCTCGGCCTTTTTTACATTTTAGTCATTTAGCAGACGCTCTTATCAAGAGCGACTTACAGGTACTTACTGACAATGTTTGTCTATGGAAATTGAATGGCTCTGTGCTCGATTTTATACACCTGTCAGCAACGGGTGTGGCTGAAATAGCCGAAATCCACTAATTTGAAGGGGTGTCCACATACTTTTGTGTGTGTGTATATACATCTCTGGAAAAAATTAAGAGACCACTGCAAAAATATATACGTTTCTCTGGTTTTACTATTTATAGGTATGTGTTTGGGTGAAATTAACATTTTTGTTTTATTCTATAAACTACTGACAACATTTCTCCCAAATTCCAAATAAAAATATTGTCATTTAGAGCATTTATTTGCAGAAAATGACAACTGGTCAAAATAACAGGTGCAGTGTAGTCAGACCTCGAATAATGCAAAGAAAATAACTTCATGTTCATTTTTAAACAACACAATACTAATGTTTTAACTTAGGAAGAGTTGTTTCCATTTAAAATAACACCAAATTGATCAGAAATACAGTTAGATGTTGTAAATGGCTATTGTAGCTGGAAACGGCTGATTTTTAATGGAATATTTACATAGGCCCATTATCAGCAACCATCAGTCCTGTGTTCCAATGGCACGTTGTGTTTGCTAATCCAAGTTTATAATTTTAAAAGGCTAATTGATCATTAGAAAACCCTTTTGCAATTATGTTAGCACAGCTGAAAACTGTTGTGCTGATTAAAGAAGCAATACAACTGGCCATGAGACTAGTTGAGTATCTGGAGCATCAGCAATTGTGGGTTCGATTACAGGCTCAAAATGGCCAGAAACAAAGACATTTCTTCTGAAACTCGTCAGTCTATTCTTGTTCTGAGAAATGAAGGCTATTCCATGCAAGAAATTGCCAAGAAGCTGAGGATCTCGTACAACGCTGTGTACTACTCCTTTCAAAGAACAGCGCAAACTGGCTCTAACCAGAATAGAAAGAGGAATGGGAGGCCCCGTTGCACATCTGAGCAAGAGGACAAATACATTAGTGTCTAGTTTGAGAAACAGGCGCCTCACAGGTCCTCAACTGGCAGCTTCATTAAATAGTACCCGCAAAACACCAGTCTCAACGTCAACAGTGAAGAGGCGACTCTGGGATGCTGACGTTCTAGGCAGAGTTGCAAAGAAAAAGCCACATCTCAGACTGGCCAATAAAAGATTAAGATGGGCAGGTAAACAGCCTCTCCCCTCAACGTCAGCAAAACAAAGGAGCTGATTGTGGACTTCAGGAGGAACCAGGCTGGACACGCCCCCATCCTCATTAACGGGGGCCACCGTGGAGACGGTCAATAACTTCAAATTCCTCTGTGTGCACATCTCAGAGAAGCTGAAATGGTCTAACCACATGGACACCGTGGTGAAGAAGGCACGACAGTGACTCTTCAACCTCAGGATGCTGAAGAAATCCGTCCTGTCCCCGAGGGCCCTCAGTGTTCTACAGGAGCCCCATCGAGAGCATACTGTCGGACTGCATCACAGCCTGGTACGGCAACTGCACCGCCGCGGACCACAAGGCTCTTCAGAGGGTGATACGTGCAGCCGAAGGCTCCATTGGGTGCACACTGCCTGCCCTACAGGACACCTACAACACCAGGTGTCACAGGAAGGCCAAGAAGATAATCGGGGACCCCAGCCACCCAAGCCATGCCCTGTTCTCCCCGCTGGAAGACTGGCTAATAGCTTCTACTCACACCATCATGCTGCTGAATAGCCACCACTAGCCAGCAACCTGCTCCCCCTATTCCCCTCCTGCCCTCCCTGAATGGTCACTTCCCTCCCCCTATCCCCCTCCTGCCCTCCCTGAATGGTCACTTCCCTATCCCCCTCCTGCCCTCCCTCAATGGTCACTTCCCTCCCCCTATCCCCCTCCTGCCCTCCCTGAATGGTCACTTCCCTCCCCCCTCCCCCTCCTGCCCTCCCTGAATGGTCACTTCCCTCCCCCCTCCCTGAATGGTCACTTCCCTCCCCCTATCCCCCTCCTGTTATTGTAATTTGTATTTCACTTAGTCCCTACTTCCCCTCAATGGACATTCCCCCCTAGTCTTTACTCTGCCTCCACCCCAATGGACATTCCCCCTAGTCTTTACTCTGCCTCCACCCCAATGGACATTCCCCCCCTAGTCTTTACTCTGCCTCCACCCCAATGGACATTCCCCCCCTAGTCTTTACTCTGCCTCCACCCCAATGGACATTCCCCCCTAGTCTTTACTCTGCCTCCACCCCAATGGACATTCCCCCCTAGTCTTTACTCTGCCTCCACCCCAATGGACATTCCCCCCTAGTCTTTACTCTGCCTCCACCCCAATGGACATTCCCCCCTAGTCTTTACTCTGCCTCCACCCCAATGGACATGTATTTATTCACCACTGCCACAGTTGTTATGTGTATAGTGTTAGTTCTATTTCTATAGTTTGATTAACATTTTCATTATTTTACTTCACTTAGTCCTGCATGTTGGAGCCTAAGATGTTCACTGTACCCTTAAACACTCTGAATCTGACTATCAAATCCCTTCCCGGATCAAGATTTTAGCGCCCCTTGTCTACACTACCGGTAACACTCTACACCCCTGGTATGGTACAGGAACGCTATGAAGGTTTGGAAAAATCTGGTTCCCGCCCCCAACCCTAATAGGTAATCACTTTTAAAACGTATAATAGGTGACGTGAGTCCTGTTCTTCCACCACCACATTCATTCATAGTCCTAACCAGAACCTCCACTAGAGGCTTGAAGTAAACAGTGGCGGTTCTGGCTCGGTCCTGCCCGTGACCGTGTCCACCAGAATACCGCCCTGTTTAGGAGCGGTATCTGACTACTTTATTAACAAACTCAGTTTTGTGTTATTCAGCTAAATGCCTTGAACTCTATCACTGTTTGTCTATAATCTGCTGTTCTCCCTCAGGTAACTGAGTGCAGACATTTTTAGTATGTTTATTATGGAAATGAGATCCCTGTGGGGATGAAATGTTTGTGAACCCATGACCTTGGTGTTGCTGGCATCATTCTCTTACACACTGCTGTTCCCCTTCAGTTCCATGCCATGGTGCTGTCTTGCAAGTCCCGGTTCTTGGTTGGTCTGGTGGGCTGTAACCCGTCGCAGCACCTGTCAGTGTTGACCCAGCAGCTGCACTACTGCCTGGCCGACAGCACCCTGCTACAGCCCCTCTCCCGGGGATCCATGCTGGCACTGGCCCTCATCACCCTGGAGCTGGAGAATATCTGCCCTGACTGGCTGGCTCTCACTATCCTCCTGCTCAGCAAAGCACAGGTACTAAACGTTCACCATCCTCCTGCTCAGGAAAGCACAGGTACTAAATGTTCACTATCCTCCTGCTCAGGAAAGCACAGGTACTAAACGTTCACTATCCTCCTGCTCAGGAAAGCACAGGTACTAAACATTCACTATCCTCCTGCCAGCAAAGCACAGGTACTAAACATTCACTATCCTCCTGCTCAGCAAAGCACAGGTACTAAACATTCACTATCCTCCTGCTCAGCAAAGCACAGGTACTAAACGTTCACTATCCTCCTGCTCAGGAAAGCACAGGTACTAAATGTTCACTATCCTCCTGCTCAGGAAAGCACAGGTACTAAACGTTCACTATCCTCCTGCTCAGGAAAGCACAGGTACTAAACATTCACTATCCTCCTGCTCAGCAAAGCACAGGTACTAAACGTTCACTATCCTCCTGCTCAGGAAAGCACAGGTACTAAACGTTCACTATCCTCCTGCTCAGGAAAGCACCGGAAGGCCTGCAGTACAGTATAATGGCATGTTTAGATAGGGGGCAGTGAGGACTTCTGCCTACAGCACACATATGTACTGGTGTTGACGTGTCCAGTCGGACACACTCACCTCCCATCTCTCGTTCTCTCACCATCTGTTCAATGAAATCATAACAAATACAGGGGAGAAAAAGATGGGATTTTGTAGTCCCTCCCACGTATTGAATCCACGGTTTAAAAAAATGTCAGCGGTGTTATCAGGATGCCCTTGTGAACCGTTGCTGTCCATTGGTTTCATAATTTTTACGCACAATAACAGAATTATAATCAAGATTCTCGTTTTACTCCCCCTCCTAGATCGATAGTTCTCAGCTCATCCGCTGTCGAGAGTTGGTGTCACGTCGCCTGTCCACACAGGAAGCTTCCCTGCCTCCCAACACTGTATACATCTACCAGCCCCTGGACCACAGTGTGGCCCCGGGCCCCTGCGACGAAGGGGAAGGAGACTCCAACACCAGGCTCCTCTCCCCAGTCACAGACCCACCAGCCCCGGCCCCCAGGGACCGAAGCCTCTCCAGGGTCTCCTCCACCACCGCCCTGCTCCAGTGCCACGGTCCGCCCATGCCCAGCCACCACCCCCACCAAGTCCACCTGCGCTGCAAGCTCTCAGCCAAGCGCAAGGTGAGAGCTTGGCTACTCCATCAACCGGAGTAAAGTATTTGTAACACCTACCTACCTAGCCTACTATTGCTATTTCACCTGCCTTGATTCTAAATGCATGTTGTTTTTATGGTATGAAGAGAATGGCTGCCGTTTTAATGGGCTCCTGACCAATTGTGCTACTTTGTGTATATTTTTTTTTTGCGCTGATCTTAACTTTCTTTGGTACATAATGTTTCCGCCATCGTTTCCTAAAAGAGCTTGTGGACATCAGAACAGAGATCACTAACCTCCATTTGGACGAGGACTTCTACTTCAACGAGTCGGAGGCTAAATAAATATTGATTATCCCGGACCAGGCCCTAATCCCCGACACTTGAAAAAGGAGAACATAGCGCTATAGAGGCCGGTGCGGCCGCATGCACCCTGATGAGACTACAGCGGAGAATGAATAAATCACCTCTACCCTCTGTTCTATTGGCGAGCTCCGTTCGAGACTATCCTATCAATAGGACATTAAGAACTGTAATATCCTATGCTTCTCGGAGTCATGGCTGAACAGGGACATGGGTAATATACATCTAGCTGGTTTTTCTATGCATCGGCAGGACAGAACGGCACAGTCCGGTAAGATCGGGGGGGGGGGGGGGGATGTCTTTATTAACAACAGCTGGTGAGCGAACTCTAATATTAGGGAAGTCTCCTGGTTCCGCATGATAAGCTGTAGACCATACTATTTACCAAGAGTTTTCATCAGCATTTGTCGTGGGCTGTCTATTTACCACCACACATGGATGCTGGCACTAAGACCGCACTCAACGAGCTGCATAGGGCCATAAGCAAACAAGAACATGCTCATCCAGAGGCGGCGCTCCTAGTGGCCAGTGATGTTAATGCAGGAAAATTGAAATCTGTTTTACCTCATTTATACCAGCATGTCACCTCTGCAAATAGAGGGATAAAAACTCTAGAGGCACCTTTACGCCACACACACACAGAGACGCATACAAAGCTCTCCCCCGCCCTCGATTTGGCAAATCGGACCATAACTCTAGCCTCCTGATTCCTGCTTACAAGCAAAAACTCAAACAAGGAAGTACCAGTGTCAATACGCAAGTGGTCCGATGAAGTGGATTCATCCGATGGCATTGAGGAGTTTACCACATCAGTCACCAACTTCATTAATAAGTGCATTTACGACGTTGTGACCATGTGTACATATCCCAACCAGAAGCCATGGATTATAGGCAACATCCGCACTGAGCTAAAGGCTTGAGCTGCTGCTATCAAGGAGCAGGACCATTTTCTGGATGCTTATATTAATCCCGCTACGCCCTCTGACAAACCATCAAACAGGCAAAGCGTCAATACAGGACAAAGATCGAATCCTACTACACCGGCTCTGACGCTCGTCGGATGTGGCAGGGCTTGCAAACTATCTCAGATTACAAAGAGAAACCCAGCCGAGAGCTGCCCAGTGACGCGAGCCAGACGAGCAAAATGCCTTCTATGCTCGCTTCGAGGCAAGCAACACTGAACCATGCGTGAGAGCGCCAGCTGTTCCGGAGGACTGTGTGATCACGCGCTCCGTAGCCAATGTAAGACCTTTAAACAGGTTAATATTCACAAGGCCACAGGGCCAGACGGATTACCAGTCTGTAATACTTACATTTTCCCAGCAAACCACCATAGTCCCTGTGCCTAAGAACGGCAAGGTAACCTGCCTAAATGACTACCGCCATGAAATGCTTTGAAAGGCCGGTCATGGCTCACATAAACACCATCATCCCAGAAACCAATTCGCATACCGCCCCAACATATCCACAGATGACGCATTCTCTATTGCATTCCACACTGCCCTTTCCCACCTGGATAAAAGGAACACCTACGTGAGAATGCTGTTCATTGACTACAGCTCAGCGTTCAACACCATAGTGCCCTCCAAAGCGCATCACTAAGTTAAGGACCCTGGGACTGGATCCTGGACTTCCTGACGGGCCGCCCCCAGGTGGTGAGGGTAGGCAACAACATCCTCCACGCTGACCCTCAACACTGGGGCCCCTCAGGGGTGCATGCTCAGTCCCCTCCTGTACTCCCTGTTCACCCACGACTGCAAGGCCGCGCACGACTCCAACACCATCATGGCAAGATGGCGCCGACAGAGGGCACGTCGTCTCGAACTCCGATAAAACATTGCAGGACCTCTATACCAGGCGGTGTCAGAGGAAAGCCCTAAAACATTGTCAGACTCCAGCCACCCAAGTCAGACTGTTCTCTCTGCTACCGCACGGCAAGCGGTCCCAGAGCGCCAAGCCTGGGACCAGAAGGCACCTGAAAAGCTTCTACCCCCAAGCAATAAGACTGCTGAACAGTTAATCAAATCGCTACTCGGACAATTTACATGAACACCCTTTATTATTTATTAATTTGTCTTGTTTTGCACTGACTCTATGTACACTCACTAGACTCTACCCACACACTCCCACACACACACACACTCACTAGACTCTACCCACACACTCCCACACACACACACACTCACTAGACTCTACCTACACACTCCCACACACACACACACTACATACGCTCACACACACATGCATACTGACGCCACACACTCACACATGGACACACTTTCACACTTCACATGCATTGATCTTGCTCTGTTTATTATATATCCTGATTGCCTAGTCACTTTTACCCCTACCCGCACTGAATTACCTGAAGTACCTGCACATTGACTCGGTACCGGTACTCCTTGTATATAGCCTCGTTAATTATTTGGTGTGCACATATTTGTCTTTTTAACTCTGAATTGTTGGGAATGTCGTAAGCATTTCACTGTAAAGTCTACACCTGTCGAATTCGGTCATGTGACCAATAACATTTGATTTGTATTATGTTTTTGCCTAAGTAGCTTTGAGAACTCCAATGAAAAGCGCTATTACAAATTTAAATGTTATAAAAATTATATAATTATTTTTCAGGTGGAGGAGATGGAGGTCGACGAATTCTACGACGGGATCAAACGGCTCTACAGCGAAGAGAGCGGGGGTGCTCCGGAGGGGACCGTGGTAACGGGGGAGGGGCCTCTGCTAGTCAGGCGGGAGGGTAACACCTCCCCCTGTCCCCCTCTCCAACCCGTCAGTTTCACATAGAGAAGAGAAAGAAACCAAGGCCTTCTCGTCATCTTATCTGAGCTGCATGGAAGAGGCGTCCCAAGTGTTCCCAGTGTTTCAGCAGTCATGGGCATTAATCCACCATCCCAGGCCTAGACGGAGCCAAAAAAAAGTCACACACAAAAAAAAAATGCTGCTATTTCATAACTATTTGTTGAATATAAAAGGATAACTAAAATATTGATATAACTAAAAAGAAAAAAATCTTGTCCTTCAAAAAAAAGTTAGAATGACTTCTTCTCCCATTTTGATTCTGTGTGTAAGAGATTTCTCTTGACTAATGTAAGGTCATGTCATCTTATTTCTGTCCTAACCACTTCTGTAAATTACAATACATATATACGTCTTCTTTCCATCAGCATGTTCTTCAGCTTGTTGTCTTTTAATCCTTCAGAGTTTGATTGAATGGAAGTGTGTTTAGACTAGATGACTGTCTTAACCCGTCCAGGTAGGAAAGAAGTGATATGTGTGAAGTACTGACTGATTGTTTATAAGATTTTTGTTAACTTAATCTAAATATCCACAACCTTCCTATCTTTGTCCCATCAAAGTGTTGTCGAAGTAAAACCAAAGAAGGAACAGGTTCGTATTACTGACGAAAGAGCGTTAATTTTACTCATTGAAGCAATGTTTTTGGTTTTGCCCAGTTTGTGCGTTGTCTGAAGATGAACAGCTTTGTGTCAAGAGGGATAAAGATGTATCCACCATAATACCGCGTCTTCACTGTTCAGAAATGTTTTGTTTTGTATTTATTGCAAAAAGCAGCTCTCTCTTTTTCTGGGGTGCTGGTTAACTTCCGATGCTCTGCTGGTTCACCTTGTGGCACCAATAAAGAAACACCTTTAATCATCTCGTGTCATTTGTTACTCTATTTAAACGTTTTCTTCAGCATATTGCAGAACATATACAATGTGCATTAACTTCATAAAAACACTGTGGAAGGGTGACTACCTTTTTAATTGAGATAGAGGCTGCGTCCCAATGGCACCGTGCCAGTTGGGACGTATTCAGGGTCGTTTTCCCAGTCCCTATAATAGATTATATTGTTAATGTGTATGATAAGAGAACAGATTCCTGCAATGAATGGATTCAGGCCTGACTGCAGCATGCATTTGAGTGATAGGTGTTGACCAGACAAAGGCAGTAGGTTGTGATTTGACCTTTTCTTTCAAATTTCTAAATTGAAATGTAGCCCAGCATAACCCAGGTGAAGGCAGTTTCAGGTTGGATATTTGCGCTTTCAAACCACTTGAGCCACAGACTTCCAAATATGTTGGAAAAATTGCGCACAACATTGCACAGGTCTTATTTTCACGATTTGGACATTAATTCGCTTTCCAAAGCTAATAAAGGTGGAAATGTGAGCAGCATTCCTATTCCTAGTTGAATTAGTTAGGGAGCGTAAACAAAGTATGTTTTTTTTTTATTTTTTTTACAATCGAATTTCAATAGCTCCTTGGTCATGTGACCTACTGACCTCAACCAAGGTTCAGAATGGCCACTGACTACCCTTCTATATTGCACACCCTTTAGTTTGTCCATTTTCATCTCACACGGTTTTACATGAATTTTTTTTAATGTTTTTTTTTCATTTCAATAGTTCCCTGGTCATGTGACCTACCACCCTAAATACATGATTGTCCACTCACTACGCCTTCATATCGCACAATCTGTTGTTTGTCTACTTTCATCTCACTCTATTAGACTTAAATCTGTAAGCATGAGACCCAGTAGGTATGGACATTGCTGCACGGTGGACACCCACACTCGGAAGTCATTTGGGGAAAAAGAGAGTATATAGCTACTTTTTTTAATCTCCTGTAAATTATTCAGTGCCTATATATATAAATATAATTTAGGCTGTGTGTAGAATGGGGCATAAAGGAAATTACCTCTACTAGATTATGCTGGTAAGGAAAACAGCATACAGTTTTGGCCTGTGTATTCATTTGCCTATAACTAATCAGAATTCCATTATGTTTACATAGAAAATGGAATACTTCAAAATGAGAAGATCCCGCCATGGAAAAGACGACTGGGTGGACATAAAGTGGGAAGTAGGGGAAATAGCTCCCACCATGCAGCAGGACACCTTCAGGTTTGTAGTTATATTTTCAATAATGAATGGTTAGCTGTTATGTGACAATTAGGTCAAAAACTCTATTTTCTTTTTTGGTGTAGATGACCAAGGAAGTTGCACAGAACTTAGTTTTGTTTGATAAAATCCATTTTTATATTCAAATGTAGGAACTGGGTTCTACAGTTTGAACCCCTGCTGTCTCTGGCACCACCCCCACTCCGCCCGGCCATCTAGATGTGTGAAAGTTAGTGTATAAGCTAATGATCCATCATGTATGACATTCCTGGGAGTGTGTAAACTTACATTTTGTATTACCATATCATTTTTGTATGTTCTCTATAGTTATGTACTTGAAAATGTATCAATTGACCAATTCGGCATATTTGGGCAGACTTTATACAAAATAGTCCAGTATTGCAATGCTTCACTGGATCAATCTGAAACTTTGCACACACACTGCTGCCATCTAGTGGCCAAAATCTAAACTGTGCCTAAACTGCAATATTATATTGTGGCCTTTCTCTTGCATTTCAATAAATAGAAAATGCATGTTTTTTTGTTTGTATTATCTTTTTTATTTTACCTTTATTTAACTAGGCAAGTCAGTTAATAACAAATTATTAACTGGACGGCCTACACCGGCCAAACCCGGATAACGCTGGGCCAATTGTGCGCTGCCCTATGGGACTCCCAATCACGGCCGGTTGTGATACAGCCTGGAATTGAACCAGGGGGTCTGTAGTGACACCTCAAGCACTGAGATGCAGTGCCTTAGACCGCTGCGCCACTCGGGAGCCCCCTATTACCAGATCTAATGTGTTATATTCTCCTACATTAATTTCAAAAGTGTTTCCTTCCAAATGGTATCAAGAATATGCATATCCTTGCTTCAGGTCCTGAGCTACAGGCAGTTAGATTTGGCCAGGGACGGCCTGTTCAATAGGGCGATATGGGCGACGCACTGCCAAACGGGAAAAGGAAGGGATTTTTTTTCTAATCAATTATATCACGGCAACAGTAGTTATCAGTGTTGTAATCTATACGTCTGATCTGCCACAGTGCCACACTGCCACTAAATGTCGAATCAGGCTAAAGTCGTGCTTCAAATGGCTCCACCCCCTTTTGGGGCGATTTCAGTCAGATTGAAAATCGCCCAGAACTTCTGTCATAGACTCCCATGTAAAATCTATTTTTTTCAAATTTCAGAGCCTTCAATACAATCTCAATGGGTGTCTGTGGGCTTGCACTTACGCGCTTTCGTCACATGAACGTAACTAAGAAAAGAGAGGGTAGCAGCGTCAATCAATTCACTACTACTATCAACATGGCTAGGCTTCAGTGCAACTCGGTTGTGTCTTTGAAAGAATTTCCTTTTTGTCGGCGAACAAATGAAGATAAATTGGCAACGAAACAATTAGGACCTCCCAGACCAAATTTAATAATTCAACAGGTTTCTACTAAAGGGGGGAAGTCCTACACCCGAGGATTTTCCAAAAATTGGTATGAACGAAAAACCTGGCTAGCAGGCTGCGATGTAGCTAATGCAGTCTTCTGCTACCCCCTGCTTACTCATTCACCCTGAAGGCGGCACGGCAGACAGCACCGCTTGGACAGCGACTGGTGTAACCGACATGCACCATCTTTCAGAAAAGATTAAGAAACATGAGCTGTCAAAGACCCACATGGATAGCTGTTTGAGAATTTCTGCTTTGGGGAGAGTGAATATTGCCACTCAACTGGATGAGGGATACAGGCTAGCTGTCCGCCGCCACAACGATGAGGTTAGCAAGAACCGCCATATCCTCAGCCGGCTAATCCAGTGTGTGAAGTTTTGCGGCGTGTTTGAGTTAGCTTTGCGAGGCAAAGATGAAACTGAGGGCTCCACCAACCCTGGTATTTTTCTTGGACTTGTCAACTTTGTGGCACAATTAGATGAGGTGTTTGATGACCATCTTAAAAATGCTAAAGTTTTCAAGGGCACATCAAAGACCATTCAAAACGAGCTACTGGAGTGTATGCTAGCGGTCACGAGGGAACATATTGTGGAGGAGGTGAAGTCTGCGAACTTCGTAGCTATCCAAGCTGACGAGACCACGGACGTTTCTACACAGACACAGTTGGTGCTTGTGCTGAGGTACATAGATAGCAAGCACAAAGTGCAGGAGCGATTTTTTGAGTTCCTTCCCATCTCGGAATCAACCTCAGTCTCAATCGCCAGTGTACTTTTGGAGAGACTGAACGGTCTTTTTGCCGATGACGAGAAAGTCAAACTCATTGCGCAAGCTTACGATGGAGCCAGTGTGATGAGGGGAGAGAAGGCTGGTGTGCAGAAAAAGGTGCGTGAGCATTTCAAGAATGCCCATTACGTGCATTGCTATGCGCATCAGCTGAATTTGATCATGCAGCAAGCTACTTCTCGCATCAAAAAAGTGAACATTTTCTTTTCCGATCTGAGCGGGATTACAACTTTTTTTTCCCGGGTCACCCAAACGCACCAGCATTCTTGACCAGACTGTTGCACGAAGACTGCCCAGACCTTCATCCACACGGTGGAACTTCAACAGCAGAGTCGTGAACACTGTCTACGAGAATCGAGATGACCTAATAGAATGTTTTGAAGCCATCCGGACGGGTTCATTGGGTTCATTTGACCAGGGCACAGTGAGAGAGGCATCTGGCTACGTGAGGATGCTGCATGATGAAGATTTTATTTTTTTCCTGCGGCTTTTTTCACAAAATCATGCCCCACGTCGACATTCTGTACCAGAAGCTACAGAAGAAGGACATCGATGCTGTCTTTATCAAAAGTGCCCTCGACAGCTTCACAAGCAGTGTGCAGGCCATAAGGTAAGATTAAACAATATCATTCGATCTTTCTCAAAGCAGAGCTTTATTTGAAAATGTATGCATGAAAGGAGACTGCATTTGTGTTTGAAATTACATTATTTCTCATTATATATGGCCAGTGGTGTAATCTATTTTATTTTATATACTATGTGTAATGTGCAGTGGTGCTCATAAGTGTATGAACACATTCTAAAGTTGACTAAAAAGAGGAATAAAAAATAAAAAAATAATCTTTTGGAAATTTATCTTAATGACTTAATTAAAAAAGTTGGAAAATCCAACCTTTATGGACACCAATTTTCTTTTCTTTTTTATTCCTCTTTTTAGTCAACTTTAGCATGGGATCATAAGCTTATGAGCACCACTGTATACTGTGCTGAACATCCAGGCTATGTGAGACACAAAGGCTAACTTAAACACTAAAGACTTTATGCATCCCTGCCCATTTTAAGTGGAACTGAAGTATTTGTACTATACATCATGGATACATTGCATATACCTGTGCATCACATAGACAACAATACTGTACAAAGCCAACAAACACATTGGTCTGTTTGCCTTCAGGGACTCCTCTCAACAGCAGCTGCAAGAAGCAACAGGAGCCAAAAGACCCAGAACAGCTTTGAGAGAAGAGGAGAAGCAGAGGCTGTCTGAAGAGGTCTGCAACACCATCCTGGATCACATCAAAGAAAGGTTCTCTTTCTCTGGCCACCTTGTGAGTGCTACCTTACTGCAAGCAGACATGTTTGAAAGGTACTGCCATTCATTTCCTGATGAGGCTCTGAATGCCACTGTGAATGCATACCCCATGCTGAGCAAGGCAAAGCTCAAGACAGAACTATCTCTGATCTATGAGAATCCTGAATTCAAGGGAGGCTGTGGTGCACTGGCACTGTACCAGGTTCTCATGAGCTACAACCTCCAGGAGACGTTCTCTGAGACTGTGACTCTGTTGAACATCCTCATAACTACTCCCATGACAACAGCTGAAGCTGAGAGATGTTTCTCAACTTTGACACAAGTTAAGACATTCCTGCGAAATTCAATGGGCCAGGAATGTCTGAATGCACTGGCCATGCTTTCCATGGAGAGGGAACTAGTCCTCAGCATGCCTGATTTCAATGAGAAAGTCATTGAACGCTTTGCTGTATTGAAACAGAGAAGAGAACAGTTTCAGTACAAGTAATGTAGCCTCTCTCTCTCTTTGTCCCTCCCTCCCTGTCTCTTTAACACACACACGCCCAAATCAGTTCACAGTTGATGTTGTTTAAAATAGTTATTTTTCATTTTAAAAAAAGTAAAACAAAAAAAAATATCTGTTCATGTTCATTTTTACAAATCTATACAATTGGCCAGAATATGGTTGTTCATATTTACAAATCTATACAATTGGCCAGAATATGGTTGTTCATTTTTACAAAGCCATACAGATAGCTGTGTTTACCTTTTCTAGAAATTACTTTCAAATTCTGTTTTCAAGCAAAATGTCTATCACTGTTCATTTTCACAAATCTATACAAGAGGGCAGAATATGGAAGTCTATAAAAATGTCTTATTACCAATAACTTGCATCAATGTTTTCAGTAGCCTCTATCAAAAGCTCCTGCTTGCTTGTTGTGAATTATGCTCAGGTGCACATATTTCCAATTCAACCATGAGGCAAAAAATGTGGTAAAAGCTCTTGTTGATCCTGCAATCTGAACAAATACCAAGATGCTGTATTTTCAGCTGATATTTCATTTGTTTATGGAAATGCATATTGTTTATGCAGTGTTGAGGAATGTGAAAGAACACCCTTGATTATTTTTACTGTGATAACTTATTTTGATTTTGTAAGCCAACACTTTTGAGATCAGTCAATAAATGCTTCTGGTATTGACTTATATGCTGCCCCTGTCTTCATGTTGTTGCTGGACATATCTTTTAAAAAATGTGTGTAGGTCACCTAAATCATCAGAAAAATTGCCCCCCCTGAGAATTTTTTCAGGAGCCGCCACTGGATTTGGCTATGTCATTTTAGGCCAAAATTGAAAAAAAGGGCCTGATCCTTAAGAGGTTAACATGTTTATAATCTTTTGACAACAGTGACGGCATGTAAGACAATTTATAATATAACACAATGGATGGCTAATTCGTCATACTGCATTGATATTTGATTTGATTTATAACGTGTTACGATTTACTATGTTTTAGATTGAATGTTTTGCATGCCAATGGTGGTTCCATGTGCTGTGCCTAGGGATGAATACAAAATACAGTGGGGAAAAAAAGTATTTAGTCAGCCACCAATTGAGCAAGTTCTCCCACTTAAAAAGATGAGAGAGGCCTGTCATTTTCATCATAGGTACACGTCAACTATGACAGACAAATTGAGATTTTTTTTCCAGAAAATCACATTGTAGGATTTTTAATGAATTTATTTGCAAATTATGGTGGAAAATAAGTATTTGGTCACCTACAAACAAGCAAGATTTCTGGCTCTCACAGACCTGTAACTTCTTCATTAAGAGGCTCCTCTGTACTCCACTCGTTACCTGTATTAATGGCACCTGTTTGAACTTGTTATCAGTATAAAAGACACCTGTCCACAACCTCAAACAGTCACACTCCAAACTCCACTATGGCCAAGACCAAAGAGCTGTCAAAGGACTATGAAACATTTATGTAACACCGCGTGAGATTACAGTACACAAACAAGAGTGTGCAATATAGAAGGGTAGTCAGTGGGCATTCTGAACCTTGTAGCTCAGTTGGTAGAGCATGGCGCTTGCAACGCCAGGGTTGTGGGTTCGTTTCCCATGGGGGGGGGGCCAGTATGAAAATGTATGCACTCACTAACTGTAAGTCGCTCTGGATAAGAGCGTCTGCTAAATGACTAAAATGTAAATGTTTGAGGTCAGTAGGTCACATGACCAGAGAGCTATTGAAATTCGAAAACAATTAAAAACATATAAAAATTAATGTAAAATCACCTGAGATGAAAATGGACAAACAAAAGGGTGTGCAATATATAAGGCTAGTCAGTGGATATTCTGACAGCAGTTTGAGGGTTGTAGGTCATATGACTAAGGAGTTATTGAAATGTGAAACTTTAAACTGGGGCGGCAGGTAGCTTAGTGGTTAAGAGCGTTGTGCCAGTAACCGAAAGGTTGCTGGTTCTAATCCCTGAGCCAACTAGGTGAAAAATCTGTCGATGTGCCCTTGAGCAAGGCACTTAACCCTAATTGCTCCTGTAAGTCGCTCTTATCCAGAGCATCTGCTAAATGACTAAAATGTAAACAATTCTCTTAAAATCTCATGAGATGCAAAAGGGTGTTTGAGGAGTGTGGGTCACATGACCAAGGCGCTATTGATTTTTTAATTTTTTTTAAATTAAATGTTAAATAGTTTGATATGTGTCTCTGCCATAGGATTAGCTATAACCCGTTTAGAAAGTTTTAGGAGTAATGGTTAAAGAGCTATTGAAATCTGAAAAATTAGATTTGTCACTATGTTGACGGTCCCTAACTGCTGTTGGTGGACGTAAGGAATAATACAGGCGAATATCCAACCTGAATTTGTCTTTACATCGGTCCCAGCATATGGTAGGCAATTTATATATCGTAACATTTCAGGAGCAAGGCTAACGGCATATTGACTAAAGCTCAGGTGTGCATGTGGAGTTAAACATGTTCGGATGGGGTGGAGTTAATTGTTGCTGGCGCAGAAAAAAAACGTGACAATCAATTGAACTTTGAAACTTGGAGCAAACAGACAGAATGGCCACCGATTTTACACAGGATTCGGTGTTGTACTTTCTCCAATTCAAGGGTGGGAGAGTGAAGAACTCTGAACTGTTGGCGCACTTCAAAACGTTCCTTCGGGACCACGAGAACCAGACGCACAACCGGCAACTGTTTAAAAAGTTTGTGAACTCTGTGGCTGTGGTGAAACCAGAGGAGGGAGTATCATACGTTGTGCTCAGGAAGAAATGTCTGGGGCAGGTTGCTGGAGACATCGCTGCCGCATACCACTCAGCAAAGACCCCCGCTAGACAACAACCTGCGCCACAGGCGAGACCGAGAGAGAGAGACCACTCACCGAGAGCTCCCGTAAACCGAAACCAGGAGAGAGGTCAGAAGGGACTGATTGAGACGCACTTTTATGAATTACACGTTCCACCAGGCGACACCAACCAACTCGCCGACAAGGTTTTAGCCTCGGCTGGAATTGTCAACAACAACAACAATGTGGAAACAACTATCAATTTCGAAAAGCCTATCCAAAGCTCCACGCCACATGTTCCAGACCATGCTCCGCCTCCTGTATTCAACCGAGAAGCACCATTCCTCCCATCTTACAATGCAGCAATATCGAAGAGGTCAGAAGATGGGAGTGGTCAGAGCTTTGAAGCAGAAGGGGACCTGAATCACAAAGGTATTTACATCAGTGGTTCCAAACTTGGCCAGCAGTCAAAAGAACCAAAGAGGAAGAGGTCCTATCCGCCCCCTGAGTTCCTATACACAGAGGTGGAACCTCAGGCGCCTCACCTGGACACACGTGCAACAGAATGCAGTGCAGCCGCAGAGGAAGACTTCTGAAGCTGACCACAGAAGACCATCTGCAGCATGGCCACTGTTCACCACTCTAGAGCATGCCAGCTCCTCTCCTTGTATAGCTGATGGTCACAGTCCTCCTGCTGAAGCTCCACGCGTTCCCCCTTCCCACTGGCCTCCAGGTGACGCGGAGCAACGGCAACCTGGATGGCAGTTACCACCTCCACCATAGGATTCCACAGCGGCCCAGACCAAAACAAGATGGACTCCCAGCGGCTCCGCTACACGCTACACCTGCCTCTCAGCTGACGCAGACCAACGGCGGCCTACCTAGTCCACAGAAGGATGGAGTCCCAGTCCCTGTTCCTGACATCCAGTATCCGGAAGAGAGAAGAGTTGCTGTTGCCCAGTCCAGGACCCAGCCCTTGCCTTTCCAGCACAGCCTACCCCTGGACTCTGCCTACCAGTACCACACTCCTGCTGGGTCTACTGGTGGTTCTGGGAACCCTGAGCACCACCACCACCACCACCACCACTACCAGGCCAGCTCTGGCCTCTCCTCCAGTCACAGCCACAGCAGCCTCCCCCTACCCCCATCACTGGACTCCAGGGATGAGTGGACCCAGGGCTCCCCTAGAGAGGAGTGGGCCAGCGATGAAACCCTCAGCTACCGGGACCTGAACTACCCAGGTGAGCAGCAGAGGGTCAAAGTGTACGAGATTCTCCGCCGTGGCCAGGAGGCCCAAATGCTCTCTCAGATGCACCGCGCTGAGAGGAGAGTCCCCTGGCCTCACCATCACTCCACCGGTTACCTTGACGACAAGGCGGACAGAGTATCGTCATGGCACCACTCCACAGGTAATCTCCATGATGACGACGGGTCCGAGTCCATTGAGTCCACCTCTCTTCCTGGTTCAGACCCCGAGCCGTTCCTCCGACCCCCTGTTCGGCGAATCAGCAGCCGGTTCCGCAGCCGTATGTGCCGCAGCCTCGGAGCCGACCTGGACCAACTGTTCCCGGAGGACGTCGTCTCGGCACGGCACAACCGCCTCCTCCTCCTCTCCTCCAACCTCAGCATCAGCCACTCCTTCTCCACCCCCACCTCACGCACAACCAGCTACAGAGACCTGAGGCGGGAGATGCACTCCAGGGCTTCCAGTAACAAGAGCCTGAACGGAGCCTCCAACTCTGGCGGCCATGACAGCGCCTACTTCCACCGCCACAATCTGGTCCCCCTGGAGGCCAAGGAACATGACTGGCTGGTGAAGGGCGCCGCTGGGACCTGGACCGACATCTACACCCTCTTCAGAGATGAACCCAGCCTCCTCGCCAAGAGAGACTTCATCACTGGTTATACCATCCTGCACTGGATCGCTAAACATGGAGACCACCGGGTCCTCAACACACTCTGGTACGGAGTCAACAAAGCCGGGTTGAAACTGGACGTGGATACTAAGACCACCTGTGGCTACACGCCTCTTCACCTGGCCGCCATCCACGGGAACAAGAAGATGATCCGGCTGCTTGTTTATAAGTTCAGGGCCAACGTGGCCCTCAGGGATACCAGTGGGAAGAAGGCCTGGCAGTATCTGGGCCAGACTGGACCCAAGGACCTGCTACAGATGCTAGGGGCCCCTCACTGCTAGACTTCCACAGGGGGTAGCTCCACACCCCAGTCCTCAGGGGGGAGACCCCCCAAGGCCCCCTACAACCTCGGCCGCGGTAAAGAAGTCCACGTCCATCACTTGAGTTCCTCAAGCATAAGACCCTAATGAAGTTCCCAGGATGGGAGGGTTCTCAGTCGCCCGACTCCTTTGTGTGAGAATAGCGTGAGCATTAGGGTGGGTCTGCCTGCTCTGAGGGTGGCTACAGGGGCTGACAAGACCTACCAAAGACCTACCAAACTGACTGACAAAGACCTACCAAACTGACTGACAAGACCTGCCACACAGCTCAAGCCTCTTACTAAGTAAGCCGTTTGGGGTCTTGACGACTTTGATTTGTCTCTTTAAAACTTTCTTGGTTATTTCAAATGTTTTTTTCCATTCATTAAAAAAAATCTAAGATGAAATAATTGAATAAGAGGGTGGGGATTATGTTATTGTCTAAATTAACGTATTGTGATTTGGCATATGACGTGGTATTAACTATCACTTGTGAAATCCTATCATGAAAAAAAGCAATAGAATCAGTTATGTGTGAGTTGCAGTTCTTAAGAGATTGTATTAAATTATGACACCTCAGTATAATTGCTTTGCAATTTAGTTTATTGTGGTGAGAAGCTTTTGTTTATTTGCTGCTGGGGAAATGGCTTCCATTCTAGTGTGCTCATTTTCAATGACCAAAGAATACTTAAAAAAAAAAAAAAAAAAAAAAAAAAGCATTTTTCTCTAACAAAGGTGTACTGTGTGTCAGTTGTCGGTGCTTATGTGGGTTCAGAGTTCAAGTGGTGTGATGTGACCTGACTCTGGAATGTGGTAGTGAGAGGACATATTTTTTTGTTCAAAGGCCTGTCGGAGTATATTGCATCATCTGACAGGACTAAAATGTCAGGAATCCTTCCCTTCAGTTGCACCAGGTTGCTTATCATGCACAATGTTTGAGGTTCATTCAGTATAGATTGCTGGCTTTATTAACTTGTGATTGACACCACAAAGTTTAGACAGTACTCGTATGAACAGTTTTCTCCATGTGCACTTAAATGATGACTAAAATGTAAATGTAAATGTACCTGAGGTGCTAAAATAATCCAAACTGGTATTTGATGTAGCTCTAAAGCCATTTCCCTAAAGGGATACTTTGGGATTTTCGCAACGATGCCCTTTGTCTACTTCCTCAGAGTCAGATGAACTAGTGGATACCATTTGTATGTCTCTTTGTCCAGTATGAAGGAAGTTAGAGGAAGTTTTGCGAGCCAATGCTAACTAGCGTTAACGCAATGACTGAAAGTCTATTGTATCTGCTAGCATGCTAGTAGAAGTATCCCTTTTAAGCACTCTTTTTATTTTTTTTGTATCCAACACTACTGTCTTTGATGAAAATGAAACGTTAACCTGTGTTAACCCTCTCTCTGCAAGTTAAAGTTTAACAAAGGCTAATTTACAAATAGCACCCTATTCCCTATACAGTGCACTACTTTTGACAAGGGCCCATATATAGGGAATAGGGTGCTATTTGGGACGCACAGCCTAATACTCAAAACTTACATTTACTGTACATTTGTTTTGCTCTTGATGGAAAAAAAAAAGAGTAAAAAAAAAAATATATATATATAGTCACTGGGTGTGTATGGAAGGAAGGCTGCAGTTAAATCAAGCAGTGTATTGGATAACCTGTGATAATATATCTATATGTCTACAGCTTTCTTTTTGTATGAATAAAAGCATATCATTGTATATTAACTGCTATAGTTGTTAGCATTTCTTCAAAGATTATTGTCAGCACATACCATAGCTGTGGCTCAGTTGGTAGAGCATGGCGCTTGTAACGCCTGGGTTTCGTTTCCCACAGGGGGGGCCAGTATGAAAATGTATGTGACTAAAATGTTTTTAGCTGTAGTAGCAGCATCCTTGTAGTCTGATTCCTGTGAACCACCAGAACAAACCTTCTGGAACGTTGCAGATAGAAACATCATGAATAGAGCAGAACGTGATTTACTCTACATGTCAGAGGCATGTCTGTTCTACAAAACCGATTTCTATCTGAACGTTCCAGAATGTTGTGCCATGCCGAACGCAGACCTGATAAACAAGCATGTTTCTTTTGACTGTTTCTCTTCTCCCTGTAATCCAAGAGGCTGTGCAGCTAGGTGAGAATTAAAGGGATAGTTTATCCTAATTCCAGACATTGGTTTCCTTACCCTGTGGGAGTCTATGGACAAGGTATGACAGCAATCCATGCTTTGGTTTAGGGCTCGATGTTCCCGCGGAGACAGCGTTCACGGTAAACGTGCATCATGTTCAATTCATCTATAAGTGACCGTTGATCTTCACAATCACAATTTGAGAAAATTTTTTTTGTTGTAATTTGGGTGAACTATCCCGTTAACAGTGGAAGGAAGGGTAAGAAGTCTGACACTGCCAAGTTGAGCTATCACCTTACACTGGGATAATGTGTGAGGGCAAATGGTCTACAAGTCAAGTCACTAGGACAGTCAGTCAACTTCTAAAATGAGAAACATAGAACGAGGAATGTGAACTGCAACACACTCTTCACACAAGCAGCATGTTGCAGTATGACTTGACTTCCGTGTCCCTAGCCTGAGTGCCAGTCCGTTGGTGCTATCATTGTCATGTTTGGGTTGTCATTTGACAATGAGCAATGGAGTTGGCAAGAGCACAAACAGATCCGGGACCAGGCTAACATGTCCCTTCAGGGACAATAAAATGGATCTAATCTCATAAAACATTTTTTTTTTTACCTTTATTTAACTAGGCGAGTCAGTTAAGAACAAATTCTTATTTACAATGACGGCCTACACCGGCCAAACCCGGACGACGCTGGGCCAATTTTGCGCCGCCCTATGGGACTCCCAATCACGGATGCAGTGCCTTAGACCGCTGCGCCACTCGGGAGCTCAATAATATTCTAAGATACAACATGGCTGATGACATCATAGAATACTTAGTCAAAGTACAATTGCCACAAAGACAACAAAGGCTCTGTTTAAAAATAGATTTATTTGTAAAACAAGGATCTGTTTTCCAATCAGCCTCCCTCTCCTACGCGTCGTGAAGCAAGATTGATACATGGAATTTTGATTAGGAAAATCAACAACTATCAAATCTGAGAATTCAGTTATGCTTCTGAAAAGCTATGAAGAAAAAAAATCTGGATGGCACCATTATTGGTGAAAATATTAACACGAATATGTGCTCGATACAGTTTATTTGACTCGAATTAGGATAATCTGTAAATGCTTTAAAAGGTGCTCTCAAAAGGACACAACAATATCAATTGGCATGTCATTCTGGGGGAGGAAAACAAGCAAGGAGTTACAAAACACGCCACCACACACACACCACTGACACTATCCACACACACACACACACCACTGACACACCCACACACACACTGACCTTCCAACCTACATATCCACACACACACACTATCCACAACACACTGACACTATCCACACACCACACACACTGACATATCCCAACCCCACACCCACACACTGACACTATCCACACACTCCACATGACACATCCACAAACCACCACCACTGAACCACCACACACTGACACTATCCACACCACACACACACACACGACCACACACACACACACAACACACTACACTCCACACACACACACCACGACACACACACACACACCACACACACACACACACTGACACTATCCACCCACCACACCCCTGCACTATCCCACACAACACACACACTGACACTATCCACACACACACACACCTGACACTATCCACACACACACACACTGACACTATCCACACACTGACACTATCCCACACTGACAACTATCCACACACTGACACTATCCACAACTCACAAAATCCACACATGACACTGACACCATCCACACACTGACTATCCAACACACACACACACACACACACACAAACACTGACACTATCCACACACAACAACAACACACAACACACACACACACAACACACTGACACTACCACACACACACACACAACACACACCCACACACACACACACTACACTACTCCACACACACACACACACACACACACACCCCCACACACACACACAACACACACGACACACCACACACACCACACACACACACTGACACTACCCACACACACACACACACCACACACACACACTGACACACACCACACAGACACACACCACACACATGACACTACCCACACACACCACACCACACACACACACAACACACACACACACACACACTGACACATCCACACACACCACAACACACACTGACACACCCACACACACACACCACACACACACACACACACACACACACACTACACACCCACACACACACACACACACACACACACACACACACTGACACTATCCCACACAACACACACACCACACAACACACACTGACACTACCCACACACACACACCACACACACACACACACACCACACACACACACACACACACACACAACTTCACTATCCACAACAACACACCACACACACACTACACATACCACCCACACACACCCACACACACACACAACACTTACACTATCCACACACCACACCCAACACAACACACTACAACTGACCTACCCACACACCACACACACACACACACCCACACACAACACACACCACCAGACTATCCACACACACACACACACACTACAACAACCCACACACACACACACACACACACACTATACCACACACACACCCACCACCCACACCTCACACCACCACACACACCACACACACAACACAACACACACACAACACCACACACACCACACACCCACCACACACACGACACACCCACACACATCACACCACACATCACACACTATCCACACACCACACACATCCACACCAACACACACCACACCACCACCACACACAACACCACACACACACACACACACAACACACACACAACACACACACACATACACACCCACAACACACAAACACACATAACCACCACACACCACACAACACACACACACACCTATCAACTCACACTTACCCACTATCCACACCACACACACACACACACACACACACACCACACACTCACTACACTACCACACACACACATGACACATCCACACAACACTGACACCTCACTACACCCACACAACAACACTGATGAATCAAGGTTGCACTTATTTCCATTCATTTCAATCCAACAAGGATATTTCAAGGTTTTTTTTTTTTCACCCACCGTTCAATCTAAATCCAATGAACCTGGTGAAAATGTTTTTGTTGATTTTCACATTGGAGTCACGCTACGTTTGGACAACTCAACCACACTCTTCTCTTCCTCCTCTGCTCTTATCACAACACACACACACACACACACACACCACACCACTACACCCACACACACACCACAACAACCCCATATTGCTGCTGCATAATCTGGTTCTTATTTTAACCCTTATTATATTATCTATTCCTGGATGATACCCAGATATCCTCAAGGACCTGATACCACTGCCCCATGAGATTGCTCCCGTCCACAGTATGCATGTACTTACTGGGCACCAATCTGCTACGGAACATCTAAACTAACCTTCTAGAAGGCCTGGACCTTGTATTTAGAGGAGGACCATGTGAACAGCAGGTCATTTGGAAAGGCCACTGGTAAATTTGCCTCATTTCATCATCAGAATTCTAAAACATTATAGAACAAGTTCTAGAACATTACATCATTATGACATCATCTTGCCTTCTCTGAGAGAAATCACATTTGATTTAAATTTCACAAATTTGTTTCAGTAAAAAAAAAAAAAAAAAAAATTCATCTACATACTAAAAATCATGAGGTTAGCTGACACCATATGTACAGCCACTTACATTCCTTTTTTATAATATAAATAATGATAGCAGTTGTCAATGTCATGGTAGCTTTTGTCATGAACTATCATTTACGTGTCTGAATTACAAGTACTTGAAGCTAAATCTGCCTTAGATTGTGACTACATATTAATGTGTGTGAGCGCGTGCTATTGTGTTGCTAAAGAAAACAGGTCTGGTTCTTCCTGACCATAGAAATAGAACTTCCTGACCAAAGAAATAGAACTTCCTGACCAAAGAAATAGAATGAGAAATATAATTAATTATAGTTCTGTGATTCTGACCATTCTGTGTAATCAGTAGTTAAACTGCTAAAACAAAGTGCTCAGCTGTAGTGATATACAAATGTAACGGCAGTAGTAAAGGTTAAACTGATATATATATATATGGGGAATAACATTTATTGACAGGCAGTTGTACATCCACTATCGTTACTCTCAAAGCTCTGATCTGCTCGTATGAATACGACTAGGGACTTCAACAGTGTATTGAATCAACCAAAGACATGCCGAGTGGCCAGTCAGAACACAGATGTGTGAAAAAGCTTGAGTAACATAGGAGGCATAAATAGATTGAGGTACAAGAACGCATCGGTCATGCTCACGTCTTATAGTCTGCCTGTCTGTCTGTCTGCAACAAGGGGACAGACAGGGTGACATCCTTCATCCAGTTCGGCTCTATATGGAGAAAGATGCTGTCTCTCTGTGTCTCTGTCTCTCTGTGTCTCTGTGTCTCTGTCTCTCTGTGTCTCTGTCTCTCTGTGTCTCTGTCTCTCTGTGTCTCTGTCTCTCTGTGTCTCTGTGTCTCTGTCTCTCTGTGTCTCTGTGTCTCTGTCTCTCTCTTCATCAAGTACTGTTGTATCTTGCTTGCCAGACTCATGGCGCTCCGCCCATTGTGTCAGAGACACGGGCGGCTGTAGTGTGTTCCCTGGTAGTGACCAGGAACAGTGTTGTTGTTGGGGTGACATGAGTCACAGTGATGTTACAGTGGTGGAGCGGACAGCATGGGTAGGACCAAGGTTAGGGCCGGGACCCCTAAGGCCAGGGATAGATGAGCTGGGCTGGGCCTGGTGGTCGCCAGGAGGCCCCTGGTGGTCCGACTCCCCAGGAGAGATACTCTCGGCCAGCCTGCTGAGCTGCTCGTCCCACTGCTTAAGGAGCTCGTCCAGGTGTCTCTGTCGGATCAGCAGGGCTGGTCTCATACAGACGTAGTGCTGGTAGTCTCTTAGCTGCGGCCCGGTCAGGTACCCACCCAGGATGTCCAGAACCACACGCTCCCGCCGGTCCAGATTCTCCTTCAGCTCCCTGGCATCCTCATGCTGACTACACAGCTGGCTGCGCTTCTGCTGTAAGGACTCCTGAGTTAACAGAGATATATAGATTATTAAAGACATCCTGGTGCTTCTGCTGTAGACTCCTGAGTTAACAGAGATATATAGATTATTAAAGACATCCTGGTGCTTCTGCTGTAGACTCCTGAGTTAACAGAGATATATAGATTATTAAAGACATCCTGGTGCTTCTGCTGTAGACTCCTGTGTTAACAGAGATATATAGATTATTAAAGACATCCTGGTGCTGACTACACAGACTTGTGAGGGTAGAGACTGTTAGTGATAAGTGAATAGAGTCTTTACACAGAGAGATAGACATCCTGGCTGCTCCTCTGTAGACTCCTGAGGGGAAGGGATAGATTAGTCAATACAGAGACACGATGACCTGGCACCACCCAGTGGCCGTCATGTGACACATCTCCGGAAAAATGTTCAGTATTAGTGAGATAGGACACTAGATTAGTAAAGCCTTGATAATACATGATGCCATTTGGTTAAACTAAAGCAACCCAGGCTGAATGTGTATCTACACACACAATGAACACCCTGTCAGGAGGTCAGAGCAGAAGGTCAGAGAATGAATCCGTGTTTCAGAGGGGAGGAGCCCCGTAGTATCTGTGACTAAAGTAAATCACATTTTAACGGCGTCACCACCGTCATTAAGGGAGGTGGCACCATGATGTCACCGCTCTTTAACACAGCAAAACAAAAGACAAGAGGAGTGTAAGGCTGATAAAGCAGTAGTGTAGTGTAGTGTAGTGTGTAGTGTATAGTGTAGTGTGTAGTGTAGTGTAGAGTAGTGTGTAGTGTGGTGTGTAGTGTAGTGTATAGTGTGTATGTGTTAGTGTAGTGTAGTGTGTGTTATGTGTGTAGTGTGTATGTGTAGTGTGTGTATTGTAGTGTGTAGTGTTGTGTGTATTTTGTTGTATTTATGTTGTGTATGTTGTGTCTGTAGTTATGTTAGTTATAGTGTGTGTATGTGTGTAGTGTTATGTGTAGTGTGTAGTGTATACTGTGTGTTAGTGTATTTATGTATGTGTTGTTAGTGTAGCTTGTGTAGTGTATGTGTGTCTTAGGTAGTTTAATGTATAGTTTATAGTGTAGTGTATTAGTGTAGGTGTATGGTAGTGTATGTGCGTATTGTGTTTAGTGTAGTAGTGTATTAGGTAGTGTTCGTGTATTGGATAGTGTATAGTTATGTGTAGTGTATAGTGGCTGTATAGTGTAGTGTGTAGTGTGTTTGTGGTAGTGTAGTGTAGTGTAGTTAAGGTGTATTGTATAGTTGTATAGTGGTAGGTTTAATATCTCACCCTCTCCTCTGGCGTCTTCTGCTCCTCCCTCTCTATCCAGGGCAGAGAGAGCGTTATGACCCCGGGCCAGCCGCCACACAGAGACAGTAGCAGGTTGACTATCTTATCCAGGTCCCCGATGAACATCCTGTACTTCTCCCTCTCGTTGGGCTTACAGCGCTCCTGGACCAGGCTCTCCATATGGCCCCCTAGGGCCCGGAACCTCCTCTGCTCCTCCGCCAGAACCTCCTTTTCCTCCCGCAAAGAGGCAATGCTCAGAGTCCATGGCCTGGAGTAGCTCCACCTAGTGGATGGGAGGAGTTAGCACAGAGTAACTGTCTCCACTCCTCTTTACCCAGAGATCTCCTGGATCCCGAGGACCATAGGTTGGATGGGCTTTGTCTTTAATTTTCCTTACTTTTATATAAAATCAGTTCATTCAAAGATTCATGTAATTGTATTGCCTTTGATTTCATCTGATGAAAACAATTGTTCGCAAAAAAGAAGATGATGAATGTAAAGTCAGTTCAGACCTTCTTCTGATTGAGGTCTGCCTCGTCCAGATCCGTGTCCATCTCTCCTCCCCCCTCTGTTCTCTGCAGCAGACTGCTTCCTATACAACAGACACCATCTTGCCTTCTACAAGAAAATGAACAAAAATATATATGTTTTATTGTCACATGCACTGGATAGGTGCAGTGAAATATGTTGTTTTACAGGGTCAGCCATAGTAGTACGGTGCCCCTGCCTGGAACAGAGACACAAGAATGGAGCAACAGTTAGCATTAATACACTGATACATTAGATCCTGAAACTCCTGACCCGAAACTGACACATACTGCAAAACAAGCAGTAAGCAACAAGCACTAGTCTGTTGAATAGTGTGTCTGATGCCAAAACAATTAGTATGGTATTCTGGGTGTGTGTGTGTTATTTGGGTGAAACTCAAACACACACACACACACACACACACACACTACTATAAGGAAACTGACACATACTGCAAAACAAGCAGTAAGCAACAAGCACTAGTCTGTTGAATAGTGTGTCTGATGCCAAAACAATTAGTATGGTATTCTGGGTGTGTGTGTTATTTGGGTGAAACTCAAACACACACACACACACACACACACACACACACACACACACACACACACACACACACACACACACACACACACACACACACACACACACACACACACACACACACACACACACACACACACACACACACACACACACACACACACACACACACACACACACACACACACACACGCATACTACTATAAGGAATGTGCTGTGGCTGGTTTGTTTTCATGGCTAGCCTATTGGGCAGGACGGACATGGACAGGCAGGGTAGAATGTTTTACAGAGAGAACAACATTCCACAGTAGAATCAGGTCACACTTAGTCACACTCAACTAAATCCTCCACTGACACGGAGGAGTCTAACAAACCAACTGTCCCCTGGTTCTATTTTAATATAATACATTTAATATTTAAACGTATTTTTGATACAAATTCTCAAGATATCTCCCAAAAACACTCAAAAACCCAGCAGAGAATATGTAGAATATATATCTTTTTGGGTTGTAAATAATAATTAACTTGTTAAAAGCTTAGAAGCTTAATTTAGAGCAGGGCTCTCTAACCATGTTCATGGAGAGCTGCCCTCCTGTAGGTTTTCGCTCCAACCCCAGTTGTAACTAACCTGATTCATCTTATCAACCAGGTAGTTATTAGAATCAGGTGTGCTAGATTAGGGTTGGAGCGAAAACCTCCAGGATGGTAGCTCTGCAGGAACAGGGTTGGAGAGCCCTGACCTCCAGGATGGTAGCTCTGCAGGAACAGGGTTGGAGAGCCCTGACCTCCAGGATGGTAGCTCTGCAGGAACAGGGTTGGAGAGCCCTGACCTCCAGGATGGTAGCTCTGCAGGAACAGGGTTGGAGAGCCCTGACCTCCAGGATGGTAGCTCTGCAGGAACAGGGTTGGAGTGAAAACCTCCAGGATGGTAGCTCTGCAGGAACAGGGTTGGAGTGAAAACCTCCAGGATGGTAGCTCTGCAGGAACAGGGTTGGAGTGAAAACCTCCAGGATGGTAGCTCTCCAGGAACAGGGTTGGAGTGAAAACCTACAGGATGGTAGCTCTCCAGGAACAGGGTTGGAGTGAAAACCTACAGGATGGTAGCTCTCCAGGAACAGGGTTGGAGTGAAAACCTACAGGATGGTAGCTCTCCAGGAACAGGGTTGGAGTGAAAACCTACAGGATGGTAGCTCTCCAGGAACAGGGTTGGAGTGAAAACCTACAGGATGGTAGCTCTCCAGGAACAGGGTTGGAGTGAAAACGTACAGGATGGTAGCTCTCCAGGAACAGGGTTGGAGTGAAAACCTACAGGCTGGTAGCTCTCCAGGAACAGGGTTGGAGTGAAAACCTACAGGATGGTAGCTCTCCAGGAACAGGGTTGGAGAGAACCCTACAGATGGTAGCTCTCCAGGAACAGGGTTTGTATGAAACTACAGATGGTACTCTCCCGGACAGGTTGGCGTGAAACCTACGGATGGTAAGCTCTCATGGACAGGGTTGGAGTGACAAACCTACAAAGGATGGGAAGCTCTGCAGGAACAGGGTTGAGCGCCGATTTAAAGTATGATCTGAGCCTTTTTTACATGTACAAAAGCATGGACACGTTTTGTTCTACAATGCTAGTTAAACATGTCAGTGGACGACAGTGCCAAATCACCATTCAACAAGATACATATGATCTGATGTTACAGTGAGGGAAAAAGTATTTGACCCCTGCTGATTTTGTACTTCCCAGTGCAACAGAAAGATCAGTCTATAATTTTAATGGTAGGTTTTATTTGAACAGTGAGAGACAGAATAACAACAAAAAAATCCAGAAAAATGCATGTCAAAAATGTTATAAATTGATTTGAATTTTAATGAGGGAAATAAGTATTTGACCCCCTCTCAATCAGAAAGATTTCTGGCTCCCAGGTGTCTTTTATACAGGTAACGAGCTGAGATTAGGAGCACACTCTTAAAGGGAGTGCTCCTAATCTCAGCTTGTTACCTGTATAAAAGACACATGTCCACAGAAGCAATCAATCAATCAGATTCCAAACTCTCCACCATGGCCAAGACCAAGGAGCTCTCCAAGGATGTCAGGGACAAGATTGTAGACCTACACAAGGCTGGAATGGGCTACAAGACCATCGCCAAGCAGCTTGGTGAGAAGGTGACAACAGTTGGTGCGATTATTCGCAAATGGAAGAAACACAAAATAACTGTCAATCTCCCTTGGCCTGGGGCTCCATGCAAGTTCTCACCTCGTGGAGTTGCAATGATCATGAGAACGGTGAGGAATCAGCCCAGAACTACACGGGAGGAACTTGTCAATGATCTCAAGGCAGCTGGGACCATAGTCACCAAGAAAACAATTGGTAACACACTACGCCATGAAGGACTGAAATCCTGCAGCGCTCACAAGGTCCCCCTGCTCAAGAAAGCACATATACAGGGCCGTCTGAAGTTTGCCAATGAACATCTGAATGATTCAGAGGAGAACTGGGTGAAAGTGTTGTGGTCAGATGAGACCAAAATCGAGCTCTTTGGCATCAACTCAACTCGCCGTGTTTGGAGGAGGAGGAATACTGCCTATGACCCCAAGAACACCATCCCCACCGTCAAACATGGAGGTGGAAACATTATGCTTTGGGGGTGTTTTTCTGCTAAGGGGACAGGACAACTTCACCGCAACAAAGGGTCGATGGACGGGGCCATGTACCTTCAGATCTTGGGTGAGAACCTCCTTCCTTCAGCCAGGGCATTGAAAATGGGTCGTGGATGGGTATTCCAGCATGACAATGACCCAAAACACACAGCCAAGGCAACAAAGGAGTGGCTCAAGAAGAAGCACATTAAGGTCCTGGAGTGGCCTAGCCAGTCTTCAGACCTTAATCCCATAGAAAATCTGTGGAGTTCGAGTTGCCAAACGTCAGCCTCAAAACCTTAATGACTTGGAGAAGATCTGCAAAGAGGAGTGGAACAAAATCCCACCTGAGATGTGTGCAAACCTGGTGGCCAACTACAAGAAACGTCTGACCTCTGTGATTGCCAACAAGGGTTTTGCCATCAAGTACTAAGTCATGTTTTGCAGAGGGGTCGAATACTTATTTCCCTCATTAAAATGCAAATCATTTTATAACATTTTTGACATGCGTTTTTCGTGATTTTTTTGTTGTTATTCTGTCTCTCACTGTTCAAATAAACCTACCATTAAAATTATAGACTGATCATGTCTTTGTCAGTGGGCAAACATACAAAATCAGCAGGGGATCAAATACTTTTTTCCCTCACTGTACCTAGCTCTAACATGGAGAGAGACAGTATGATCTGACGTTACCTAGCTCTAACATAGAGAGAGACAGTATGATCTGACGTTACCTAGCTCTAACATAGAGAGAGACAGTATGATCTGACGTTACCTAGCTCTAATATAGAGAGAGACAGTATGATCTGACGTTACCTAGCTCTAACATAGAGAGAGACAATATGATCTGACGTTACCTAGCTCTAACATAGAGAGAGACAGTATGATCTGACATTACCTAGCTCTAACATGGAGAGACAGTATGATCTGACGTTACCTAGCTCTAACATAGAGAGAGAGACAGTATGATCTGACGTTACCTAGGTCTAACATAGAGAGAGACAGTATGATCTGACATTACCTAGCTCTAACATAGAGACAGTATGATCTGACGTTACCTAGCTCTAACATAGAGAGACAGTATGATCTGACGTTACCTAGCTCTAACATAGAGAGACAGTATGATCTGACGTTACCTAGCTCTAACATAGAGAGACAGTATGATCTGACGTTACCTAGCTCTAACATAGAGAGACAGTATGATCTGACGTTACCTAGCTCTAACATGGAGAGAGAGAGACAGTATGATCTGACGTTACCTAGCTCTAACATAGAGAGAGACAGTATGATCTGACGTTACCTAGCTCTAACATAGAGACAGTATGATCTGACGTTACCTAGCTCTAACATAGAGAGACAGTATGATCTGACGTTACCTAGCTCTAACATAGAGAGACAGTATGATCTGACGTTACCTAGCTCTAACATAGAGAGAGAGACAGTATGATCTGACGTTACCTAGCTCTAACATAGAGAGAGACAGTATGATCTGACGTTACCTAGCTCTAACATAGAGAGAGACAGTATGATCTGACGTTACCTAGCTCTAACATAGAGAGAGACAGTATGATCTGACGTTACCTAGCTCTAACATAGAGACAGTATGATCTGACGTTACCTAGCTCTAACATAGAGAGACAGTATGATCTGACGTTACCTAGTTCTAACATAGAGAGACAGTATGATCTGACGTTACCTAGCTCTAACATAGAGAGAGAGACAGAGACAGAGAGCTGTAGTTTACAGCCAGAATATCAGCAGTTATGAACAGTTATCATTCTGTGGCGTCAGAGTCAACTGTTATCCTGTCTGTTATCCAATATGTTCATGATGAAAACAAAACAGATTGACTTGAAAATAGTTTTTGCAATTTCACCTTGAAACCCCTGAGATATGCTAGACTTTCCCTTGCTTAACTAGCTGCTCTTATGTCAGTATCTATTCTAAAACCTAAGAGTTGTCTTGTGATAACAGGGGTCTGTAATAAACTGAGCCATAATGTTATGAGCCTCAACAACAAAGGGCCTTTGTTCTATCTCCTGGTAATGAACCCTGATCAAACGGTCTAACCTATTATTTAGTTACATAGGATGAATAACACACACACACACACACACACACACACACACACACACACACACACACAAATGCATTAATGCACACACTCACACTTCCTCATTCCCTCTGGATAACCAGACCTCCCCAAATCCCCTCTCATCTCCCTTCACCTCTCCTCCCCCGGCTCACCTCCTATCCCTTCCCCTCTCCTCCCCCCTCTCCTCCCCCCGCTCCTCAACCGTCCCTCACCTGTCCTCCAGACAGGTGCTGATCCTACGGCGTTGCCACAGTAACCTCCCTCCCCCCGCGGGGAAGATCTCCTCCATCAGGTCCATGGTCTGTCCGCCCTCTGCCCAGCTGTCCAGCACCGGGGTCAGGGTCTTATCCCCCCGGGACACCAGCTGTCTGGCCAGGGCCTCCACCCTCAGCTCCCCAGCAGACCTCTCCCTCCTGGCCAAGAGATGGTACTCTAGCCCCAGGCTTTCCTCACCGCTAGGCCCCTGCTGGGGCTCTGGGAGACTGCTGATGGGGGTCTGATGGGTGGGGGTCTCAGGCT